TCCGGCCTGAATTTATAATCTCTTCCGATGACGTTGCCCCTGCGGTGGCGATCAGCAAAACCATATCGCGCGCTCCCTATCACCGCCGGAGGCGGCAGATCGGTTGAAACATACCGGAATTTTCCCCAAGGATTTTCCCCAACGAGTTCGTTGGGTAAGTTGGGCATCAACGAAAGCTTTGATTCGTGGGTAGGACGACAAGATGAAATAGAAGAAGAGTGGAATCTGTCCGACTCCGATTTCTGATTGATGTTGTTCCTTTTTGGTCGGCGGCTACTCTGCACAAAAAGAGTTTTGAAAAAGGTTCATAAATTAGGGTTATGTGGTGGTTACGTTGTTAAATCACTTGAGGTGTAAAATATGCTTATGGGATAAGATGTAGTTTAATAATTCCCACGTAAATAGCTGACCAGTTAGTTGAGTAATTAATTTACCTAGGTTTTTTTAAAAAAAAATATATTAATTTGTCAAGATAAGCACAAAATTAACTATTTAAAATTAATTTTAACAATTTCATTAGACACGAGAAAAATGCAACTTAAAAGATCTAAAAAATTACCCAATAACAAAACCATTTAAATAATCAACCGGCTTTTTTTATGTTGCATCGTAACATATTTATTTTTTAAATGTAACCGGCTAATTAATCAAGTGATTTGCAAACGTAAAAGTTCTAAACTATTCGTCCTCCTCACATCTGTCCTCATCAATTAACTCCATTCAAGCATTGTCAAGTGTATTACAATAACAGATTCAATTTACGAATTCCCGTAATTTAAACCATAAAATACCTTTCATCAATCCAATCCCTTAAACTTCAAATTCACCGGCCCTAACAACTACTAGCGGCATCAAATTAGCAAAAATGTGGTAAGATATTAGTTTTACTCCACTGCTTTATGTTGCATTGGAAACTTAAAAAATTTTGCATACTCCCTTCTTATTGAGAAGATAATCAATCATGATTGATAGTTAGAAATAAGACTACCCTTCTTTTTTTCAAAAAAAAAAAAAAAAAAAACTACCCTTCTAATTGAGAAGATCAATCATGATTTATTGATAGTTAGAAATAACAGCCGCAATTCACCACCAATCATTATCCCTTTTACCCTATTAAAGCAGAAGACATGAAGCTTGTGTGGCAACTACGTATGCATCTGTTTTGGCTCCAAGGCACCATATTTCAGATTTCATGAGTCTTTTTGCCACGTGTAAGTATCTTTTAATTAGAAGCTATATAATTTTTTTTTAAAAAAAAAACACATGTTTTACTACAAATAAGGATCAGTTACATTTCAAACGAATAGATATATTAATTCAAATTCAAATGTCCAATCGTATAGTTTTGCAGGCTTAATATAAACAAAAAATAAAAATGCATAAATCCAGCAATTAAGAATAATGACTTATAAACTAATTATTTATTATTCCCTTATAACCTCAGATTTATAAGTATATTTTTTTAAGCCCCAAATCATAGCATAAATGATATATACGCCAAATTAATTCCTCAAAAAATAGTAATTCAATTAGATTTTAATAAAATAGTAATTTAGAAGGGGCACCCGGGTATCTGCTTGGGCCAAACAGCTAGTATATATTAAAGGAAAGAAAGATAATCGACACGTGTCGCTAATTGACACCATCAAACATCACTTTTAACTTATTATCATTTTAGCCCTTAAAGTTCTATTTATGTGCTATTTTGTCTTCAATTTTATCGATTTTACATTTTCAAGGACGATTAATTGTGTCTAATCCCCAAAGTCCCCTTGCCTATAAATAAGCCATAGGCATCTAGACATAATTTACGTATTTCTTAATATATTTTTTAATCCAAACATAACATTAGTTAGTGGTGACAATTTTTATTATACAACTTTTCAAAATTTTTGTTGTAATTTTTTTGTCAGATCTTACAAATATACATCTCATAAATAATATCAATACCTCTCATTTTGATCTAAAATTGATTAATCAAAAAATTTTTACGGTTTTAAGAAATATTATTAACTACATTATCTAATTAATTCTTTTGGAAGATAAATTTTCAACATTGATAAACCAAGCGCCGGACACATACTAGTGTGATTAGAAGGAAGAATAATTATGATGCAACAAGGTAGTTCACGAAGCAATATCACATTTCTCTTGAATGTAATTGAGTTTTTCCATATAAATTTATATTTATGGCATCATGATAATGTCATTCGGTTTTAAAGCGGTTTAACCAGCTCAACTCGGTAATCTAATGACCATGTAGAAAGAGTGTTTTTTTTAGAACGGTTTATGACATTATGGATTTATATTTATTTTATTTATTTTTCTTATAAATAATGTCACTACTTTTATCATATGTGACAATCTGCCTAAATCCGGGACACGTATCGCTCGATTGGGATACTAATAGGTTTTGCGTTAAATATTTTCAGTAAAAAGTTAATATTACATTTACTAGTAACTTATTATTTACATGTATAAAAATATTTCTTACTAATATATTATTTATACTTTTTATATTTATTGTTTTATCATCGGGATAAAAACTGTAAATCGACATAAAGCTACTTCTTCATTGAATGCCCGGTTTCATTCCGCACAAATCTGCCCGGTGAATGACGGTTTCATTCCGACAGCCTCTATGTCTTCGAATGATTTCATGGATTGTCAACACACGAATAATTGTCAACGCCTATGACTCCATGTATTGTTAAAAGGATCATCGACGCTAACACAAAACTCGCCAGAAATTGTTCACTTGTGGTGTTCTGCTATTTTCACATATTCAGATTTCTAGCCAGATTTCTCCCTGGCGATGACATCGGATCTTCTCAACAAGAACATCGGCCGCAATACTTTTAATGTCACCGAAAATTATTGTCTTGATTGAATGATCCAACTCCGACATACGTAGAATCCATGTGCCTTGCCACCACCATGCCATCTTCAAATTCACCTTCAACAACCGAATCAAATTCACTTTCAAAATTACTAATTGTGCATTTTTTAAATGTCGAAAATGCAAAAATATGTGATGAAAATCTTAAAAAGTAAATCAAAACTTTTTAGGACGAAAAAGGAACAGAAATTAAAATATTGAATTAATACATTCCATGAGAGGGCAATATTGAATATCAATTACATCTTATTTTAATCACGAATTCAGATAAATGAGTGAATTATATGATCGGAATAAAAACTTGCACGCTATATAGACGCCAAAAAACAACTATTGTGGCAGTTCTTATATCGTACATCATGGTTCACCATATATGGTGCACTGGTCTAATTAATGAAAGTTATTTGAAGAATAAATTATTAATTAAAATATTTCTAGTATTAAATTAGTCAATCCTCTTCCTATATTTAATACCATATATCATATATTCAAACCAAGTATGTGATTACAAAAAAATTCAAAAAGTAAGAAATATTTATTTATTAATGTACTCAGTCATTCCTTCGCTTTCTTTCTTTTTACTATTCATACAAAAACTAAAGGTTCATACTCATTCTATGAAAAATTCATAAGTTATAATAAAATTTTTCATGACACACACACACACACATATATATATATATATCAAAATTTCATAATTTTTTAATTAAATTTAAATTGTTCTTAATTTTCAAACTACGGTAGTAATTATGAAAAAAAGAAAGAGTTATAAAATTATTAGAATATTTTTTCAGTTATATTTGAAAACATGATATGAGAAATTAAATAATGAAAGAGAATGAATTGATTTAATAAATTTTGCTTAATTTTTCATTCTATAATTAAATTGTAATTTATTAAACAAGTGTATCATATACGGTGAATTGCCCTGTTGTGGTGGGTGGCTTAAAGTAGCTTTCTGTGCATCAAATCATTAACCTTAAAGTCTCAAAGGGGTTATGAAATTCAGCAAAGCAAATTCCAGGGTTTGAGTGCGTGGCAAATCATCAGTAATGGCAGCCCAACACACGCAAAAGAGACGTAAATATGACATTGACTTGCTTCATGCCTTCCATCCTTTGCAAACTGGCAATTATATAATCAGGATACTCTTCTAATTTAAATTTTTTTTTCTGGTCCCTCGGTTCCTTTATGGTGTCAAATTATCGCAACTTTTGAAAGAAAGTAAAGCATCAACAAACGGTATTTGCCATTTTGCCAAAGTCATAAAGCGTCTAATTAGGATTCCCATCCAACAGAGATGATCATTTTACGTTTTAAAGGTAGCTTTTAATTGCCTTCCTGGCTGTCCCAAATCCCCAGTAGATAGTGGCCCTTTGTATCAATGAAGAAGAAGTATAAGACTCATGTATTACATTGTATTGACAAACATATATATAGTGTTTAAGGTTACAATGATATTACAATAATACCCCTAATCTAACCCTAATTATACATACACTAACATTTTTCACACTTAAATTCACCGGGGAGTAAAATGCTCATTGTAAAAACCTTGAAATTAATTTCGACATCAAACAATTCTAAATGACCAAGCAGCTGGTTCAAACATGCGTATTGGACCATATACATACTGGTCATGCATGAGATTCCCAAATTATTGAAGTTCAATCGTGAATTTTTCTATCCCTCTAATAGAAAATCTCTTCCTTTTGTTTCCTTTTTTGTTGCTTTTTTCATATTAATATAATAATAATTGTCTCACCCACTCTTTTATATTTTTAATATATCATTTTATATTCTCATACAAAAAGATGCACTCTAAAAAAAAATCCAAATATACTAAGATTAGTAAAAAAAATGTAAATATAACCCGGTCTTTCAAAAAAAGAAAAAAGAAAAAACCATCAGTATGCACATATGATTGTTGGAAATCGAAATGGTTATGCAAGATGGCCATTAATTTTTTAAAAAAAAAATATGAGAGAAATAAAAGCAACAAGGTGGGGTAATTGACAACCCAAAGTAGGTCCCAGCAACAACGATGTTTACCAATCATCCAGCACAGCATGGCATCCTCTTCCTCCTCCTATATCTCACACAAATAGTAGTATTTCTAAAGGAGACACACAATACAATTACCTTCTTCCACACTGGGGAAAAAAATCATAGTATTAATTACTACTTTACTACTCATATCTTTCTTTGATCACATCCACAGATTCTTTCGGCACACAACAACTTAACTGATACTGTTGGACTGGTTATCATCCCATATCAGTAACTCTGTACTATATTCTTCTTCTTTGGTTTTCATTGTTTGTGTTTTTCCAAATTCGGTATGGCAGAAGAAGAAGTGAAAAAAACAGAGCCCGAGACTACTACACCTTCTGAGACTCTACCCCCGCCACCTGCTGCTTCTGAGCCTCCGGCACCGGAAACTACCGAAGCTCCTAAGGATGTGTCTGAGGAGAAAGCAGTAGTTCCAGTTCCTGAAGAGAAGCCCGAGGAATCCAAGGCCCTTGTTGTTGTCGAAAGTACGTTTGAAATTTTTTTTTTATCAAGTTTTGCTCTTTCCTTTTTTCATAAACATTTTTCTCCAGTAGATTCTTTGACAAAAGGAGAAATTTTTAAATTAAGGGATATTTTAGAATTCGATGAGAAGGTGCACTGGAAATGTTAAACATCTTTGTAGCTCAGATGTTATTATTGGTGGAGTTCTTCTCCTGGGAAAAGTTCTTTTTACTAACTTTGGGTTAGAATGGTTTTTTTTTTTTTTTTAAACTGGATATTCACATCATCATCATCTTTCAAAATTATAATGTTTTCACCAACTCTCTTTCACTGCATTAAATCTCCTCTGTTTTGTAATTTGTTCTTTTTTGCTTCGCTGGTAGAACCACCAGAGCCTCCTGTCGAGAAACCTGTTGAAGATAAGCCTGCTGAAGGTTCAATCAACAGAGGTACAACAGAATTGGATTTACGTTCTGATCCAATAAATTGCTTATTTTTTTACTATATATGTAAAAAGATTCTGACTTTGCTGGAACTTCCCAAACACAGATCTTGTGCTTGAACGTGTTGCAACAGAGAAGAGGCAGTCATTAATCAGGGCATGGGAAGAAAGTGAGAAATCTAAGGCCGAAAACAAGTAAGAACACAGCCCGTCACTATTTAAGGTTGTTTTGGAGAAATTTTGGTCCACTCTGTGTCTTTTGATTCGTTTATTGTTTGCCCTCTACAAATCTTTGTATGATTGTGTTCATAGATCATTTCATTCTTCCTATTTCCTGTCGTGTATCTTGTTGTTGGAGGCTAGTTAATGATTTGTAAACCTGATGTCAAAAATTTGTTGACAGAGCTCAGAAGAAGATGTCAGCCATTGGGGCTTGGGAAAATAGCAAGAAGGCAGCCATAGAAGCTGAACTCCGTCAAATTGAGGTAACTAGTTCTCTCTGATTGTTCACCAATTCAGAGATAATTGTTCTTTTTTTTTTTAAAAAAAAAAAAAGAATGTCTCCTAACGATACAATTGTCCTGTTTTGTGCAGGAAAAATTGGAGAAACAGAAGGCTGAATATATAGAGAAAATGAAGAACAAGATTGCAGCCCTGCACAGAGCAGCTGAAGAAAAAAGAGCAATGATTGAAGCCAAGAAGGGAGAAGATCTACTGAAAGCAGAGGAGACTGCAGCAAAATATCGTGCCACAGGGACTGGTCCCAAGAAACTCCTTGGATGTTTCTGAATCTAATGGGGGTTCAATTGATTGCATTCTGTAAAGTTCTCTTCTTTTTGTTGTTTCATTTGTTGATAGATGCTTTTATGTGTGCCAAAAAAAAAAAAAAAGCAGCCCTGTATCAAATCATTTATCATTTTCTATTGTTGTAATTCTGTGTGCATAGTGCTACAGTTAGTACTTAGTAAGGCTTCAGAATTGTTCATTTGTTGACACCAAAGTTTGAAAGGGATTATCGCTCTTTATTATTCTTAATTTACAGCACATAAGGTAATTGTGAAGTTCTTGACAGTAGAGCATGAATTGTTGTTGCTGCTTTTGATCCAAATATTTTACCTAAAGGGATTTTTGATGGTGCTTTTTCCAGTCTTGATTGGTTCAAAGTTGCATCACTGTATTGTTTGCCGACAATTTGGGAAGGTTGGGTTGGATGATATTTTCATAATAGTTGTTGGGAAGTTGCTCTATTTACTAAGGCATGAGCTCAGAACTCCTCCCTTATTCTGGAAACAAACACCTCTCAAATCTCACCTACCAAAAGTTATTTACATGTTGTAAAATGTGGTTAGTGACGTTATGAAATATAATTATCTCCTGCTAATTAGCCTCTCCTCTTGACTACATGATGTAAATCATTCCTGAATTTTGAGCAAGAATCTTGGAACGAAATTCAAAAGATAAGGAAAACTATACAAGTATTATCGACAAAGGGAAGACTTCGTCCTGCTGAGCAAGCATGTTCGTGAGCTAAGCAAAAACATCATCAGTGCATTTACCATACCAAAACCTAGTTAATATATATTCACAGGGCCAAAAAATGCTTGCTCATTGACCTGTTTAAGTTAACTCTAGATATCCTTAATTAGAATTCTAAGCATCTATTGGCTAAAGGTAGCAAACCGATTCCCAAGAGCAGTAATTCCTGTGGCAAAGTCAAATTGGTTCTTGGAGATACATAGAGACATCATCACATGCTTCTTCCAGAAAGTCCATTCCACTGTCATCAGGAACATCTAGCAGAAGCTGCGTCTTTGTGTCAACTGAACCATCCAATTCGTATGAGTTGAAGTAGTCTGAACCACCAAGTTGTATGTCCTTGCAGATTAAATGCTCCTGTTTACCAGTGGAGTCAGCAGAGTTGAGTACCTTTCCAGGATCGATGTGCATAGAAATTCCAGAAGTTGACTCATCCTTGATTGATGATGATGCTTGGGACAAACGGCTTTGAGAAACCACTCCTTCACGGAACTTTTCTCCAATTTCGGAGTTCCATAGACGGAGAAAGTAGTCATATTCAGGTTTAAGTTTAGATGATGAACTCACAAGTACGGGATCCATGGGCAGCATAAACTCGGACTCCAGCCGGGCGCTTATCCATGGCCATAGCACTGTGTGGTGGCCAAATGGATATTCCTGCTTAACTTCAGTAGACCCGAAAAGAAGCCAGGGCTCCTTTTTAACTTCAGTATGCTTCTTCAGATGTGTGTTCCATAAGTTTTTTATGTCGTTGTCTGTTCTTCCAGGTAAATGAGAAGCTATCTTAGCCCACCTGAAATAAATAAAAAAAGAGTATTAAAGAAAAAAAGATAAGACCATATAATGGAACCAAGAGCATGGCTCTATGGTAATGCTGTCTGATAGATCATGTCTGAATATGAGCTCAGGAGCATGACCTAGAGAGCCGCAGAAAATGGTTGTGGTAAGAAAGTGAGAGTCTTGTATTACATTACTCAACTTCAATGGATCACTTGCCTGTTTCCATGCACCCTTTGCAGCTCCACTACTAATCTTTTTTCCTCAGGGCTGAAAGGACCACGATTAATGTTAGGGCAAAGATAGTTCACCCAACGAAGCCGACAGCTCTTGTGAGATCTGGGGAGGCCTGCAAAAGTAAATCAAAGGCTAAGTCACTTTTTCAGTTTCATTAGGTAACTGGAACTATAAACACTTCATATACACAATATTAGTTCTTTGGCCGAGGTTGGACTACATGGACCTATAAAGAAGGATTTATAGCTCTGATTACTAGATGCCGCATAATTTAAGATCTTTACGGGCAAATAAACAAGAGTAAGGTGCTACTACACAACAAACAAATTGGATATCCACCAAACAACTTCTCCATTATGTCATGGAGCCAGTACTATGCAAAAATGCCATTAGCTTCACTCTTAACGCTACACAGCCTGGTAACTGAGCCACATTATATGTTGTTTCTACAAATTCATGGCATGATTTGGCATCAACATGCCCCAAATGAAGTACGACAAACTCGACAATTAATTTGGGACGGGAGGAATATTAAGCAAGGGACGGGACTATCAAGCAAAAGACATATAGTCTTTTGGCTCAGAATGTCAATTCACATTTTAAAGTTACAGCATGTTGCTATGATTTAGACAGGGGAAGTACAAGTTCAGTGTATGTGAACAGTACCTCAAGTTGATAATTCAAGTATTCATCTCTAAGCCAGTAACAGAACCAGAGTTCAGACAATCAAGCAAAATATATATGTAGAAGTTGCCTTAAGCTGCTGATACTGATGCAAAAAACACGATTGATAGGGATACTGTTTGTCTTCAAATAAAATAAAGGAGGACTCTTATACAAAGGAAAATGAAAACAGGGGTTCAAGGAACGGTCGTTGATGAGACCAGTATTGTCAAATGAACACGTTACAAGAAGAATCGAGCAAAACAGAGACAAACCTGCAAGTTTAGGGAGAGATCGCCATTTACCATGTCCATTCTTCTGGATGCATTTAACAAGAATATTGTCCTCTTCGGGACTCCATGCCCCCTTCTTTACAACCTCTTTGTCACAGCATGGCGATCTTCCCATCTTCCTGTTTGTCTTCTTCATCATCATCTCCTCCTCCTCCTCTTCTTCTTCCTCCATCTCCATTTTCACCTTCTTCAGTTGAGCAATTGCAACCCAGAAAAAAGTACATAGCAGTTAGCACAAGAGGGTTATATTAGTTTCCAGAAAGTCTAAAAAGGACCAAAGGTACAATCTTTATTCCGCTAGCACTACAAACCAATTGGAAAAATACAATCTTCTCCAAAAGAAATGTAAGTAAAAGTTGTACTCAAGTAAAAACAAGGACAGGAGCTTTTCTTCGGATGATAAAATTGCAGGGGAAACAAAAGAAATGGGCTTTAAATAAAAGAATGGAATCTCACAAGACATAAATGCATGAGGGATCACCCCCATACAATAATGGAAACCAGGTTTATTAAAACACCTAGGCACTATACCACAAAGAGGCAGAAAACCACATTAACACATCATTAGACCACATTTCGCATCAAATTACAAAAATATGCATTTACAGAGAGGAAAAGAGAATTGATCTCACAGACAAATCCAGGATGGAAGTGGCGGCGGCGGTTTGATTGGGGGAGAAGAGGTGGCTCATCAGGCAGTGTTGGGGTTTTGCTTCCATAATTTCTGAGGTACTTTGGGTTTCAGAGTAGGGGAACAAAGGAATTATAAAACTTGTGAAAGAGGGAGAGAAAGGGAGATATCTGTCTTTTAATTAGACTTTGCATGTGACTAACAAATGATGATGGCCTAAAGATTGTGAAGCGAAATTGGTATCTTTTATTTCAATTTCCTTCCTAGTGAAAGAAAGAAAACACGCAAATAAAGCTGCAGAAGCCATCTGAAAAGCCTGCCAACTTTTGGAGAAGTGAAGAGTGAGGGGACTCGGGAAACAAGGGGGGAGGTGGGTGATAAAACGTTGAGAAGTCAGACATCAATTTATACGTGTCAGGAGTTCTTTTATATGACTAGAAAAGAAATTTGTTTCATCCCAGAACCAGAAGGACTACCTTTGTTACTGTTGGTCGTTACCTTTACAAAAACTCTTCAGAAATGCCACTCTCTAATCTCTTAAAATGAGTATCCGTGCCAAACATTGAGAGGGATTTTGTGATTTTCAATATCGATCGATATATTATGCTTAGCAGTTGGCACTGGCAGAGAGATAAGACAGCCCACTAACCTTTCTAATTCGTCATCACTCATGATCACTATCCCCTCACCCTGAACAGCCAAACAAGTACGCCTATATTTACTTGAGGACCAAGTTTGGATTTTGGACCATCATACGTACAGAGCAAAATATCCACTTTGCTATATGTGCTTCTTCTACTGTGGGCTATGGCGGTGTTAATCTTTTTGCACTTATTAATATTGTTGGAGAGGAGGGGGAAAGAGGAATTTTAATAGCACAATATATACTGTACTTCATGTTACTTTTACATGTGCAATTTTAATTCCGTTTCTTCCCCCTTTGTTAGAAATGTGAAAGTGACTATTTAGAATATAAAAAGTTAGATCGTACAATAATTAACCAGTCTTAAAAAGCCTACTAAAAAGGTTTATCCAAAAGAAGCCAACATCCAACTATAGGATTAGATTTTTTGTTTTTAGCTTGTTTTATTAAATAAATTAGTCTCCCTGTTTATTATTACAAAGTATTTTGATTTTTCTTAAATTTTTATTTTTCATGTTATTCCAAATGAAAATAAAATCTTAAAAAATACATTTTCATCATAGTTATTATGTTCTTTGAATCATTACAATTAACTTTTAAGATTTCATTTTTTAATTCGTAAAATGGAATAAATAAGCATTTTGGATCCAATGGGCTCAACCATTTACCATTAAGCCAGATATCATTTCTCGGGCCTATCACGCTATATCAATAGTAAAATCCACCACTAATCAGATGCCCTAATAGACTTCTTCATTTTGGGGTGCCCACTGCCACCAAAGGCGATTATGATATTAAAAGATTTTTTAAAATTGCTTGCGTCGGTGTGTCACTTTTTTAAAAAATAAACAATAAAAACTTTCAACCCGGTGGAGTAAAAATCCCCCTACATACTCCTTGGCGTGTCATTTGTTTGGTACATAAATGATAAATGTATTAGCATTTGCCAGCATAATGTAACACCAAAATAATAATAATATTATTATTATATCCGTCCCGAAATAATTATTTTATTCTACTTTTTATTATTAGTGGTATAATTTGTGGTCGAAACAGCCAGACTAGTACAATAACAATGTACTAAATCAGTCTATCGAAGATCTTTTCCGAGTCAGTAAACGTCAATTTGCCCCTCTTCATCCGCCGATGATTTCTTCCCTTTGATTATTACTATTATTTAATCATCATGCTCGAGCATAATATTGATTCCAGAGTATTCAGATAACGTTTTATGGATTCTCATCGAAGTTCAATGTATGGGAATCATCATGTTTGTATTTAATTCAGGCCAATATCAATGTTAAGGATATTGTTGAATTCTCACAAATTCCCGTTGTGAGTCAATCCTTTATCATGTCGAGAAAGAATATTGACAATCGACATTTTTCCATTCATTTTGGAAAAAAAAAAGTAGTAGTATTCCATTTGTTTGGATTTCATAATTAACTTTTCCGCCGCCATTACTTGTTCAAGGTATTTTCCACCGCGTAAGGCCACCTTTTTGGTTTTTCGTCAAACAAGGAATAACTTCAAGACCAAGTTGATCGCTCATTAATCAGCTGCTTCCTTCCTTAGTTCCTTCGTTTCATTTTGCCAATTTGCCCCATGTATATAAAGTCCCTTCATCCACATTTGTATCCATACAAATTCTTCCGTTAGTTCACAGTAACCATTTGAAGCAATTCTAGTTCCACATAACCCTTTCCTTTATATTTGAATATTCCATTAGCCGCATTCTGCTTGATAAAAGGCCCGGCCTTACCAAATTTCCTACCTGGGCAGAAAAAGTACATAAATCAGAAATGGTGAAGCTGACAATAATTGGAAGGGTGAGTGATGGGTTGCCACTTGCCCAAGGTCCAAGATACGTGAATGAAGAAAGAAATGACAATTTCTCAGCATACAAGTTACAAGGAGAGTTCATATTACAGGAAATCTCCAGGGGATCCCTTCCACTTTCCAATATGACCATTCGGGTTGATCACCACTGTTTCAAGTATGTATACCCTTTTCTTTAAGTATTCTCAACCATCTTCCAATTTCATTTCCTACCATCATTATGTGCTAATTTGTTGTCCATCTCCTCTGTTTTTTCTGATAAAGCTACGTTGTGGAAAATGGAGTTTGTTTCATTACACTCTGTGATTCATCCTACCCACAAAAATTGGTACGGTTTTTCTTGCAAGATTTGGCTACAGAGTTTGACAAGTTTGGCAGGAGCCTTGCAGAAAGGATTACAAAACCATACAGCTTTGTTGGATTTGGTAATTTATATTCTCTGAGTAAAATTTTTGTTAGCTTCCTTGAAATGAAACTTTAGCTCAGATGACAGACTTGTTTGGTCTCTTCATGCTACCAGGAAGTGTGATTGGAAACATTAGAAGGCAATACGTGGATACAAGGACTCAGGCAAACTTATCAAAACTCAATGCAAAATGTCAGCCAAATGAAGATTTCTTGACAGAGGATTTCTCGCAAATTGTCAAGAGAAGAAGAAGAGCCGGTATGATTTTGGTCCAATTCCTTCTCTATTCTTGTGGATTAAGATGGATGATGTACTAATGGAAATAAGGTTTTCCTCTTTTGTTGTCTACAGAATTGATGGAAAGACTCACTGAAACACCACAACAAGCTTCACAAATTTGGGGTTCAAAAAAGCTTGAGGTGCTACAGAAACGGCTTATTTCTTATAATACTATCTAACTACAAAAATTATCACTTACCATCCTCATGATCCCCTGCCCTGTATCATTTTAGATCATTGCACTAAGATGGACACCAATTACAATCCTCGGCGTCTTCGGCGCGATCCTACTATGGAGCAGGTTCACAATGAGAGATGACTGGTAGTATATCTATTGTGGCGGAAAGGGTATAAACACAACACACTACGGAAGCGAACCCAAGAAAATCTCTATTCCTACTACTAATAAAATAGGACAACCACCCAAACAAGCAACTAATTCAAAAACTGATAAAATAAAGAAGGCACACGAATTTACGTGGAAACTCAAATCGGGAAAAAACACGAGACTGTAACAACAGTCAAATCTCCACTATCATAATAATGGGAAAACAGTCTTCACCAACCGATGGATACACAGGACTTCACCCAAAGGCGGATTACAACAATATTCTTCCACACACCCACCTATCACAAAGTAGGATTGGAAGGATCTCACCAAAAGAGAGTTAAACCGAAAACTAAACCTTAGCTTTCTTTCTTTTTCTCTCGTACAAAAACAATGCACGGCTGCCCAAATTTTCCTTCTCTTCTTGGCTGAAAACACACACCTAAAAATTATGTCAAAACCTTGCTTTTATAAAACAAAAAAACCTAAAAACAAAAACTCAATTGGAGTGGATTTTGTTTCCTAAAACCAAATTAATTTGGTTTCAATCACTGCTAGCCCAATTTGAGGGGAACTCGACATATATGTGTGTTTAATTAGGTCTAACATTCAATTTCTGCATTGTACATCCGAGCTTTGTAGTTTTAATATGCAAATCCTCTGCAAAACTTGTATATGTATTTATTTATTATGATTCTGATGTAACATTTCACTTGTACCTATCAAACATCAAAACTTTGATATTCCGTTGCTGTATTTTTCTGTTGAACAACGAGAAATTGAGAACTACATTGAGGTGGACAATACCCATTTTGTCATTTTGTCTCATTTTTACCTCTTAAAACACCTCTTAAATACAGAACCCAATACTATTCGAATAACTTTTTAATTTACTTTTTAAAATTTATTTCAAACATTATTTTTATACCATTTTTTTACACAATCACCGGATCACCTCCGCCGCCACCGTCCGCCGTCGGGCCACCCAGCGCCGCCGCCGCTAGCGACCGACAGCCGGTTTACGGCGGTTTGGTCCGAATTTGGCCGGAATCCGGCCGGCCGGTCGCCGGCGGCCCGGCGGCGATGGGCGGTCTACCGGCAGCGGCGGCTGTGGAGGTGGTCCGATGATAGTCTAAAAATATTATTATTTTATTTAAAATATTACTCAAACAACTTTTTAAATTTTCTCACAAAACACATTTTAAATAACATTTCAAAATGAAATCAAAAACAAAAACAAAATATTGGCCAAACATAACAATCCCGGAGATTAATAATCAATTTCTGGCTGTTTCAATTTTGTAACAATCTGTATTTTACTACCAACCTGTTCAGGACTTGAAACTGATCAATAAGAGGTTTTATAACTAGGGAAATGCCGGAAATATCATCGATTTTCTACAAGGAGCAGAGTTATTCGTGTACAAATCTTTTCATATGCTAATCACTTTCATCCTGACAAGTATTGAAAGTTCGAGACCTATTCTACGCTCTAAAACTTCAGCTAAAGGATCCTGACAACATAGCTTTCATGGATACTGTTGTATTTTATGATATTTGGTGATTAAGGGCTTCAACTTGCTTTTGCATCACCGAAAACCACCCGAATAAAATAGACCATGGGTGGCGCTATTGAATTGACCGTTTTGGAAACCCGGAAAACCATTCTCGTAGGTGTGATCATCCTCAAACTTAATAGGCAAATGAAGCATGTCATCAGCTACAGATGAGCCATTATTCATTTGCGAATTTTGGTAAACTCCACTGCTAAAATTAGGTCCTCCGCCACCTTGGACCAACCAATCGTGCATAAGATAATCTTGAAAGTCCGATTTGTGATGCTGATACTCCAAATCCCTGCTTCCAACCAAAAAGTTGCCTGAATTGTTTTGGCAGTTGGTCTGATCACGGAATTCTTCCAGCTCAAGCCACTCAGCAAAGAGTACTTTTGGTTTGGGTAGTTCCATGTTATTATTATTAGTCTGACAAAGATATTGTTCTGTGTCAGAACCCAATGATCCATCCTCAGCAGAATCAAGGTTGGAGCTGGAATTTGGGGGAGTTGACTCCATTGAAGAGGATGAACATTCCAAGTTGTGGAACGGGCATGAGGTTCCGACTGCTTTTACTCGCGGAGCTTCCTCAGTGTGTCCTGTTTTTGCCAGAACTCTTTTCTTCAGATAAGAATGCCAATGGTTCTTCACCTCATTATCTGTTCTTCCAGGCAATTGTTGTGCAATTTGTGACCACCTGAAAATGTTACCATCAGTGATCAATTTCAGAGAATTGCTTAAATCTTGGAATTTTATTTGTGTATCAATCCATGTACATTAGTAAACATTACATAAATGCAATTAAGGTGGGTATTATATATATATATATATATATATATATATATATGCATGGTTCATGCATGCCCTAAAACTTTGAAGAGCTTGGCTAGTAAATCCAATTCCAGGCATCATTTGACAAAGGAAACAGTTATATACTCTTTCTATCTCAAAATGATTGTCCAGTTTGGATTGTACTAAAATTGAAATCTCAAACTGGACAATAATTTCGGGACGGAAGGAGTAGTAGTTTTCTTACTTGTTGCCAAGTGTGACATGGAGGGACATGATTGTTTCCTCTTCGTCTGGGCTAAACGCTCCTCGTTTCAGTCCGGGCCGAAGGTAATTCAGCCACCTTAACCGGCAGCTCTTGCCGTTCCTCTGCAGACCTGAACACAACTTGTGATGGTCAAATCAGTAACCTTGAAAGTCAAACCATATTATCTGTCAACTTCATCGTGGAACTCCTGGCCATTTACTTAACAATCTGATTAATTATATACTAGCTTACTCTGCCAACCAGCCAAAGGACCAATACGATCATGTTGAAAGCGCTTAAACGATTAAAAAAGTATTTACATGTGTTCACAAGTATATTGCAAATAAGCATTGGTTGAAGCCCAACTCAGCATCATTCTGACTGCTTTCTAGTTTTAAAAAACCAATGGCAACAGTGAATGGATGTGTAAATTAAACTCGTGGGACGGCTTGAGGCTGTACCTCGTATTAAATATGTTAATATGTAGTCTTCTTCTCTTCGTTTTATAGCCTTTGTTTACCGATTCGTAGAGAGTAATCAGTAATAAAGAGTTTTTAAAAGACCAAAAAGAGGAAAAGCCAAGGAAGAAAAATACGTAGAAAATTAGGGTCTGTACTATGTAACACCGTCAGCTAATAAAGCTCTCTACTAGGAAGAGGGAGAACTAACCCTTCAGTTAAGTAAGGTACATATGAGGCAGAAATTTTCAAAAGTCACCACAGATTCCGGCCAAAGCATTAGGGAAAACTACCCATCCTTTCGTGACGTTATCCCAAAAAAAAAAAAAAAAAGATTGAAATGCAGCAATTTTCATGCAAGACTTGATGAAGAAAGTTGTTCCCCCGGTGGTATAATCCAGAACTCCAAACTATTTACCACAATCTTGTTGCTTAGTAAGCTACTTTCCTTTAATATGTTGTTGTAGGATTAATAGAATTTAAAGTTAGTACTGTAGCTCGTGTTGCATGTTAGGTTTAAGTTTATCTGCGACTATGTAGAATATTTGTGGAAGATGATCTCCATGGATTGAGAGTGGCCTAAAGAAATATATAGGTAATAAATAGAGAAAAATCGACTTACCGGCATTAATGGGTACGGCACTCCAGCAGCCATGGCCATGTTTGAGGACGTAGTTTCTGAGCTTAAGGTCCTCATCTGGAGACCATAAGCCCTTCTTCTGCTTTGGCTTCTGTTTATCTAAACTTTGTCCAACCATCCTAAAAAATCCGAAGAAATATGAATTCGATGTTAATTCAGAATATTCTACTTGAGAGAACTAGCTTGCTTGATCATTAAGGGAAGATGAGAGAAACGGTGATGAACAAAAGAAATTGTTAGCAGCAGATTTATGCTGAGGTTAGCCGTCTGCATTTGAATTTAAAGACCATTTCGGAAATTAGTTGCTGATAAAATATCCAAAATATATTTTTAAATCATCATCCAGCAACTTGGAATTAATATGCAATAATATTATACTCCTTATTTTCCATCAGGTCTGTTAAATCATTGACTAATTAAAGTTAGTGTGTGAGAAACGACGAATATGTATGCGTCTAAGATATGTTTACTTGTGCAAAGTATTTTATTCCAAATTGTACTTTCAATAATGCATTACAACAAATTAAAAAAAAAAAAAAGAGCTCAGACATATTTGGCCAGGGACAAACCAGAAATGAGGCCTCGGTAAACCTTACAATTGCCTGATTTATTTACAGGACTAGTCCTATATGAAATTGAGAAAACCGTGAAACAAAAAACTCGAATTAATGATTCATAATGACCATATATTGACTGGAATCACAGATGAACGAGTAAAATTAGCTTGACTCACTTTTGTTAATTGAATCTGGATTGTGTCATTAAGCAGGCTCAAACCTACTTCATATAAACCGACACTACTATTACTTCATGACCCAAATGCATTTTACTGGTCCTAATACACGTTCATGCATGACGTTGACCGTCTTCTCTTAGATTTGCAATTTCACATTCACCTAAACCACAACACCAATAAAAACGTCCTCTCAGTTGCTGTAAATTGTTACTTTTAATCATTAGCTCGTTATCTTCTAATCATTATACATCATTATTAGCTTTTTAGTCAATAGTTATCAATCAAGGTCTAATCATTATTATTATAGCTCCTTCTTTTCCTTATTAGTATATTACAAAGGGAGTTGTAAAGTTGAAACTATGGTCAAGTATATTCTTTTGGAAGAAAATTTTTTTCTCTACAAGTAATTTAATCAATGTATTTAACGAATAGAAAATAATTGAAAACTGTATTAATATAATTTGTTTTCCCGGTAAATTGTCCACCTACCAGAGGCGGAGGGAGAGGGGGGCCAGCCGATGTGGCCGCGCCCCCTCCCCCTCCGTTTTTTATTTTTTTCATTAGTATTATATTTTTTATATGGAAAAAATAATAAATAAGATATTTCGCAATCTCTTCAAAATATTTTTAATAAAATTATAGGTTGTAAAGTGTTATAACTTTTTCTCAATAAAAAGTTTAACTACAAAACTTTATAAAGAAAAATGTATCATTTGATTTCTTATCATTTCAATGACAACGTACTATTTTTTTTAACACTCCTAATTATGTAAATAAAAAATAATTCAAGCTCTTTTAATAAAAAGTTTAACTGCAAAACTTTGTAAAGAAAAATATATTATTTGATTTCTTATTATCATTTCAATGACAACGTATAATTTTTTTTAAACACTCTTAATTATGTAAAGAAAAAATAATTCAAGCTCAAATCAACCATTATAGTACAATTTTGAGCCGATAAATTCAAACTCATTTCTTAAACTGTACAAAGTAAAAGTCTAGCAAGTATAGTTTGTCACTGTTTTTAAATTGGATCTTTTAGTAGAATTTGGTTTTTTAAAAAAAAATCCCCATCTTCTAGAGTTTATTTATGTTGTTCAATCCTCAAATCTTTATAAAATACAATTACTAAACTACTACTAAAGCATTTTTTTATTAAAAAATTTGTCAAAATGATGATTAGAGTTTGAGATTTGCTTAATCTTTTTTTGAATGAGAAAAATATCGTATTCTAATATTTTTTTATTTTTGATGTCTTTTATAGTACTTAATATGCTTGATCTCGTGGTCTCATTTTGCACCCCTTACAATGAAATCCTGGCTCTGCCACTGCACCCAACCCAACTACTCAAAATAGCACCGCACCATACACTCCCTTTATTCCAAAATTTTATTACAATTTCAAAATTCATCGTAGACAATTTTTTATTTTTAAAGACGGATGGAGTAGCATTTTGCGGCACTTGTGAAAATGTGCCTTTTTTTTAATTACTCCCAATATAATTGCACCATCTTCTTTGATAACAAGGGTACACACATATACGATAGCATGAATTAATCGTGTTCTAACATTCAGCCGCATTGTTGATAGTCCATCTAGCCTAATTTGATTCTCGAAACCGTGAGACCCGGAAAGTCCGAGTCCATTACGGTGTTCTTGTGAATGAATTTCATCTCAGTTGTTTGACTTGTTTCTACATATATACTTGAACCTCAACCTGTTAGTACCTATTTTATCAGCTTTTCTAATATGCTTACAAAGTTAATTTTTACGATAGAGGAAGGCTTTTTTGGAAGTCAATAAGAGGGCTCCTCAAGATTTTAGAAGAAAAAAGCTCCCGGAATCCATCGGACTCCTTCATCCCGACTTAATTTTGTTTAATTACATGACCTAAGCTAGCAGCAGAGTTATTCTCCTGACACCAACCAACATACCATATAGGACTTGATCTCTCGGATACTCCAATTCCAGACAAACTAGTCTTAATCTAATAAAATTAAAGCTGGAAAGAATAATTTTATTCTTTTCCTGGCCCCAATCTTCCTCAAAAGATTTTGCCAGCTCGAGAGAATGTTAAGATTGTCTTTAAAAATATCGCTCGTGTATGGAGATGCATATTAATTCGGATGATTATTTTGGTTAGCACTTACCCATCCATTATTGCAACTTGAAGAAGACAATATATGATAGATCGTACAATTTTCCAATTTTGTAATCCCTCCGTCCCATAAAAATAATTTATTTTGAGTTTTGAATTTTGTACTAAAAACAGTACAATCTGAAAATTCAATGTGGACTATTTTTTTTTTTGGAGGGACGGATGTAGTATAAAAATCTCCCACTGTATACGGGAATCCAAATTTGTATGTTAAAAAAATTGCACCCAAAAAATTTCTTCTATTTTATTTGAAAATAAAGAAAAAAAAAATACACCACAGAGAGAGATTTATTCTGGAACTCCCCTTTCCTCGCAATTATTGTTAATCAATAATTGTTTTGAAGCTAATCATAAGGATTGAATCGACAGCTCAATGTGCCGGTTGTGTGCGGAATGCGGAGAATTAACAAGGCTTCTTGTTGATCAATAAACAAATGGTTTAGCCTCCCGGTGCTAGTATTTAACAAGCCAAGTCTTTTGTCATTTTTCTCAAATGTTCAGCAGGAGGATAAAAATAAAACTTATTTAGGTGACAGGATAACAACAATTTTACATTTTCTTTACTACATCGCACGTGCTGAGGAATTTTTTGATGTAACTCATTTGACTTAAAAAGAAAAAAGAAAAAAGAGAAACATTCTCCAAACTCCAAATTGTGGTGGCTTTTAGTTCCATTGCTAGAGCCAAGAAGCAGTTATTATTTGATTATGTCCAGTAGTTAGTTTATTCTCACTATTTCAAATAAGAGTAGTGTTTATTGCACTAAAACAACTCAAAAGAGAATACACGCCAAACTTTAATACAAAATGCCTTCAACTTTGTTTCAGTGACTACTTTCTGAATAAGTTTCTAATGCTCCACTGACAGGGTAAACATAGTGTTATCTGCTGCAGCTGCATGCATTTTATTACTCTCTCTCCTAAAATTATTGTTCAATTTGAAATTTCACTTTTTAGTATAATTTGAATTAGATATGAAAATTCAAACTGGACAATAATTATGGGACGGTGAGTATGTTTTTCATTATTATCTGTCTAGGTGGAAAGAATTTGATAGTGAGTATGAGTTAGGGGTTTTTGTTAAAAATAATTAGTCTTCCTGACTATAATTATAGCAAAAATAATGAAGTTGGACTCCCCTGATCGGCTCATTGTGAAGTCATTTTCTGAATCAGTTATACCCTCCAAATTGAATCTAAGGTCCATTTCACACACACACACATATATAGCATTATATATCTTTATGCTTTTTCCAAGGTTGCGTTGATTCACATAATAAATTAACCTTAGTAAATTTTCTTTATTTACTAGAATTTATCTAAGACCAAATTAATTACTTTTAGGAAGATTGGTTTCAACAATAGACGTAGAAATAGTTGCTGTAGTAACCTATCTTACTCCTGTTCGATTCGTTAAATGGAAGTTAAATCAATCACTCTAGTCTATAGTCCAGACTCTAGAAGCTTGCTCTTAGCGGTTAAGTGTGGTGTTTTCGCATTTCGATATTCCATCAACCACTCTAGAAGCTTGTCTTTCTCTAAGTAGATGGAAATACTATTAGATTACAACTTGGATATTTAGTTAAATAAATAAATTACAAAATTCATCGGATGACTTGATAAATCGGCGTGTATCGCAACGAAAACTATTTTTATAGTAACATTATATTGCAATCGACAGAAACATTATAATATTATTATAGAATTTACGATTGCGTGAAGTTATTGACATACTTAATAGTGTTACGTTTTCTTTTTCCCTGTCTTTATCGATCTGGAATAAACTTTCATCTTCTTCTATATCGAGATAGCGAAATTCATTTATTTATCATTGTTTTTTCAATAATTTGATCATTTTATTTTATAGGCATTGCATCTTATTCTCTATCGAGATAGCGAAATTCATTATTTATTTTCATTGTTTTTTCAATAATTTGATCATATCCTTATTCAGGCATTGCATCTTCTTCATAGAGTTTTAGATCTTCCTCTCATCAACTCAATGTACTGTACTGTCAAAGTCACTTAAATAATTGGTTAGCTCTCCCCTAGCGCGCCTTTGTATCAAGGTCCATAAACTAATGAGAAAAGAAATAAAAAAAATAAGACATAAAAAAGAAAAATAAATATTGAAATACATGCAAACAATCATTATCAGCCATATGAGACAAAACTATCAGAAAATAATATAGATAAATAAAATAACCACATTGCGAATCTCATCGCAATATTCTTTATCAACAAATTCAACAGCCATTTTATCTCTATGTGTAGAATAATATAAAATTATCACGAGCATATAACACAGCAGTAGCTTGCTAATTGATGTAGATCAAAAAATGAAGGGAAACTTATACACGCGGTTATAGTAGGACTAACTTTGCTATTCGAAAGAAGTCTGCTCAAATTTGAATGTGGATTAAGCGATTGTCTAATGAAAATTCATAATTTTATACTAAAAATATTGGAACGCGAAAGACCGTGCATAATTTTATACTGAAAATTCATAATTTTATACTATCTCTGATATGCCCTATCTTTTTCTTTTTTTTTTTCAATTATTTTGCACCCACAATCGTTTTACTTTTTCTAAGATTCATGCGTTTTACATTTTCTAAGCTTGATTATCAGGTGGCTAAATTTAGAATCAAAGGGACGTGACATCAAAAAATTAAAAAGTCGCGGTGAGTTTTTCTTCTTCTCTTTTCAACTCCGACCTTATTGTATATATCCTACTTGCTCATGTAAATTACTTCATTCGGAATGGTGATCACTCACAGATAGATGGTGAAAATATTTTAGTTGGTGTTATAAACTGGACTGGTTGAAGTCAGGTCGGTCAAATTGTAAGACCTACAACAAAGCGAGTTCACCAGAATGGCCCTGGATCATGTTGACCCCAATTCATTCTGGATACCTGCTGTAGAGTGGCTCAATGTTTTGTTTGATGAGCCGGATTTCATTCTAACGCAACTTTAAAGTGCAATTAGGGTAATAAATAGAGTTTCCGATGAAAGGGAAAGCTGGGTCACCGGTTAGGTTGAACGTTTTCTCTCACCTCAATTTTGATTCGAAAATGAAAAAGAGGAAAAATTTGTCAGAGGCAATTCGAGCTACCGATCTCCACTAACGTTTCGAAGGGGGGAGTTATTGCCACACGGAACTCCCCCCTGCGCAGCAAAAAAGAATGTCAAACTGACAGTCCCATTATCTACCCATATCGAACTAGAAAACTCGAGGATGCAGTCGACGAGATGCTCAAGTCCTTCCTTACTGTCCAAATTGCAATTGCAATGTGTAATTCATCAAACTAGCTACATTTTCAAGATTAAATAGATTTATTCAAACTAAGGAAGAATGTGCTATCTAAGATAATAGCATTTCTGTAACCGAGTGACAAAGATCCATATCAGTTTCTTGAACTCTAAATGGTTGATTTACTACAGTCAAACAGAAACCCAAGAGAGAACCTCAGGTGGTTTCATAGCTTTGTACATAGAAAACTTCTAAAATTTTCACAAAAACAAAAAATGAATAAAGAAAGACCTCTAAAGACTACAAAGAACAGTTTCAACTAGTAATTTGCCGTAATTACACAATCAGATCACTTCCTAATTGGGGAACAACCCTACACACAAAATCAGATCACTTGCTAACAGGGAACGACCCTACACTGGCGCTCAACATCCATTCACTCGCCATGACAATGTAGGTAACATACATAGAAAGTAGAACATAGAACATACATAGAAGTAGAAGGAACTCATCCACATAACATCAGCAGCAAAGAAAACTGAAGAGAGGGGGAACAAAAAATAGGGCTAACTGGGAAGGGACTTAAATAGAAAGGTCCAAATTGCACCATGAATCACCGACTCAAAAGCTCCTACGTTAATCTTAAGCAGCAGGTCCAATGTATATTAAATTGAAAGTCACTCAAATATCCTTGTGCGCATAACGTCTGCTGAAATGAAAGCCACCTTATTGGAAGATGGTTTATAATTTTTGAACTCGACTTGTTTTTACCGGGTCAAAGCTTGCAAGACCTGCAGCTAAACAGCAATTCTCCAGGAAGGTTCACTCCACAAATACACCAGAATGATTCTATGGATGGATCATGTGGAACTCAAATCTAGACAGCTGTTGAGGAATCGTGGATATGACTGGCCCATATCTCTGTCACAAAGAAAAACATGTGTCAGATGCGAGTGAAATGACAAGCTATCAACGCCATAATGAATAAAACATCCACACTAACCAAAGCCCTTAACAACTTTGTGGATTGACCACACAAAGAGATACAATACTAATTCAAATGATTTTACTGCAATGATTTTATATCCATTGCAAATGGAGCTGGAAGAGCCATCATCGACAATTCTTTCAGCTCTGTGCTAATGATGGATTAGATCAAAATGGCTCATCTAAATTCCGGCGCTTCTTAATTTGGTAAAGTTTCCGGAAATCAATACACCAATGCACCAATGCATCTTGGGTCGTACTACTTAAACAGCCTCTCTGTATTGATATACAGGGGTAAGGCTGCGTAGATCTTGACCCCCCAGACCCCAACTGAGTTGGGAATATACTAGGTTGTTGTTGTTGTTGTTGTTGTTGTTGTTGTTGTTGTTGTTGCTGGTACAATGGAAAGTGAACTAGGCAAAAGGTGCACACCAGCTATTAACAATTTGCATGGCTAAAGATTCAGCCGGAAGTAAAATCTAGGAAGAAAAAAATTAAAATTTCCAAGAAAGCAATAATACGCAACAGTAGATAAAGTCATGCTTAGGCCTTTGAAATGAGTGGCTTCCTTCCCATAAAGAACTAGTATACCGTCCTTACCTGAACATTATCATAAAGTTCAAACAACGGCACCGCAAGAAGTTTCAAATTCTTTGGGACAGCAAAGTACTCTCGCTCGGAAAGGTGGACAATGTAAAGCTTTTTACATTCCTGCATTGACCAATAAAGTAATCTTAACCTCAGCCACACCAGATGAAAATGGGTCAGATAATACAAAAACTTGCCACTCAACAGTAGAGTAGTACCTTTGGTTTAGTGATATGAGGAGGACAGTACGGATACATGATTGTTTCAAAGTTCGGTCTCCACCACATGGCCACACACTCACCAATCTGAAATAAAAATAATGCACATGCAAGGCATAAATAATTTGAGAAATGGGAAAACACAACTTCCTGGTCAGAATTTTACAGTTTTACTAGCTATTCAACAAGTGTCAAGATTATCAGGCAAATTCCTTGCCACCAAGCAATATTGAAAGCAACATGAGTACCTTCCAATCTGGTTGAAGTTGGGGAGAATTAGCAGCAAGTTTGCTAGACAGTTTCCGCTTCAATCCCTCAATTTCTGTGAAACATGTTAATAAGCAGGATTAAGTCTCTAAAATCTAAAGCTGTAAGCACACACACATTCAAATTCAACTAGCACCACCCTCCAAAACTAAGGGTCACCTTTCCACTACATCCCACAGGGCTCTCTACTAAACCATACAAGAAACCAGTAAAAAAGAGTATCAAAATACGTGTTGTAGAACCAACTAAACTACCATACCATTCTCTCCTGGTTTGAGGCGTCCACCAGGAAGTTTGCAGAAAGTATTACCAATTTGCAGAAGAAGGATATGGGGATGATTATGCTCCTGTACCTGTTCAGGTGCATGAAATTTTCCGGTCAACAGAACTTCCATCAAGGAAAAATTATGCCAAATCAGGGAAAGCAAACTCTTCACAGCAGAAACAGATAAATATAAGCAATGAATATAAACATATATCACCCGTGCATAGACATTTCAACAACTAAAGAGGGTACCATCTAATTCTTCTCTAAAATAACCTAGCAGTACAAGTCAGAGAAGTAATGTCTGCCCATCAAAGATTGGTGTAAGTGTAACTGATCAAAAGCACTTCGTTAACAATAAATATTCAATCCAAAGCTTGAAAACACACTAAAGATACTTCCTTTATCAAAATCTACTCGTAGGGTAGGCTGCTAACCAATTACTTCCGAAACAAAGACAATTTATAGCCCACAATAAAGACAAGGCAGAAACTCTTCATCATAATAATAAATCTTGTATAAGCAACATAGGATAGTTAGTAACCCAAGACTGCTGATTTACACCTTTTCCCCCTTCAATTTCGTGACAACATACACATATAGGCGCAATGAACCTATCCATGTAAATCCTACTATAAGGAACAAGTACGAGGTCAGGGAAATAAGTACATAGATACACAGCATACATTAAGAAAAAAAAATTAAAAACATTATTACTCCTAAAATAAATCACTGATAACAAAAGGATTGAGAAAATAGAAATTCTCACCAATAAAATTCCTTCGACGCTTGTCCTCATACCCTCTTTCATGTAACTGAAGGCCAAAAAGAAATTCACAAAAAGTGAGACCCGCGTTCGTGATCTAGGGTTTCTATAGACAGAGTAAAGTGAAAGCATAAAAGGGGTTTATCTAAGGTTTTTCAGATAGAATCCAATTCCAGAAGATTTTCTACAGAAACAAGAGATCAACAAGAAGAATCAACCAAATTGAAAATCAAAAAACTCACTTGACTTTCATGCGGGCAAGACGATCGGCGACGGAAGTGTCCTTCTCCATCTTCGGCTCCTTAGTACCGAAAGTGTAACTGGAAAGAGGGTATGTGTTCACCACCGAAGACGTCACCATGGTTTCCTGTGTCTCGAATCTTAGGCTCTCCTTTGCTTCTTTCTTCCTATTTCAGCCTCAGCTCCGCCCAAATTTACAAATTTTCCCTCCCTGCTGTTTTCTCCAGTTAGGCAGGCAGAAGATCTCGACTCTTCTTCGACGAAATTTGATACTGATGTCGGGAGCCCTATTTACAAGTGAAAGCGTTGGATGCTGCACGACTTCTATTCAAATTAAACACCTTAAAACGTTTCTCGATGAGTATTCTAATGCCGGTCTTATATTACATTACTTACTCCCTCTATTTATCTATTATTCTCTCTTTGATCCCCCAACAATTTAGAGGTCAAATATACACTTTTATCTTTTGAGTCGGTTCCCTCTATTTAGTTTTTCTTCTTTTTTTTTGATATTACAGAGTGTGTACCATTGAAAACAGTGACTAATCCTCTCGGTGATTGTCAGAGTTTCCAAAAGATTTAAAATTATTCCATGTTGGATGTTGTTTTTAATTTGTGCCAAAACCATTATTACAACAAGCATACTCCCCGTCCCAAAGCAATAATCATTTTCGAGAATGATCATTTTATTACAATAAAAACAAAATAAAAAATTTACAACAAAAACAAAAATAATTCACATCAAGTTTTGAGATTTGTACTAAACTCAAGACTTAATGTGAACATTTTCTTATAATAGAGAAATTGAATTATTAATATGTTTTATACATAGGAACCAAACCAATATGTTTAATTACATCATAAACATAATTGAGCTATACAAATTTTGCAACCTTTTTTATACGGTTCCTATGATAATATTATTGCCTTACTATAGAGAAATCATACCAAAACAATTTTCTTTTAAAAAAAAACATAACTTCAACTTGTATTTCTGAAAATACTACCGTTTATCATATGATATTTTGTATTCCTTTTGTCTTAAAATAATTATCTATTTTAAATTTTATTTTTAATACAATCTGTACTAAAAGTTAAATTTTAAACTGAACGATTATTTTAGAAAATAGGAATATATGCATCCAAGATTACATTACAAAAATATCCATCATTTGTAATATGTAATGATTTCTTCATTCTTCAACTCTTCTTTTTTTTTTTCGGCCTCGTGAATAAAATGTGTAGTGGTATCATAAATTCCTCATTAATATACATACTTTTCTTCCCTGGATTTACAATCGTATAAAGGAAAACACATCAAAATATTACGAGAAGGAAAATTCCATAAAAGGATAACAAATTAAAACTCCTACAAAGAGGGAGGAAAATTCCCCAAATCAATTGCACTAGAGATGAGTCTGTATTCAGTATATTTGGAAGTATCATGCTTTCCCTTATATTTTTTTGCATTTATAGTCCTTATTGTACTTTTTCTCAATATTTTTATATTTTGCAAGTTTAGTCCTTTTTTTATCATTCCTCTAAAAAAAATCTATAATCTTTAAACGAGCATAACTCTCAATCCGTGAAGAATTAGAAAATGTTTTACATATGAAATTTATTGTTCTCATCGAGATCTATACAACAAAATCCAAATCGAATATTTTTTCCGAACTTAAAAATAACTAAATTTCGATGAGCAGAAATAAGTGGATATCCAGTTTAGGAAGATAGATAATCAACTTATTTTAAATTGGTTATCCATTGTGTTCGTGCTGATTATCCAACCAGTTGAACTGGTTATCTATTTGGTTTGTATACTTATCCAACTAGTTTTGTAGTTGTAATCCAACGGATTTGTATGCATATCCAACTTGTTTGTACTGGATGGATGTTTGTACTATATATCCATCCATTTGGTTTGTATGTTTATTCAACTTATATGTACCGGTTATCCAACGGATTTATATGCTTATCCAAATTATTTGTACTGGTTATCCAATCATTTTTTTTTGTTTGAAAAAAATCATTGTCCAATACGCTAATACTGGTTATCCATTTTGTTTATGCTGCTTCTCCAATTATTTTTTTTCATTTGAAACACGGTTATCCAATGTGTTCGTAGTGATTATCTAATCATTTTTTTCATTTTTTTTCTATTTTTTTGTACTGACTATCCAACCGTTTTGTATTGGTTATTCAATCGTTTTCACTGATTATCCAAACATAATTTATTTTATTTTTTTTCTTTTGAGAAAATATATGTCCAATGTGTTCATACTGTTTATCAATCCGACTTCTTGGTGATGTTTATCTAACCTTTTTTTTTCTTTGCTCTTTTAAGAAATGATTGTCCAATTCTTTTATAGTAATTATCCAACCAGTTTGTAGTACTAATCCAATTATTTTCAGTGGTTATCCAAATGGTTTGTAATGCTTATCTAAATATTTTATTCTTTTTCTTTCTTTTTTTGAAGAGGAGTGAATGTCAAAAATATGATTGGATAATCAGTACAAACAAAATGGATAATCAGTCTAAACCAGTTGGATAATCAGTATGAATACGACGGATAACCATTTTTCAATTTTTTCATTTCTAACCGTAAAATTTAAATGCATTTAAAGTTCAAAAAAAATATTCAACATTGATCTTATCGGATAGATCTCGTCGAGCACTATAAATTTCATATATAATTCAGTTTTAATTCTTTACAAATCAAAAGATATATGCAATACAAGAATCTCAATATAAAATAAGTTGGTTATCCATCATTTTAAACTGGATGTCCATCCAAATAAAGGTACAAATTTCCCTTTAAAAAAAAGGTACGAATTTCTTTGTTTCTACCCATCAAAATTTAGTCATTTTTAAGTTAAAAAAAAATACTCCCTCCGTCCCATAATCATTGTCCAATTTTACTAAAATGAAAGATTTTATTTTTGGTCAAACTTAATTATATTTTACCTTAAACAACCGGATATACCCCTACATAAGTAATTGTTTAACCACTAAGATTTTATGGATAGTGTTTTTTACTAAGAACAAATGTGTAACTTGATCCATAAAAAGTCAAATTGGACAATAATTTTGGGACAAAATTTTTTGGGTAAAGTGGACAATAATTATGGGACGGAGGGAGTATTCGATATGGATCTTGTTTGATAGATATCAACGAGTACTATAAGTTTCAAGTGTAACACGTTCTGTAATTCTTTACGGATCATGAGATACGATCGTTCAAAAATTAGAGATGTTTTTTGGAAGTGAGAAAAAAGATAACAGGATTAAATTTTTAAAATATAGGAAAAGTTGAGAAAAGAAATACAATAAGTACTAATAGTGAAAAAAAAAAAAAAGGAGAGTGCACATGCTCGCGGGTATATATTTGCTTTCTTTTTTGAACTGGAACCAGGCTAGCTACTTTGGAACTGGAACTTCAGCAGGACATATTTGCTTTCTTTTTTGAAAAAAAAAAAATGTTTTAGGAGTTAAAGTGATCCATTTACTAGTTAGAATGTGTATATACACAAAGAAAGTAAATAAAGAGCGGTTAAGATTTTATGTTTGTAATTTTATTCTTCTGTTGTCGAAAAAGAAAATAAAAATGGAATACAAATGCACTCTTGTAAGACATTTTTCTTTTTTCTGAAAGGAAAAAGAAAAAAAAAAAACTCTTGTCTAATTCCTTTGGTATGAAGAGTAAGTAAAAATGGTCAACAGTTATGTAATGAAATGATAAAATAATCATCATAATCTTCGTCTACCCGAGAAAATCTGCAAGGCACCATCGGAGCCACCGGCTACCAGAGTGCAGTGGTCTTCTCCCAATTGCCTCCAGCATACGCTACTCACGAAACCCCGGTCATTTTCCCATCCCGCAGGACCTTGGGCCGGTTCGAATCTTCCGGCCCATATGGGTTCGCCCCACCTCGTATCGTAAACAAACACTCTGTTGTCTTCAGATCCACAGCTCAGCAGCCCACCGCCCCTCCACGCCGATAGCCCCACAAACCTCCTCGTGTTGACGTGTCCGGTGTAACTCCTGACGACACGTCGATCTCCGGCGTGCCACATCTTCAGCGACCCATCAATGCCGGATGTCACCATTGTGTCGTGATCGATAAATCTGATGTACGTCACGGCTTTTCGATGCCCATCCAGCACCGCCACTGGGCCCGCCATCCTCCTCACATCGTAACCGTATATTCTGCTGTCAGCGCATCCCACGGCGACCATTTCGCCACGATACGGATTGAACTCCACGCAGCACACCGGGCTCTTGGCCGCGCTGGGCTGCACCGCCGCCAAGCATTCCCCGCCGTCACAGCGCGGGTCCCACATTTGCATGGTTCCGTCATCCGACCCAGATGCCCCGACAACCGAGTTGCCAGGTGAGTAATCCATGCTCCATACCCGCCTGCCTCCATGCTCGTCCCGCTCGAACACCGGCAACCTCTTCTCCAGGTCATACTCCGTCACGACGCCGTCGTAATCCGCCGACCCCAACACCGTGCCGGCTGATCCGGGCTTCCACCGGAGGCTGCTGAGCTTCGCCGGAGTACATATGTAAAAGTCACAGGCGGTGGCGTGGTCCAGCAGTTGCGTGGGAGTACTGCTCTCTGGGTGTTCGAAGGAAGGCAACAAAGACGCCGAGTTATAAATCCTTATCTTTCTGGAAATCCCGCCGGTAGCCAAGAGCCGGTCAGAAGGGTCGATCTCGATAACCCCCAGGGTGTCGGAAATGGCTCCGGAACTAACAACGGTGGAAAGGCTGAAATCCCATTCGCATCTAGCTTTATCCTCCTGCTGGTTATCCTCTGCCTCGTCTTCTTCGTCGTCGTCGTCGTCGTTTTGCTCCTCCTCATGACTTCTTCCTCTTTCTTCTAGCCTTGATTCTGATGGTTGCCGGTTTTGCTGTGGTGGGTTTGGAAGGATGCCTGAGTACTGGGAAGATAAGTTTTTCATTTCCCATTCATAGGAAGTGATTGATATAATTATGGGGGGAAATAATTGTGGTTTGTAGCCAATCAAACTATGGGAATCTGGATGATGATGATGATCAGAGTTTTGATGATTCTCTGCTGCTCCAATAAGACTAGTAGTTGTACAGGGATAAAGGCCAGTTCTGATTATTTTATCCTCCATGTCACCCCTAAATTCGATATAGACTGGTTAAATTAAAATCTCAAGTTGCTGTCTCTTATGTTGTTGGGCTCGACAATGGTTAATATTACAATTCCGCCATCTTAGGGGTGGATTGCAATTTGGTTATACTATTTAGGTCTCCCTCCTTTTAAATTTGTGGTTGACAGCGTGAAGGATGAGTTGATGTTTGCCATGCATATTTCTCCACATCATCTGTTTTGAAAGGCATAAGCAAGTATTTTAAGTGATGTATGGCAAAAAGTAGTGCCAACGCTAGACTTTTTTAGGGTATGTGCCAATGGAAATAACTGATGACGCTAGTCTTTTTTTTTAATGTGTTCTTCTGTGGTGGGAACTAGTTCGTTGATAATAAAGTTAAGGATATGGGACAGGTCCAAATCATTAAAGTTTGCCCCACCCCCAAAAAAAAAAAAAATTTACTTAAAGTGTCTTTGTCTTCAATGTTAATTTGTTTAACTTTTCTGACTAAACATTTGTTAGTTAGTTAGTACTCCATTAGGGAAACCCAATTGTGCCAGAAATTAGAAAATGTTAAAAACAGTCCAACTTTTTCGTAATCAGAATGTTTATGCGGAGTATTGGGATTGGGGCATCTTAAAGTTAGTCAATTCGAGCACCAGTCTGTCCAGGTCGGATCCAGTTGTTTAGGTAAGAAAGAACCTATTCACTTGTGGTACATTTGCGTGGGATTTGTACAATTGGGAGACTGACTACATGTTTATAGTCGGAAAAAATAGTCGAACATACATAGCGTGACGTCAACTATGACTATCCCTAATAACTTTTTCGGCCGATCAGGGGCTCGATATCCCCTGAGCCCCTAAACAGTTTCGCCACTGCTTACAAACACCAAACATAATGTAATACCAGAAGTATTAAGTATACATTAACAAAAAATTATCAAAAACCATAAATCAGTATTGATAAGTGTGAGATTCTGATAAGTGATGTGTGTGTAATAGACGTGTGTATAACGAGCACATCAATGTGAAACAAATACTTTTTAGGAGAGGAAACATATCTGTACATACGTTTTCTCCCACACCAACAATATTACTTGACTCTTGATATTTTTTAATTTAATTTGTATTCCATATGGTGTCAAGATGGTTGGACCATAGCTCTCCCACGTAATGCTTGCATACGTTTCATACGTAGATAATCTTTTATTAGCCTCCTCGTAGTGAATCAAATCAACCACTTGATACTTAATGAATTTTGCATGTCATAAATTAGCTGTATTGACCGAGGGAGAGGAGTAACATGATACTAGATGGCATTGATGAATGAACGTCCATGATCCACGGAAAAGCGTATCTATCGTGGAACAGAAAGTTGGAAAAAGATCTGATGGCAGTTATTAGCTTTGGAATCGAATTACAAACCGTAGTAGACTTGGACTAATAATAGAATACAAAATAAAAATGGGAGGTTGATAATAAAAGAGAACGTAAGAACTAAACAGTGATGGATGGGTTCTGTAAGAAGGAATTTGACTGTAGAATGGGGGCAACAAGTTGGATGTTTGTGGAGGGACAAGATGAATGGTGTGGCTGCCTGGTCTAAATTCTAGTTCTAGTTCTAACTCCTCCATTAGGAAACTTTAATAAAATCTGCTTGTGAGAAGGGGGATACAAGCTGGTGGTATCCACTACGACACGCGGCCTCTGGGGAGCCTTTTGTCCTGTGTTTCTCGCTTCACACCTAGTCAACTTGACCTTCCTTCCCTCCCTTTGCTTTCCTAGCTACTTGCCTACTATACTTCTTTTAAATAAATAACCGTCAATCCCCACACCAAATATAATAATAATAATAATAGTAGAAGTTCTAAATAGCCGTCGTCCGTAGGTATGACGGTTTGCTGTATAAAATAAATGGACTAGAACACAAGTATATATACTTTATAAAAAATGATACTCTTAGTGAAATAATATAGTGAGAAAATATAGTGCGTGACTGATGTGTATCTCTTATTTTATTGTCATTTGCCGTTGAAATTTTTTATTTCCCTCCGAAATTACTTTTTTACCGTTAATTATTATACACAGATCAGTCACTATGTATTTTCATTATTTTTAGGATTTAAGGTTTAGGGTTCTCACTATCTATTTTTATCTAAGATTGAAGATATTGAATGAACAAAAAGGAACCATTCATGTAAATCCCTTGAACACTGAGTTGCTAAAGACGCTAAAATAATTAGCTACAAAATTTATTTTCCAAAACTTATGTTTCAGCTCAACCTCCTAATCACGATTTAATAATTCTCGAATCTCATGTACAATTCCTGCATTCAACTATTCAAGTCAACAACATCATCTCTACCATAACGCTTTGACTATCAACTTCCGCCAAAACTTTCCGGCTGCCAAGGGCCAACATTCCAAGCAAGTGATAGCCCCTGGAGTAAACCACATAATTCGGCCCCATAATGGAGTAAAAACTAATGTTCATCACAAAGTCCCGTACCCGCCAACCATGCCATTCCTGTCTCTCTATTGAAACTACCATCCGCGTTAACTTTTCATCCACGGTTAACTTTCATCCGAGTTAACAGTGGGTTCCAATGAATCCTTTGAAACTCTCTTCCAATACCAGCTCCACCTATCTCCTTATTCCATAAAAAAATTAATTATTTGTAACATTAGATTGTATTGATAAGAGAGAAAGAGTATATTTAAAGTAATATTATTAATTGCATTAGCGAGATCCAGCCATTTGCTCGATATGATAACGTACATCACCGCAATAAGAGCACAACTCTTGGCTAACCCAGAGAGCCATAACCAAAAACAATATACAAATAGTACGAAGAAAATAAGGACATGCATGTCCGTCCTTGTTGCATAGTATACCCGTGAGATTTTCAAAGTGTGGAATAATTTTGGAATGGGATGCATTTCCTACACCGGGGTAACTATAGGGATGTATATGTGGCTAATTGTGACCCAACTTCCGGTCAGAATGTCTCCATCATCGGATAACATAAACCAATTACAAAGACATTGCGATATCATCTCTCCACATCATATATATCATTGTGGTACCGCCTCCAAATTTAGGACCACTTGATACTTTTTTTGCTAACCAGTTCTGAACCCTCTGACTCCCTCTCTACACATATACATGAAAAAAAAAAATCCACATAAGATTGTTGCTATTTTTCTCCATCTGTTTGTAGTATTGTGACTATTATGGTAACATTTTCATTGATTCTTTTTCCTTGTTTCCACCATTTATAAACTTTGATTAATGTACTGTCTTCAGTTCACTTTCTAATTTTCTATCATGTTGGAAAGGGTACCGTTGGGCGGCCCAGCGGTCCATGGCCAATAATAGCCCAGTATATATACTTAAGCTAATCATGCATTCGGACCGTTTTAATACTAGGCAGCTGCCAGCAAGTTTCATTCCTGAATTTGGTCATTACGGTTCTTGGCATTCCGTATTGGAGCCTAGCTAGTAGTAAGGATTTTTCCATCTTATGGAGTTCATCAAGGTTTAAACGTTGTTACTAGCCAATAACCAAAGTTCAAGTAAGGGGCAAACTTGCATTGTCCCCCCTAATCCTATATCTTGTAAGATTAGCAATAGCGTGATTTGAAAAGAAAATCGTTTTTTTTCCTTAAAGTAGTTTTATCTTGGTTTTGAGCCTCATGCACACTATAAAAAATTAAATGTGATAGGCATTTTCGGGTTTCCTACTATGAAATTTAAGCTTGTTTTGCTTCTTTTTTTTTTTTTTAATCGTACTAAGCAAATTTAAAGTAAACACTCATGACAAGCAATTGATTTCACCACATTTCCTTCCATTTGTGAGTCACTTAGACTAAAATTTTCCAATATTTTAAAAGTTTGAAACTTTGAATTGACGTTTGCTTTTAACAGCTGAAAAATATTGAAGATCACAAGTAACCTACGGCGAAATATTAAGGACAAAAATGCAATTCACCCTACTTCCATGTCCATCTATGGCAAAAAACTGGGCATAACATTAAATTGGACCTTATGGCACTATTGGGCTTACTACATCCGGATCTGTGGTAAGGGTTATTGGATCCATACAATTCGAGACGATATATTTTATATTTTAAAAAACGGGGAATTCAATAAGGCGGCAAACGCCACCACCCGCCACCAGCCTCCGAACCACCAGTGGAGCTTCAAAAACTCAGGGAAACGATCATGAAGAAGCAGAAGCAACAAGTTATTTCTCGCTTTTTTGCACCAAAATCCAAAACCCAACAAAAACCCTCTTCATCCGATTATCCACCATCATCATCGTCATCCTTGCCGACCTCACAATCGCAACCTCCAACGCCACCGCCAAAAATTTCCGCCACCGTCGCATTTTCCCCTTCCAAACGTCTCCGAACATCCCAGCTCATTTCCTCTTCTCCTCAATCCAACTCCAAGGCTCCGAAATTGCTTCATTTTTCGGACGACGATTCGCAACAATATCTTTTTTCCCATAAACCCTCAAAGAAACCTAAGTTTTCACCCCACACGCATAATCCTATCCCGCCTCTACCTGACCCTGTTATTCATAAGAAATTCTTGGAGAAACTTCTGGAACCCTCTCAAGAATGGCTGGAACCTTCCAGAAATCGGCAAAATTTGAACCAACCTAAGTACACTCCACTGGAGGAGCAAGTTGTGGAGCTTAAGGCTAAGTACCCTGATGTTCTCTTGATGGTCGAAGTAGGGTATAAGTACAGATTCTTTGGTGAAGATGCTGAAAATGCTGCTAGGGTTTTGGGAATTTACGCTCATATGGATCATAATTTTTTGACTGCTAGTATACCCACATTTAGGCTGAATGTTCATGTGAGGAGGCTTGTTAGTGCCGGGTACAAAGTTGGGGTTGTAAAACAAACTGAAACTGCAGCTATTAAGGCTCATGGAGCCAATAAGGCGGGACCCTTTTGTCGCGGGTTATCGGCCTTGTACACCAAGGCCACGTTGGAAGCTGGTGAAGATTTGGGTGGGGAAGAGGAGGGTTGCAGTTCAGTTAACAATTATTTGGTTTGTGTTGTGGAGCAGGAGGTTGAAAATGGGCAGGGTGCAAACGAGAGCAGGGTTGATGTCAAACTTGGTATAATCGGTGTTGAAATTTCAACTGGTGATGTTGTTTTCGGAGAGTTTGAAGATGATTTTATGAGGTCTAGCCTGGAATCTATAATTTTGAACTTGTCTCCTGCTGAGTTGATTCTGGCGAATCCATTGTCTAAGCAGACTGAGAAGGTAAAGTCCAGCTTGCATAATGCTTTTACTTCAGAAATGCAGAAGTCCAGTTATTCCGTATAACACATATGACGGAGTACATTTTATTTTCCATACTATTTAGGTAACAGGTTTTAAGAAGAATTCCACCTTGAATCATCTTTCAACTGGAATGCTGTTTTACTCTTGTAGTTGCTTTTAGCATATGCTGGACCTGCCTCAAATGTTCGCGTGGAGCATGGCTCACGAGATTGCTTTGCTGATGGTGGTGCATTGGCCGAAGTAATGTCTCTGTTTGAGGAGATGGCCGAGAATAAGCTAGTAAACTCGTGCAATGGGGAAGATGGAGAAGTTAGAGTGGAGGACAGCGAGTGCCCTGCAATCAAGGTCTTCTTTTTGCTTGCTTGTTATCTTAAGATATACATTGCGGGTTTTACCAGTTGCTTAGGAATCTTGTTACTTTGCATGAATTCGATAAATATCTCTTCTATTCCCCCTTCCTCTGATGCTAAATTTAACCAAATGTACAGGGAATCATGGCCCTCCCTAATTTGGCAGTACAAGCTTTAGGTTTAACCATTCGTCACCTCAAACAGTTTGGGCTTGAAAGAATCCTCTGTATGGAAGCTTCATTTCGTCCTCTTTGTACGAAAATTGAGATGACCTTGTCGGCCAATGCGCTTCAGCAACTGGAGGTGGTACTTTTGGAAATGATTTGAGCTTCTCATTTCATCAATTTAAGATTAGTAGTTTGCAACCATTTCTGTTCTTAAAAAAATTGCCATGCATCTTAAAATGACATCACTTGTAGCACATGACATGCTAGTGGGCTAGATAGTGGAACGTGAATAGGGAGTGGCTTGGGGGATTCTGATTTGTCGATTCATGTGGGAAAGCCATAGAAGAGGTCTGCTAATTCACTATTTTACTGGGAATTTTATGATCTTAAACCGAATGTCTTTCTTGTAGATACTGAAGAATAATGCAGATGGCTCAGAGTGTGGCACCTTGCTGCAATGTATGAACCACACTCTTACCATTTTTGGTTCAAGGCTTCTTCGCCATTGGGTATGAACTATTATTTCTGTCTTATCCATTGTTCTTCCTTGAAGTACGTTATGGATGGGTAAACTCCACATATATATCAATATACAACTTTGTACTTCCTTATGTTTGCACGTAACTTCAATGCTTGATTTAAGTTCTTCAACATCTCAGGTTTCACATCCTTTATGTGACAATAGCATGATAAATGCCCGACTGGATGCAGTTTCTGAGATTGTGGAATCCATGGATTCCATTAAAGCTTCCAGTAATTTGGAAAGTGATGGGGGAAGTTCTGGCATCCTCGTCATAAAGCCTGAAATTCATCAGATCCTATCTTCAGTATTGACCTTTTTGAGTAGGTCGCCTGATATCCAGCGTGGGATAACAAGAGTATTTCATCGCACAGCTACTGCGTCGGAGGTAGAATAAGTTTGTTTCTAAGCATAATTACGATAACTAACCTTAGTCATCCCTCCATAGTTTTACCTATTTCTTAGGGTGTACAGTCCATATCCTTAGTCCCTTGTCCCAATCATTAATGACTGCGTTAATGAGTTATATGTCTGACTGTGTAATTTCTTATATACACGTCTATTGGCTTTGGTTAGAGATTATTCCTGCTTGTCTGGAACACTTGGATAATCATAGAATTGAGGCTTTTGGGGAAAAGAAGGGGACGGGTGGGCGTGACAAAAGAACCTCTTTACATTCATTACATAGAGATGGTTGCATTGTAAAAAGTTCCAAAACCTATGTACTTCTGCTTTGGCTTGGTAATATAAATATCAAAGCAAATTGTTGAGAGGACTTGAAACTGCAAATTAATACCGTTGCGGGTTTTATTTTTATTATTATCATTATTATCTTTGAGTCATTTAGATTATGTCTTTTAAATGGGTGTTAGACTGTTAGTTATATCTGTTTGAACTTCACTTTCCGATTAGACTTGTGCTGCAGTACTTGAAGATAGTCACTTTATGACCAGATTTACAGTTCATTGCAGTTATTCGAGCTATTTTACTAGCTGGAAAGCAGCTTGAAAAACTCCATGTTCAGGAAGAGGATGATTGTGTAACCATGCAAACAAAGACGATCTGCTCACCTCTTCTAAGAAAGTTGATTGAATCAGCTTCGTCATCCAGTCTTATGTCTACAGCCGAAAAATTATTGTGTGGGCTAAACGAAGAAGCTGCTGATCAAAAAGATATTCATAACTTATTTGTCGTCGATAATGGACAATTTTCAGAGGTTTCCATTGAAGAGTCAAAAGCTCGTGATCTTTCCACTTCTTCGTCTATAGTTTTTGCGTCTTTCATGTCTCTCTTTGCTTGAATAACTTGTGGAATTTGTAGGTTGCTAATGCTAGAACAAAGGTTGAGCTGGCAAAGGAGAAATTGGATTCTTTGATTAGAACGTACCGCAAACAATTAAAAGAACACAACTTGGCGTTCATGAGTGTGTCTGGTGTTACTCATTTAATTGAGGTAATTTGCTTAACTGATTTCTGAAATTTGTCAACCTGTCAAGACTTTCTGGCTTGCAAAATTTCCAAATTTCATGTAATCCTGCCTTTTTAATCTGCCCTTGTTCATTGTTTCTTTACTTTGACGTTGGCTGGTTGGTGGGTGGCAATGGATCTTTAAACCACAGATGTCGTGTCTGTTTCATACATGAGACTCTTTTGTTATAATGTACAGAGAGATATCTTTTGGTATTCTTTTCTTAGTTAAATGATCCGGACTTCTATGTTGTTGTGATGTGGGGAGAAAAGCGAGTCTGCAATAAATTATATTTCTGTGTAAGAAATTTTTTATTTATCAAGAGTAGACCATTTCAACCAACATGCTTTAGAGATCTTTTCTTAGAATTTGACAAGTTCGACTGGATGAAATATTGGTGTTTGCTTCTCCACTGTTTGTAATCTCTAATGATATGTAACTTCAACTGCAGTTACCGCTAAATGTTAAGGTGCCTTCAAACTGGGTGAAGGTTAATAGTACGAAGAAAACAATACGTTATCATCCTCCCGAAGTGTTGGCAGCCTTGGACCAATTGTCATTGGCAAACGAGGAGCTAACTCTCATTTCCCAAACTGCTTGGGATAGTTACTTAAAGGACTTCGGTAGGCACTATGCCGAGTTCCAGGCTGCTGTTCAGGCTCTCGCTGCTTTGGATTGTCTGCATTCACTTTCTATTCTTGCTAGGAATGAGGTGTTTTTCTTAAAGTTAGATGCAGCTGTGTGTATTTACTAATAATGTAAATCTCTAACCTTTCAACTCATCTATTGCTATTGCAGAATTATGTCCATCCAACTTTTGTCAGTGACAGTGACCCTATGCAGATACAAATTATAGCTGGTCGTCATCCGGTATGTTCTTTTAACAAATGGTAATCATCTGCATTGATTACAAATTTGACTCTTAATAACAAGAATGTGATGGACCATATCTTTGTTTGGATTTAGTTATTACTGGTTGATTTACTTGTTTATATTCTCCCTCCTCTCTTCCTACCTTTCTTTGCTCTCAGCTGTTTGCATGAGTGTCACTTTCATTTACTTGTACATTACTGATTTCATGTTATTTTGGTGTCCCAGGTGATGGAGACCGTGTTACTAGATAACTTTGTCCCAAATGATACAAATCTGCATGCCAAAGGAGAGTGCTGTCAAGTTATTACTGGGCCAAACATGGGTGGAAAAAGTTGCTATATTCGCCAAGTTGCTCTCATTGCTATCATGGCTCAGGTTGGATCAAGTTTTAGTGTTCAAGCTTACCACATGATTTTCTTTTTCCACTAACATTGTTATGCTAAGAATATTTTCTTTGGCTGACAACAAGACTTAAGAACACCTTGTTATTGTTCCTTGTGAAAGAATTGAGTTTAAACTTTTTGAGGTTTAATTGAACTAATCGATGTGCAAGTGATTGGTCACAGCTAACCTAAAGTCCCACTGATATGTGTACATGTAGGTTGGTTCTTTTGTACCAGCATTATCAGCAAAGCTGCACGTGATAGACTGCATTTACACGAGAATGGGAGCTTCTGATAGTATCCAACAAGGAAGAAGTACTTTCTTGGAAGAACTGAGTGAAGCTTCTCACATTCTACACAACTGTACAACCCGCTCATTGGTTATCATCGACGAGCTTGGGAGAGGGACAAGTACGCATGATGGGGTTGCGATGGCCTATGCTACGTTGCATTATCTTCTAGCAAATAAAAGATGCATGGTTCTATTTGTCACACATTATCCCGAGATAGTCGATATAAAAGATGAATTCCCAGGTTCAGTATCAGCATATCACGTTTCATATTTGACCTCACAGAAAGATGAACAACTGGATACAGATTCAAACTTGAATATGGACGACATGATTCAAGATAACATTACCTACCTTTACAAACTTGTTCCTGGCATTTCAGAAAGAAGTTTCGGGTTCAAAGTTGCTCAACTTGCTGAGGTAAGTAGCTTACTGTCAGATGACTACTGATTCATGAAAATCATGTAAAGCTCACTGCCTTTTCAGACTTTAGACGCATAGTATGCGTTCACAATAAATGACCGGAATTTATGTTTTCCTCATGTTCCCTCTTTTATGACACTCTGTGTCAGAATTGCTGGGTTTGTTTTGAGTATTTTTCTGCACATTTTCTAAACTTTTCTCTGCAGATTTTCTAAATGAGTTATTGTGCATATGTTTATGTTTCAGCTGCCTTTGTCATGCATTCGACGAGCCATTTTGATGGCCACAAGATTAGAAGCTGCTGTGTGCAACAGAGAGAAACTCAGGTTGGCTAATACTTGTTTTTCGGATAAAGGATCAAGTCCAAGTCAAGAAGTTGAGGGAGAAAAAGATGAGAAAGCAGTTGAGATGTTTCACAAATCGTTGGACTTGTGCAAACAGTTCTTTCGATATTTCAACTCCGCAATTTCAGGAGAAACTGACGTTGCAGAAAGGTTCAAGAACTTGAAGCTCGCTAAGAATCTTGCGGTCGAGTTGATCAATAGGTGCTAGGTAGACAGGTGATCTGGTCTAACATATGCTCCATAACTATTTATTTGGGATGGAGGAAGCAAATATAAAATTTTGGCATGTAGTTTGCGCTTGGCATTATGAGATGCAATGGTTTATACTCGGTGTAATTGGAGAACCCAAACCTTTCTATTGCCCCCTTGGCATACAATAAGTAACCGCATTTGCTGCAACTTCATTGCTCTGGCAAGTGCTGATTATAATCGTCGTGTTAAAATCACAACAATGAACACTGAATTCACCCCTAGTTATAATATAGAGAGCACCTAGGTGCGCCCAAAAAGAGGGTTAAATTTTTTTTTTTAATTTTTAATTTCCTAATATCTTTCTTAATTTTCAGCCATTATTAATCATATCCATCTTTCTATTCTAATCCAAACACGTCTCAAACTAAAAAATCTAAAAAACAAAATATTCTCTGCAGCGATTTGGCATCGAAACTTCTCGTCGACGGTTTTTTAAGACGGAATCTGATTGTGCATCAAATCCCGTGAGTTCCGTTGCAATATACGCGATTGAATATGAGAATTACGGTAAGATTTGAGATTATTCATTTGTTTTGTGTTTTGTCCGGTGAATTTTGTTTGAAATTCTCAAATTCTTTGATTGGTAATTTCGAATTGCCAGTTCCAACCCGTTAGATGAATTGTTAGAGGTTTATGGATTTAGATCTTTTGGGAAAAAGAACAAAATTCAGATTTTGTGAATCGCCAGAGGTTTATGATTGGGTTTTGTCTCTTCAACAATTGATGTGTTTTTTTGATTATGTTATATAGATATAAGGTATGTGCATTCGATTATAGATTTTTGTTCATCAATTTTTAAGTTTTCTTCATCGTTCTGTTGTTGTTTTTAGAAAAGACTAATAGATCTGGACATTATTCATTAGTTCGTATTCGGTATTCATCATTGAAACTAGCAGATTCATCTGTTATTAGCTGGTTATTCATATTTAGTTTTTTGGTTAGGCTAGGTATATCGAAGATCTCTGCATTCGATTATAAATGGTTGTTTACCAATTTGTTAGATTTGTTCATCCATTGGTTGTTGATTTTGGAAGAATTCCAGATATGTTCATTATTCAGCAATTACCCTGCCATTATTCATCGATAATAAAGAGTTATTTATCATAATAATTGTGTTATGTGATTGTTATTCTTTTTTCTGTTAATTGTTATTCATCTGGGTGGATAAATGGAACATGCATATTTTGGTCATTTTTATCCGTAATATTTGGTTATTTATCTATTTCTATGTTCAACGTATTTTTCGAATGACCTATGCATATACATCGATATAGTTATTCATTATTAAAACTATAAGTATTCCTCCTAACGAATTTATGATTCTAATGCACTACATTTTCTGATTTTAATAAGTAAAATATGATAATTCGTCATACATGTGAAGGTATTCATCATTGGTGAAATAGTTATTCATTTAGTATGGAATGGTTATTCATCATATTAACCTGACATGTTATATAGTTTCATGGTTATTCATCATGTTAAAGATGATTATTCATCTTCAATAGCCTTGTTATTGATGATTAACAGAGTTTTGATTAAATGTGAAATCTCACATATTGTAATGTTGTTTTTGTTTGATCAGCGGCAAAAAAATGCTTATCAAAATGAACTCGATCGGTCGCGAATCAAATTTTTTTGTAGAGTTGCTCAATCAAACAATCAACATAAACGCATCGAGCATCGACGGATCTTTGAAGACCTTATATATTAAAAATAATGACTAGTTTTTCTGTTTAATTTTGATATAGTATACTACATAATTAGAATTTTGTTAGCTTAGTTGCTGACATTATCTCATTGTAAAATATACTTTTGTTAGTTTTCTTGATCAAGATTATTCATTCTGTTGCGCATTATTCATCACTAATGATATATTATTTATTTATTAAAATACAATCATTCATCTTGCAAAAACTACATATATTCTTCATTTTAATATTGTTATTCATCTAAGATGGGATCATTAATCATCAAAATTTGCATCATTATTCATCTTTGTGAATATTGTTACTCATTCATAAATTTACTACTTCACATATCCAATTTTATCAAAAATAAAATCCATCATTTTAACCAAAAAAAAAAAAATCTTATGAAATAAAATAATATAAAAGCTAATAGGAAAAGCATTAAAAAAAAAAATCAGTTTGAAATTAAACATATGTTAAAAAATGGGATAAAATTTAGAGAATTTAATGCGCATGTGGCGTCTTAAAATCCGGACTAAAAGCTCTATTTGTGTAAGGGATAATATAGGTGCTTGTTATTATTTGCCCCACGATATCACACAAGAAAAAATCATAATAATTAATTAATTTCAATATTAATATAAAACAAAAAAATGTTTGTTAAAAGAATATTTCAAAAGCTCAATTGTTATCATAGGACTTTCCCATAGAATTTTTAAAAAGCTCAACTGTTAATCAAAAGACTAATATTTTTATGGTATTTCAATTCGGTAATTAACTTAATTAATTTATCATTATTAATATAGGACTCACATAAATACTTGTTTTAAGAGAAATTAGGCGTGTAAGTCGAGAAAATATCTACAAATTTCAAAATATATTATTTTCTATTGTTTTTTACATTTTTATTGTGTAGTTAGTGATTATTGATTAATGTAAAAGAATCATCATAAAATTCACAAAATATTCCATCTTTATAGAATTTTTTCGGTCGGATTGTTCATCTACTCAACAACTATGATGAGATGGGTCACGGAGAAAGTCAACATAAGCCAAATCAATTTTTTTAATCAATTTATAACATGTTGATCGTATTATGATTTTGAAATTAATGATTATTAACAGAGGAGTCACAAAAGTACTTGGTTTTTAAGGGAAATTAGGCTTGTCGACTTTGTCGTCGACTTAATCTGAGTAAAACTGACTCATTCCAGATTATATTGTTATCATTTTAGATATCTTTTAAAAAATTTTATTGTGTGATAAGTAATTAATGTATGAGAATCAATGTAAAAGTCACACAATACTCTCTGTTTATAGAAATTGTTTGCGTCAGCTTGTTCGTCTTCTTAACAACTGTGACGAAACAGTTTACAAAGTCAACAAAAATAAAAATTAATTATTTTTTTCATCAATTTCATAAATTTTTGATGATATTGTTATTTTTTAATAATTTATTTATCTTATTTTTATGAAACTCACAAAATACTCCCTCCGGTCCTTATTATAAGATATTTTGATTTCGTTCTAGGTTTCATATAGGATGTCTTTTTAATTGAAATAAGAATCTTAAAAATATTTCATAATAATTAGGAGAACACAATGAACGTGAAAATATATTTTAAGGTTTTTTTAATTAAAAAAAATCTTAGGTTAAACCTAATACGAAATCAAAATACCTTATAATAAGGACGGAAGGAGTACTTGTTTTTCAAGAAAAATAAAAAGCGTCAACTAGCTCGTCCACTTTACAAATCTGACTATAAAGTCGACGATATCAAAAATATATTGTTATCTATCATTTTCTATTTTTTTTTTATTTTTTTGTATTTGAAATCAATACGAAATTCACAACATACTTAATTTTTGTCGAAATTATTTTCATAGGTTCACAAAAAATCAACAAAAGTCAAATTTTTTTTGGATCAATTTCATAATATTTTGATGGTATTATGATTTGGTGAATAATTAATTTAGCATTGATAATATAGGAATCACCAAAATGCTTTTTTTCAAAGAGAAATTAGGAGCATTTGCTTTGTGTTGACGTAACAAAGCCGAAGACAAAGTAGACAACTTCCAAAGTATGTACAAAAAATACTTGTTTTCTAAGAGAAATAGGGTGCGTCTACTTTGTCGTTGATGTAAGAAAGCCGACGACAAAGTAGACGAATTCCAAAATATATTGATTTCTGTCATTTTCGATAATCTTTTAAGAATGCCATACTGTTTTGCACCGTATCGAAAGTTACATCTGAATACAATGTGTAAATGGGCTATGAAGGGCAACAAGAGGGCTACAAAGCCGAAGCAGGCTGGGAGTCTACTCTCATCTCGCACTTTAACTTTAAAAGTGATTATTAATTTATTATTGCCAAGAAAGCTGAACTTTTTTTTCTTTTTTCTTTTAACTCCAAAGGTTATATTTGATCTCTGAAGTTGTTTTGATGAATTGTGACTGACAAGGTGACAAAAGTTAGCTAGGGGAAGAAGGTGGCAGAGCTGAAGGCGGAAGGTCGGTTGAGTTGTGAAGATTGAAGTCTGAAGATGGGTGTTTCACGGGCACCAATTTTTTTAAAGTATTGCAGAATCGATCAACCCTTCTCAGTGTCAAGTAGTGTTTGTTTATAAGAATGTCCATCTCATTACCCTTTCCAGATTGTTTACAGACCATATCCACTTTAGCAAATTACAAACACGTCTAAACAAAGATGACTGCATCTAAATTCTGAAGTTCCTGACCGCTACTGTCATAAAAATTATGACATCAATAATTTACATTCTACAGTGTTACTCAATGATCTCCGATTCTAGCAATGAACAACCTTAGCTCTCTGGCTTTTCTAGCATGATCAGGTGACGTTTCATTTTCTGACTCGCTCAAGTCGATTATATCAACAACATCCACCACGCCCCCTAGACGTTTTGATGTACTACTAACCTTGATGGGTAAAGGAGTGGATAGATCAATGACTTCAGGTTCAGACAAACTGGGAAATAATTTGCAACCCGAACTCGAGATCTGGCCCGCCTTACTTTCTAATGCACTCTCAAGGTGCTGCTCTTGTGTTGAAATATCTGGTCCGGATAGGGCAACACTCTTTCCCGCTGTCAGCCCTCCAGGGAACCTGGCAGCTTCCTCGTCTTGGTTCTCGTTTTCTATGTCAAGTAGCAGCTTTTGAAGTTTTAGATCAATATCCTTCACTAATAACTCATCTTCCGATTTCTTCGGTCTTCGTATCCGTTGATTTCTTTTCTTTCCTTGAGCTCTTTCCTCCTGGAACTCCAAGATCTTTTCAGGGCAAGCACTAGATGAAGGAAAACAAATAGATTAAGTCATTTTTGAGAATAGCAACCAGGCCATCCTGGAAAATAACAAAAGGCCAGGGAGACTGTAAGAAGAAAAAAATGACAATTAGTTGCCAATATGGATACGCACGTACCTCTCTATGAGATCAGCTGGTACAACGGATTTTTTTAAGCCATGCATATCTTCCCATGAAACCTCAAAGCAGTCTCTTCCTTGAAGCTTTCTTTGCTTGAGAATACTTGACACAGGGCATTTTACTGCCATCTGCATTTCATTAAAAAATAAATTAATTAATTAATTAATTCATAGCCTTTAACCCACTGTCTTGTCGACTAAATGGATCATCACTTGCCATCACATGATGTAAGGAAACATATTTCCCTTTAAAATCAAACAAACCATGTCTTTCTAATGTTTGTTACATCCAAGTGGAACATCACATGTACAACCAGGACAATGCAGTTGCAGATTACTATATCGCCAAATCCATTGATTTAAGTTTAGAAAAATACCTCATCCATTGGAATTTTTACACCAGCTTTTGATGAAGTACAACGTAAATTAGCATATCGCCTCAATTCTCTTTCAGCTATCCTAGGAAGAATATACTCATCTGAAAAACAAAATAATTCTCCCCCAAAGGTGGAAAAGAGGCCAAAACTCAGAGAAAGGAGAAGAAAGGAAATACAGTATCCTTGTGCTTATACCAAGACTTAGGCTTTTGGAGGTTAAAAGCCTGCGTCCAATTGTCATTTTCAGTGCGCAATGGCAATTTGAATTATTTATAAAGCATGCTAGCGCCTCCAGTTATCACAACATTATGTAGATATTTTGAGAGAAACATTGCTTGGTTGAGTAGATAACATTCTATCAGAATCCATTTTGAGAAAAAGAGGTTGAAAGTAAGATAAAGTTCATGATTAGCAGAAAAAATGTAACTTTTGTCTGAAAAGGACCCTAATGTCATATTATTCCTCTTTGCACCAATTCAAGATACTTAAACTAATATTAGGAATCAACATCTTTGCATCGAGGAAAAGCAACATGCAGTAGGGAGATTTAGAATTTAACCTGTCTTTTCAGGAGACCAATCAAAGAATTGAGTGCATCTCTGCTGAAGTTGGTGTCGGTTAAATGGATAGACACCCAGAACCCTGCAGAAAAAAAGGAACGAATAGAAAAGGTTGTATCTCACTTCTTGTAATAAAGTGGGGGGAAAACTATAAGTCAAACTTGTTCTTCTTCTGTGCCAAGGTCAAGGCTTTAAGGCACAGATCAACATGCATAACTTCGCATATTGCACTGAAACAGTAACAAAGAAAATGTAAAAGTTATTCCGAGTTCAAACCATAGATCAGTACCTATTCACAGCATCAGAGTCAGCTTGATGGCACTTAGGCTTCAAATAAGCATCAATCACTTGGATGAACTCTTTATTCCTTTGTAAATCAATTTCAGTCCCTACAAGGAAGGAACTTCTTTAATTAACTATTTCATCTAAAATTAGTTATCAACTTATATAGATACTCAGTCTTTGTTGGGATTTAACTAACAAGCTGAAATACATGCATTTAATTTCTTCAACAAAAGCAAGACGAGACTAGGTTGACAAGCACCAACCTTAGCAGCTGCTACAGATAGAGAAAAAACAATAAGGATAGAGATGAGGTTCTCAATAAAGTACTAAGAACCAGATTTAGAATGATAACAATGAAAATAAGAGTAAAGAGAAACAACAAGAATAGAGATAGAAGCATACAGGCCACTAATGAATGATGCAAAATGTGTGTGTGTGTGTTTTGTTAATGCTTTTCCAATGCCATTCAAACCTTAGTTCATGAACAACCATTCAGACAACCAATGCAAGCATTTTACATATCAAAGGGGAGTTTCCATTTAACTCACTGTTAGCATCCCCTTCTTGATTTACACCTGTGATTTTGGCCTGCTTTTTTGAACCCTTCGCTTTCTTCAAGAAGGGGAGTCCCTCAGAAGCAATTTGTTGAAGGACAGAGTTATCATCAACTGATTTAAGTATCTGAAAAGCTGCCTCCTGACGTCCAGAAAGAAACTAGATTACCACATTATTCGTATCAGAGGAAATGGTCTCTGATAGAGGGAATCAACAGTAAGTTTCTAAAGCTTACCCGACCAACACCATGCACCCCTTGGGAGTAATCACCACCCAGAAAAACAGCTAAAGAAATCTGAGCAATACCAGTTACTAACTTGTTACTTTATAAGTATCAAATCGTACAAACAGAAATAAAATCAGGTAATAAAATAACCATCACACATTCTAAAGAGTTTTTTCCTCAGTGAAAAGTCTGCATAAAGTCCAGCTTCAAATTAAAAACAGTTGTAGTAATCTTAAAATCAGGACAACTGCAATAACAGCCAAAAACAAATCATTCTTGCCAAGTCACTATGGAAAATTTGTTATTGATGTCCACAATTTCATGTTTAGAGATTACCCCATAATATTGTCACAAGAGAGCAAACATACCAAAGAATTCCTACCAAAGCCAAGCTTTCTCTCTATATCAGCCATTTCATAGCAGACAACATAGCCACCATCAGCTGCATTGTAAGAAACTCGGTACCCTCAATTAAGTGAAAAGCTTAAAGAGATAAAAGTACAACGGCGACAATTTCAAACTACATACCAAGACAAATATCTCTATAAACTGTCCGGGCACCAAACAGGAAAGCATCAGAATCTGAAGTGTAACACGCATCCTGGAAGTCATGGTAAAAAAAGAGTAAAGATTGTGGAGGAACAAAAGAAGAATCTGGATGTGAGGGTCCTATGCTAAAAGGGACTCAATTTCGTGGAGTTCAGAAGTGTCGATAATACCAAACTCTCTCTAAATTGGCAGCATAAAAGAGAAACTAGAAATTAACGCCCAACACTTACACACAAAGATTCTGAGTTCAGTAACGCACACTGAGCTTCTGCCTCCTCAACCCTGAGAATTGAAGCGTATTCTTAAATTAAAAACCCACCGTTAATTTCTTGCAGAACTTTAAGATGTAACAAAGCCACAGAAGGTTAGACAAGATTTTCGACTTTAATAACAACAAAAATATGCAATGTACAAACCATAAAATGAACTATAAATCAGAGGCAGACAAACATCTCAGGCACAGAACTGATTTCATCATTCTCCGAAGCCATTGTTTTCCCAATCCTAGCCAACAAATTACCAGCATGCAAGATAGTTGGATTACCCATCTAGGCAAGGAATCCCAAGCGCATAGCCAAGAATTTTAGCCTCCTTCATCATGCATGAGAATTCAGAGCCCATGTTTCTCCGCAGTGATGATACTTTATCAGCTTTTCTTTCATCTTCATTGACCTGCATATTAGTGATAATTTAGTATGAACACAACTACAATAAATGAGAGATGCCATGGCAAGAACAGAAAGAAGAAAATTTGGGCAAAAACTAATCTACCTCAGTTCCAACATTTAACCGCCGTCTATATGTAGACAATTTGATAGAAGGAATTGCCCCATCTGACAGAAAATTGAGCATGAGTCCATAACACACACAATTTTTATTAACTGTAGAATCAAACAGCAAAGTGATTCCAATCAATTGAACGACGGAGTGACAAAGGGCAGAAAAATATCGATAACGAAATTTTGGAAGCGAAAAAGGAAGCAAGAGAAAAGAAGCACCAGTGACTAAAATGAGACTGCAATTCAGAGCAATAAGGGCTCTGAGGCGGTGAAAGAGGCACTGGAGATAGAGCTTGCTCCTCAACGCACAGTGGGTTTTATTCACGTTGTGAAGCTGCACAAGCCAGCAGGACAGATCTATGCAGACCCTCTTGTTCCTAATCAACCAGTTAGTTACGGATCAAAGCACCAAGAAAAGCCGAATTTAATAGTATTACTTTAATTGATTAAGGAGAGGGAAGAGGGAAGAAGCACAGAAAGAGGGTTCTAAGAATTGGGAACGTAAAGAGAGAAGTCTTACTGAAGATGATGAAGAGGGAGCGTCTTCTTGCATGATTCTAAGATATCCCAAAGATTTCTGACTCCCATTTTCTCCTTAGAAGATAATTATCAGACCGGAGTTGTTTCCGATTTCATCCCAAGTAGACGGAAGGAGCATGTGCAATTTAAACTGAATAAAGTAACTATTTCTCATATTCAAGTAGCCGTTCTCTTTATCCAACTACCCTCAACTCTTTAGTCTCTTTTATCCTCCCGCTTATACCCCATTCGTAGATTCTAAACGGCTACCGGCTCAGTCCTATTTGTTGGTTTAGTCTTTCGGGAAGTGACCGTCGAGTGTGTTCTGTTTTTAGTTGGTATTCTTCTTTCAGTTTGGTGGAAACGAAGAATGTATAACCCCTCCAACCATCTGAACATATGTTTGGTAAATTTGCCGGTCGAAAATGCCTTTATGAAGAGGTAAACGGGGGAATGTTCAGATAAGAATGAAACATATGCTTAGCACTGAAAAATGCCGAGACTAAAAACATCTCCAACTGATGCCACACGTGCATGAGATGAATACATAACAGGCTAATAACATTACCATTCTCGATTCCAACTACAAATCTCAAAAGTTGCTTTGAAATAGTACATGTCCACCACAACCAAATAAATCAAATGCCAATTTTATGGACTTCTAACAAGGGAAAAAGAAAAAGGAGATAAACTGAAGTTTTGAGGTGGGCAAACGGGGAGCACCCCCAAGTCATTCTTATTCAGTCAACATCGTATTTGTCACATACACTTCAAAAAAAGGCTACTGGAATACATAGCCAATTATAGAAAGCAAGATGATTTTTGCCACCATCGCAGTGTCGCATGGTTGGTTCACTATCAATCTACCACAACATCCCACTATGCTTCTTTTTCCCCAAAATTTTTGCACCAGAGCTGAGATGGAATCGGCCGAACTGGTTTATGAGGCCGTTGCTGCAAGAGCAAATAATCGTCAGCACATAAATAGAAACACAAGAAGTGCAAGTAAACTGTAGACACATTTATACAATATCAAAGAGAAAAGGGTTTCATTTATCAAGAACTGCTCGCTCCAATGCTAATAACTCATGAAATTACGATCTTTCGCTCCAATAGGGGCATGATTATCACCCAAGAAAGTGGAAAATAAACAATGAAATAAAAAGGCTCTGTGAGCCTATATCTATAAAAACTAAATGCAAGCTGGAACAATCCATTCAAAATTGTTATTCATCAGCGTCTTATCAGCAGGAAATAAGAAAAGTCCGAAAATAGAAACACAACAAAACGAGTCACCTCTGAGGCAAACTCATCAAGTCTTTCGACAACTAGGACTCAATCTTCAGTATTGCTTGCAATTGACTTACTTTCAAAACATAGATACGCTCTTCACAATAGGTATCATGATAGGTAGATCTGACCAAGATATATAGAAGGGGAAAAGGCAGCATCTAAGATTGCGAATGCAGCACAAGCATGTGCCCAAAACCAACCAGATCTAAGAGACACTTATGCTTCAATGGACAGAACTGCGAATTCAAGAACCAGAAACTGAAACCTAAATCAAATAAAAATTCATCACGTCCAGAGACCTTCAGGCTTCATGCCCATGGGAAAGTTGCATCCAATGACCAATGTAAAAGACAAAGAGTCACATCTACTCAGAGAGATACATGATAGACTGTTATCAACACCAATGCAGATAAGGATTCATCCTTTCACTTTTTCTTTTTGGAGAAATGAGTCTCCAATTAGAATCATTGCAAAAAAGGTTGCCAATGAACTACACATTTAGGCTAAAATTCAGAGTTACAAAAGCAAAATTTTTGCATTAGATGCTTGAATAATAGTTAATGATTATCAAACATGTTGGTCCTTCGTGGATTCTAACAGAAGTAGTGCACAATTAAGTAATACATGTACAAAAGTTTTTTTCAAACAAATTTAGATATCTGATTAAATAAGTGATACTGCACACCTATTGGGAGATTTTTTTCCCCAAACTTTGGCGGAAGTCCCACACTCAATGGGCAAACTGGGCGCAGAAGTAGAACAGATGTGTTGTTGTACTTTCGTAGCATTCACATATGAGGACTCCTCCACAAATGTTGAAACTTAAAAGCTGAAATAGGCTTCTTTGAACAATGTTCAGCAATTCCAAGTTTTAATCCCGCATGCAGTGTCATGTTTTTAACAGATATATTCGTTAGCACCAACGACATGCACACTATTCCTAATGGACACATTATTGGCAAGCGTTCCATCCAGGGAGTTGATGATCAAGTTTTGAAGTGCTAGAAGCGTTTTTATTCATCATCTGAAAATCCTACCAATTACTACAAAAGCCTCAGCGTCAATAAACAACTGGTGAATGCTTATTGAAACCTAAAAATGAATTAGGCACAGAGCAGACAAGCAGAAATCACTTGAATCAGCTTCGTAGATAACTAGGGCTGTTTGTCACTTAAGAGCCCAAATGACATAATAAAAACAGCAACGAAGCCATACTAGTGTTGCCTAATTATCCGAAGGTACACCAAAGTGATCGCTATAAGATTCAGAAAAGCATTAGAATCCACAAGCTTTCAAACTTGGTCCAACAAAGAAAGGGATGAAAGGGGCAAAAAACCCTAATTACAATCCAACTAGTTTCACATTTCACCTCAGGATATAAACCATATAAATTTGAAAAACTTTACAGAGCATCAATCCAAACGATGCCGATTATTTCTTCAAATCCAATCACAATAATAAGATTAAAAAAAAAATCAAGATGCGCAAATAGCTATTGTGCATAATTAAAGTAATCGAGCGATTAGGGTGGATGGATGCGGAATTAAAATGTCGGGAGAACAAAATGAAGATACCTCGAGCTTGGCGGAAATCATGGCGATGGGGATACAGAGGATGAAGACACCGGCCATGGCAATAGCGGTGTTGCGCTTCCAGTGCTTGGGACGGCAGTAAGGCCCACCGGGCATACTCCAGACTTTGGTCCTAAAGTCACCATGGGCTCCATCAACGTGGTGGTGATCTCCTCCTCCGGCCATTTTCCGCTTTCTTCCCCTTCTGAGCTGTGAATCAGACGAGTCCAAGAAATAAGCTACGACTGCAGTGAACGAGTGGAAAACTTTAAGGCTAATAGGCAATGGACGATTCAGCGCGACGGGGAACAAGCTATGTATGAAGTGACGCCGTTGACGCATATTACCCTTTTTACCCCTACTTTAAACGTATATTAACTGCATTTATTCAATTTCTTATGGAAGAATATACTTTTATATTTCTCTGGTTAATTTTGAATGACACATCTAAGGAGCCAACTCTAAATAATATGGAACCAACTTTAACTTTTGTATCCCAAATTATTTTTAAAATTCTAGTGTTTTGTGCTACCATCAAAAAAAAAAATTCATTTTGTTGTATTTTATTCGTTCAATAAAGTGGTTATTAACTAAAAAAGTTGTCGTAGGGTGGAAGGGATTCTTCTAAAAAATTCAAACAAAAATCGATATGTATATGAAGCAACTTTAAACCATTGACCAAATATATTTCACTTATAAAATTGCTTGCAATCCAGTGAGAGTATATTAGTCATTTTAGTTGATGAGTTGTATCATCCATCAAAGTGCTTACATTTCAGTGAAGGGATTAGTTACTGTTGTTAACTAGCTGTCGTACTTGTTTGGATACATAGAGCTAAGGTACTCACAATTCAATAAATGAGATTACTTTTTGTCGATCAATCGTGTCACACGTCAAAATACTTATAAATTACAATTGAGGTGCTTATAATTCAATGAGTGTATTGTACGTGTCAATAATTCAACGAATAGATTATTTTTAAAATAAGAAAAATAAAGAATTAAGGATTACATGAATCATCGAAGAAAAAAATATCACGTGCTAATAAAGTAATTAATTTATGTTGATAAAAAATGACAAATAAAACTAGTAATCACTCATAGTCATCAATCAAAACAAAGTAAGAAACATTACACCAATGTTTTCACATCATTAAAGTCAAAGAGAGTTACTACATTATAAAAATTTACTAGTTGGAGATGACGTGCTTCGCACGTATCCGATGTACTGTATCATGAGGTATTTTTTTGGAATAATGACACTATTTGATATTGTTGGCAAGATGAGAACTACATCATATATGAGATAAAGTCAAAACACTTGTAAATGTAATTTTTGATAATAGAAAAATAACATTTTATCCATAAAAGTTATATCATAGATGAAATTGACGAACAATAATATAGCTGATCATCGTAATTGTAACATTAGCTTTTGTACACATAAATTTGAGAAGCAAAGGAATTGCTGCATACACAAACGAAAATAGGCGGACAATACGTTTAGAGCTGAGAACTTCCCACAACAATACCAAGTATACCAATCATGGGAAATAGGCAGAACAAAAGTGATCCTCCTAACAGTGTAATATTTCTGAATCCCTTTGATATACAATCCAAATTTGAAAAACTGTCTTACTCTATTCAGTTTTCAATGTTTTCATTTCAAAGTAAAGATTGATACAATAAAAGAATCTACTTGTTCTCAATCAAATTCAACACCATGCGCCCGAAATCAAGATGCCGTCTCTAAAGCCTCCGTCGTTCTCCGCCAATCCACCCTCTTTCCGTCAACTCATATCCTCTTTTGCCGCCCAACCATTTGTTTCAGCAACTAGAATAACTTAATCCAAACAACTAAATGAACAGTATTGTTAAATGCAATACCCTCTCTGGTTTTTGGACTCAAAACCCTCAGTTGATACATTAACCGATTCAGCTAAAATTGCAGATGATCCCAGATTATAATATGATTCAATGGAACCAGAAAATGTATCCCTTCTCGTCCCATAATCTTCATAAATATTGCTCGAGGAAGTAAAGGGTAGCCGATTTCTTGACCGAGGTAGACGTTCCCTAATGACAGAGCGACTTGGCAGAGCTGGAGGCACATCATCTGGCTGATCATCCTCCTTTTTCTGGAGTTGTTTCAGCATATGTTCCAAAGAGCTAAGAGCCAGCATCGTATTTGCAGCCATATTATTGAAAATGGCAACTACCCAAAATGGCCAAATCCAAACTTCAGGCCATACCCATTGTCTCTTTTTTAAAACCAGCAAATCATTGTCTCGTTGATTAAGATAATTATTGAACAAATCACAGATACTTCACTTCATAATGCTAACTCTAGATGGTGTCAAAGTATAAACTTTATTCGGTACAAGCCTTTTTGGGATGATTCAAATATATTTTACTATTGTAAACTAACTAGGTCATTAAAGGATTCCAAAACAAATGATCAATGATCATCTGCCGTCAACTATAAGTGAGCAGAAGTTCACAAATTTAATTGAATGTAGGTCATAATGAATAGATCTGCAGTCATTGCCACAGTTTGTTCAGCATGTTAAGGAAAAGAAATTTTACAATACATTTTTATAGGTTATTAAAGTAGATATAGAATAGTTCCCCTAACCATAAAAAAAAAAGTTGAGAATCATATAATCAGAATAAGTATTGTAAAATGAGTATGTCATCAAACATATAAGCAACAATGATTTGTTTCCACCAGACATATAACGTATCTGATGGTAACCAAGTGATCTTGTTTCATCAGGTTGGTTTTCTCGATTTAGGTTTTGTGCAATGCATTCAGATGTCAAAATTGCCGAGGAACTATTTCAATCTAAGTCATTAGACACAAATTCATATTTGTTTGACATGGTTACAGTAATTAATCTGAACTAAAGCACCAAAACATTGAAAATTGAAAGAAACTACAGGAATCTTTAATATGCAAACATTCTTCATGAAAACTAAACCATACCCACAAATTGATCGTATCAAATCCTTACTTTATCCACATAAGATATGATGATATCAAGGCATCAACCTTTTTCTTTACTTGCCGGAGTAAGCCTTGCAGAATGCAGGACTTGAATGTTCTAATTTATTCTATCTGTGATATCTTTGTGGTCGTTACGCAGCACTATAAAAACTAGAAACAAAAAGTGTTTAGTGAATACAAATGCTAAGTGCATTTGCACCTTATAATTTGTGTTAATGTAGGATGCAAGCTAGTAAGTTATCGACATGTAGAATTCAACATAATTTCCAATTTAGATTGAAGTGTTGTCTTCTATATTAAAAACTATTAACATTCTGCAACCAGGGATCCAAGACAGAAGATAATAAATACTAAGTTGTGTATTTCAACCATCAAGAACCATTGACTACAGGAAGCATTCAATGGCAAAAAGGAAGGGTCTTTTTATTCCTTTCTACTCCAAACCAAATAAAACAAGGAACATGTCAAGGGACTTCACAACTTCAGCCATGCGTTTCTCTTCTTTTATACATTAATTTTGGCCTATTCACTTGGTTGGAAGACACAGAGCAACTCAAGTGGTCCAAGCCGAAGAAACTGGACTAATAATCTTCCATTGGGCTCCGGTTTTATTTAATAATCATTTACAATTCACAAACAAAGTAAACATTCCAAAAAATGTCCAACTGTCACAAAATATGAATCAAAGTGTTGAGTGTCGCAAATTCTTGAGGCCAATAGGTATAGAAACTGACATGATTAGAGGAGTTTGTTGTCTGATCAAAGGACTGGAATTCTTTCAAAATCTACGACAAAAGCATGAGGATAAAATTATCAACTAGCCTAAAAACACTTTAAACAAGTTTCTCCCCAGCGTAAATCAGAGAAACCAAATTAGAACCCAAAGCAAAGGAAGGCCCCCCACCCCAGAATAGCAAACAACTGCACATATGTTTGCCCAAACACGTTAAAACCCAGGAAAAAATCATATCAAAATTGAAACTCTAATCAGCTCAAAAACAGAAAGCAGACCCTGAAAAAGTGTTCCGAAATGGAAGCTAAGAATTTAGTGCAAGAAATTAGATGCACGGAAAAAAATGAGACTTTGCTAGTTGAAGGCAACCAGTTGGAACCGATAATCAGAGGAATTCATCAATTCAACTTCAACCATGAATCCATGATCATACCTTTACCAGTTGGAGACTTTTTTTTTTTATTATTATTACTGTTTTTGTGTTCGTCTAGGAGGAATTCGCATAGGTGAAGGCAGCCAATCCTTAGGTTGGTAGAAGTATACGGGAGAGTGGAATCGGAGATCCGGAATCAGCAAATCGGAGAGTGGGTGTAAATTTGCTCCAATTTCTTTGTGATCGTGGAATGGACAGATAATCGAAAACTTCTTCTCTCAAATAACATTGTCGTTGAGGATGGACGGACAATTGTGGGTGTAATTAGAACCATCGTAACTGATGATAATTGATTAGCAGGATTGAATGGGGGGAGAGGGTCGATGAAGCTTCTGAAACTGGCGGGAATAAGAGCAGTTCTTTGGAATTGAATGAATTAATTGCATCGCACTGATGACGATGAAAGTGAAGAAAAGGTATAGTTCACACACGTGTGAGTTATACTACCAAAAATGGGCACGGGAGAAGAGAAACTCCCTTATTATGTATTAGGTTGACAAGTGCTGGTATATAATCTAGTGAAACTGTGAATTCCTTCAATCTCACCCCAAAAAAAAATATTTCTAAAAAAATTAAAATGGTGCTAAGAAATGGACACTTAAATTTAGAAAAGAGAATACATAAAATTAGAATAAAATACTCTTTGTATAGTTTACATTTTCAGTTTCAGTACAATTAAACTAACAATGAAATTTTAATTTGGACAATAATTTTTTGGAGGAAATCCGCCCAAACCAAGTGGACAAACCTAGGCTGGCAGGTTGGTTGGTTAAATATTTATATATATAGGCCTTCACCGGTAATTTCACCACACCGACCTTTTACTACTTTACATAACAGAACAGTTAAAGGTTCCCAGTGTCATAAAAGTTGGTCTATCCTGGCATTGAAATTTCAAGAACTCGAACAAACCTTACGGTGACCCAATTCAAATGATAAACAAGGTATTTCCTCCATTCCTTTGAATTTGCTTTCTTCTTCATCTCTGCAAATTAATTGCAAGCAAGTCATTCATTCCTTTAACGAATGAAGAATTCTTTGCTTCTTCCTTCGTTAAACGTTGTTGGATCGCCGGGTTCTGGATTGCTAACTCTTGGTCTGAATGTGATATGCAATCGATTCACGCTGCAAATTAATGAAAATTGAAACAATTACATGCATATCTTTTATAATTTCTGTTATGAATTTGAAAATTTGGTATTTGAGATATATACCTTGATCAGAGACAGATCTTTCGTGGAAGAATTCCGATTTTGAGTGACCTTCAGTATTTCATTACTCATTGAGGATCCCTGTGGGTGGGTCTTGGTGCAATTTCATGTTTCGTTTCTTATCCTTTTCAGTGTTTTCGTCTTTTTTTTTTTTAAAAAAAAAAACTGTTTGGAATTTGATTTGGGATGGAATTTACATGTTCAGTCAATTTGTTCTTTGGGATGTATGGTGTCTGTTCCGCATTCTGTTTCGTGAATCGGATTAAAAAACTATAAGTTTAATTACTTTTTCTGTTCTCCTGACTGTTTCCTGAGTTTTGTTTATCTATTCCCAATTTATTTTTACGAATTGGTTATCTGTCATCATATCCTAATTCAGTTTCTGAAACTTCTGAATTTTATGTGATATTTAGTGTTTTCAAGTCTCCCTGCAACTCTCTTTTGGTTGGTGCTTACTATAACCTAACTTCGGAGCCTATCTAACTGTGAACCTAAACTGTTTGTTTGAGTAATGAAATTGGCATTTTCTTTGCAGTTTTCATCCTCTTAAAAATCTTAAGCTTAAGAGATGGACAGCACTGAGCTTGATGTGAGAAGATGGGAGAACATGGACATAGATGTACTGGTTCAAATATTCCAGTCATTTGACATTATCCAGTTGACTTCCGGAATTGCCCATGTTTGTAGCACCTGGCGCTTGGCTGCTTGTGATCCTCTGCTCTGGAACACTCTTGATTTGTCACTGCTCAAATCTAACTTCATCAAAATTCCCTTGGAGCCTTATGTATATGTGCATGGTCGATCTGATAAGACATTAACTCGAGTGTTGAAAATAGCTTTGAGCCTCAGTCGTGGAAGCATCCAAACCTTAATTTTCCATCACAGTCTCTATGTCAGTGATGATCAACTTACCTATACCGCTGAAAGGTACATTAATTGGAAGCATTACTTATCCTTAACATGTTCATATTACCCCTAAGATGCTTCATTATGCTGTATTTATGTCAATTCATCATTTAAATGGTCTTTCACTCTTTTGGTGTACATGATTTTTCTTGAAATTGGTCAGAGAATGAGATATTAAGAATATCAGTCCATGTTTCTAGAATGCAATGCCTTTCCGTTGACATAAAAGAGTTAGAAAGAAGACAACTGACAAAGGTTCATTGGAACACAAGTAATCAAAGATGAAAATGTAGCGAAGAAAACATGAAGAATGAGACGGATCATGTTTAAAAAAAGAAGAATATAGATTTCAAATGACGTGAAGCAGCTAATCAAAACCCATAACTACTTATGATCATGATTCTGAGTGCTGTTGCTCATATATCAGTTCCTTCTGTCACTTAAAACGTGAGCTTCTGGCCCAAACAGAATTTAGATCAGTAGTCCGGCCAAGCTACCTCAGGAATAATAGTTGATCGTGACAGCAAAACAAGGTTTCACTTGTAGTTGGCAAATAAAAGTCATGCTTTTTTATGTTTCAGGTGTCCCCGACTTAAACGTCTTGTTATGCCTGCTTGGAACAGAATAAAGAAGACTGGAATCTGTAAAGCCATCCGTCTATGGAAAGATCTTGAGTCGCTAACTATGCCTAGCATAGCCAATCCCCCATATCTTATGGAGGAAATATCAAAGAGTTGCAAGAAATTTTCTGAACTTAAAGTCATGGGGCCATGTGACTTATTTTTTGCCTCCACACTAACTGCATTTCTTCCTAACTTAAAAGTTCTGAGTATTCGATGCACTGTACTACCTAAGGATGCTCTGATCATTCTCTTGGATGGTTTGCATCAATTGGAAGTGCTCAACATCTCTCACTGCGTACTTGTAGAGACCTCTGGCCCTCCAGCGCAAAAGAAGTATCTCAATCAAATCGATGAGTTAATTCTCCAAAAGGCTTCAAGGCTACATCAGTTTTTAACATGCATGAGTGAGGCATGCATTATGTGTGAACGCACTAAATCTGATGAAGGGCTGGTTAGGTGGTACAAATACGAAGAGGAGCTTTGGAAAGTAGATGAAGTGAAATCCCTAGCAATTTGAGTGAGCACTTCTGAGAATTGTTTAATTGATTAGACTTGCCATAATTTCATTTTAGTTTTTAAGAAGAGATGCAATAAAGTTAGGCTAGACAGATAGAAGCCATCCGGTCAGAGCTAACTTATGAAGGTATAACATCTCTGACTAGCAGTGTGTAGTGAGTGCTAATTCAGCAGCAGGGCGCTCCTTGTGGTAGTGGAAAGTGTATTATTGATATCATCCTTTGTGAATAGGAAACTTGTGTTTTACTGTACTTATAAAGCAATGTAAACTACCCAATCAATGGTAGCCTCAATGTTAATTATGATTGTGCTTTGATGAAGTGTAATCAGAAGAAGTCTGGTCTTGTGTGTTTCATGAAGTTCATTGTTGCTGCTCCATTGCTCCTGCATTTGCCAGTTTCTCAATGGGTTTTAAAATGGCAGGGCCTAACCTACCAATGACCAGTTAAGGTACAATACTATTCTAAACTATGGTCATGAATTTTCTGTTCCGCATTTTGGGTTATTTTCTTATTAATTAATTGTGGTTGGTGCTGGTATGATTCACTTGTCAATGATGTTTTCTGTATTGACGCATTACTGATGTTTTTCTGTCTTCTCGGCAAAAAGTGCTTCTAGTCTAGGGTAGTAGCATTTTTAGCCATCAAAATAGATACCTGCAGTATTAGCTGAAGCGATAGCCTGGATTGTGATGCATGACCTGCAACACTTCAACGTCTTCTACTAAGAGTCATGATCTTTAGTTTTAAACGTCATAACAGAGGATAGAGAAGGTCAGGATCAAAATCTGTAACTTAGGTTACTTGTAGGAATGACCAAGTTTTACTCTAGTTGTCAACTTAACCCTCCTCTTTATCCCAATATTAAACTCATGTGAAACCAGTATAGAAGGCATCAATGACAAGACATCAGACTCCAAGGATCAGCCAAGATGGAAGAGAGTATATATATGTCGAGTGAACATTTGCCATCTAAAATAATAGGAACAGTCTAAAACATCTTTTTTTTTTTTCATTTGATCAAATATGAACTTTACTGTGCTAAATGAAACCCATTAAAGGTTGCTATGGCATAGCCGGTTTGGTTTAGATTGCAAATCGCGTTAGGCTTGAGAGGACATGTAATCTCCCCCTCCTCTCTTGTTTCAGGACCTAGATGCCTGCTTACAATTAATTGGTTGATATAATTTTCGTCAATTATCATTCCATGATCATTTGGCTGCGAAGAATGAGATAAATTATAGTACATTAAATTAACCCCGATGAGAGATTCTGATTATGGTGGCTTAACACCAGCAGGTAGTTAATATATTGAATCATGAATTGGATTCTGCTGTTGTGCATGTACGTTTCGCCCTCATCTCTTGATGCCATCTTTTAAGAAGAAAGGAAAAAGGGGAGAAAGAAAGGTTGTGAATGAACGGCATGGACTTTGCTTTGTATATGGGGGTCGATCTCGTCTCGTGGAACACATGACATTTAACTACCATTAATTTTTTTTTTATTATTATTATTATTTTTTTGCCTGAAAAGAAACATTCAAGCATAATAAATTTTATATGGTGGGAAAATTATTATGATAGGTGACCCACACAACTTGATTGATAGGAACAATAATGGAATTGTTGAATGGCCCATCTGATTTGTGACCAGCCAAGGCCGAATATTTTGGCTACAAAGCCTGCAACTCCAAGTTCCATCAGTCCATTGATCCGGTGCACAATTAATGTTGCAGATTACCAGAATTACTCTAGCGTCCAAAATCGTTGTTCTTTTCCCCATTCCAACATTGCATTCATCTTTGTAAGAACGGGAGAGTGAGGTTCTTTAGATCTAATTGACCATCCCCCAATCTTTCTTCCAAACTAAATGAAACAGAAATAAAAATATTGAGGAGGAGGAGACCTATACAATATATTTGGACTGAAAGAGCCCAAGCAAAGGATTTGACGCAACTTATCGCATTTTACCATTCTACCTACCCGCACAGGGAATGGGGTGAATAAAATCAACAGCGATATAATTACGCTTTAAATATATTATTATGAGGGACAATTCTTCTGTGATGTACCAAAACATAATGATATTATTATTTTCCAATGATAATGAAGAAAAATGTGGTAGTTTGTGTTCAATATGTGGTACCCCTTTTCAATTTGTCTTCTTTGTTTGAAAATTGGAATCTTTTGAAGGCCATGACTCATGAGCCACCATTATTTGACTCTTTTTAAAAAAACAATTATTTAAAATAAGTTTCAATATGTACCAACTCCAGTCTCTTGTGGCAACCCAGCAAAATTTGATATTTCAACATTTGAAAAAAAAAAAAAAAACTCCAAAATCTTTTGATGATATTGAATTTTTTTTTTAAAAAAAAAACATAGGTTATTTGACAAATACTACAATGGACATGTAAAATCAATTCACATAATCAAGAATAATAAAACCATAATACAATAATGGTTAGTAAATCCGGTCCAAAATAAAGTGCCTATATTTTAGTCCTCCACCTTCAGAATTGCCTAGAAAGTGTCATCAATCTCTCTCCCTGCCGAGACCTTGGGTAGATATATTTTTCCTTGTTTTCTCTGACTAAAATCTTGCAACACCAACACCGATTACCATGGCTCTGCAACTATGGGAGACCCTCAAAGATTCAATCGTGGCGTATACTGGTCTTTCTCCTGCAACTTTCTTCACCTGTGTTGCTCTGGGCCTGGCCCTTTACTACATGGTCGCGGGATTATTTGGGTCGTCTGATCATGCTCCCCAAGTCAGGTCCAGGAGACTCGAGGAGGAGATGGAGCCACTGCCGCCACCAGTTCAGCTGGGAGAGGTGACCGAGGAGCAGTTAAAAGAGTATGATGGGGCTGATCCCAAGAAGCCCTTGCTCATGGCCATCAAGGGTCAGATCTATGATGTTTCCCAGAGCAGGTATTTCTGTGAACGACTAATTCCCTTTTCCAGGTTTAGGGTAGATGGGGTGTTGGAATTTGTGTTCATTTGTTAACTTTTCAGTTCATTTAATTCATTCTGTTCTTTTGGGGTTTGATGGTTTGACCTTGTTTTACAATCATTTCTTCTCGGTGTTGAATTCCTTTGAATTTGTGAACTGCTGATTAGATAAAGTTTGGAGTGTATTGGTCGATTCGGGTATCTTTAGTGATCTTGAATAAGTGGCTTTTAGCAGAAATAAGTGTATGAATTGTGAAAAGTTTGTTCTCTATGAAAAATGTCTGTTTCCTTTCCTTGTTAGTTGATCCTTTACTTTATTGTGCTTTCTGATTTAAACCCTAAAGATGCAGTCTTATGGTTTCTTGTTAATCTTATAACATACACTTTTGACCTCCAGGAAAAGTGAATGGAAAAAAAGAATATTATTCACTTTTAGATTTTTTTTTTTTTAATGGTGGTTTCTCTCATCTCTAACTGTGGGAAACTGGAATTTTTGGTTTTAGAGTTTCCCTGAGTTGGCCACATCTGGATTTCTAGTATTTCCCCGAGATGCTTCTGTTGAACTGTGAATTCCGTTTTTGGTCGTGCTGTCACCTGCTTGGTTTGTATAATTTTTTGGTTTAAGAGTTCCCGTAGTTGGATGTGTTGTTCATCTGGATTTAGTATTTTCAACAGATACTTCTCTTGAACTGTGAAATTTGATGTTGGTTGTGGTGTCCACCTGCTTGGTTTATGGCAATTTGGTTTATTTGAGACCCACATTTGGGAAAGAACTCTCCTGTGCTTTACAAGCAATGTGTAGATGCAGCCATGGCTTCTGTGATTGCTGAAGCTATAGTTCTCAATCAAAACATGTGAGCACCATCACTTTGAGAACTCTGTTGATGATTTTAATCATCAGAATATGTTGCTGTACTATGTATGCTCATGGTTACATTAATACTCTATCTACTGCATATTGATTTCTGGATTCGGCAGACTTGAAGGTTGTTTTGTTCTCCGCCCCTTCTCTCTTTTCTGTCTGCTACTCTCTTTCAACCACTTCTTCTCCATGTTTTTAAGTATTGCATCGATCCTTGAGTATGTTATTGCTTTTGTAAACCCTACGAGTGTTCTACTAAATTACTTTATAATGTCTTAGGTAGGTAGACTACCAACATAGATATTGTCTTGCCTAAAGTTGATTTTGGTGCCTGCTGGAGACTTCATCCCGTGACCATGACTGCTACTTTTTCTGTTGGCAGGGTTTTCTATGGCCCTGGAGGACCTTATCATCTTTTTGCTGGGAAGGATGCTAGTAGAGCCCTTGCAAAGATGTCTTTTGAGGAAAAAGATCTTACAGGTGATCTCACTGGCCTTGGAGTGTTTGAGCTTGAGGCATTACAAGACTGGGAATACAAGTTCATGAGCAAATATGTGAAGGTCGGAACTGTGAAGAAGACGGTCCCTGTAACCGAGGGCGAAGCCAACGGTGAAGCTGCTGCAAGTGGTGCCAGTGAGGAAACCAGTGGCGAACCAAAGCCTACAGAGACTGCAGAACCTGATGTTGCAAAGACTGCCGAGGACAGTTCATCAGAAAATGTTGAAAGCAAACCCGAAGATGCTGAGAAGAAAGAGTAAATTGTCTAAGATGATTCTCAAGTGCTCAGGGATTAAGGGTGTCAATTTTATTGGACATGCGAATAGTGTATCATCATATGGTCATTGTCTACCTTCTCAAACTATACTCTTAGTTGTGTTAATTAGCGGAGTATCAGTAGCTTTTGTTGGTTGTATCAACTCAAGTACAATAATCAAGGTGAAATTCCCCCGGATTCTGCAATTGCCAACTGCGCTTATGAATATGAATGTTTAGTTCTTAGATGTGGAATTCTGGTTCTGAGTTAGGAATGCCAACACTCAGGATTTTCTCTCATTATGATAATCACTAATACTATGCAGTATGGTGGAGTATGGGCCCTGCTGCCCTGAGATTTTAAAGTAGTGGCTCATTACTGTACTGCCACAGCCCATCTAACATGGTACAGAAAATGCTGTTATCACCCAACTGCCCAAGTGCCCATCCATGTGGAGTTGTGAAACTTTCTTTTGGAAATTGGCATATGAACAATCTATCTTGAATGATATATACTCCTTCGGTCTTTATTAATAAAGTATTTTGATTACGTCCTAGGTTTTACTTAAAATATCGTTTTAATTGTAAAAAAATCTTAGAAATATATTTTTACATTTGTTGTGTTATTTTAATTATTATGAAATGTGTTTAAAATTTTTATTTTAATTAAAAATATATCTTAGATAAAACTTAAGACAGAATTAAAATATCTTGTAATAAGAACGGAAGGGAGTAGTATTGTAGACACCCAGTTAGGTTATGTGAGAATGGAGCACCATAGTACAGTGACAGATCGCTCATTTTTTGAACTACAGAGCTCGAAACCCAGCACAACATTTTAGCGTCCAAGTATCATTTTTTCACTAGAGATTTTGCCCAAATCAATCCGTTTTTAACATTATCTTCTTATCTTAGAAGAAGAGTACGTGACGTCCCCTACTGTAATTACATGATGAGCATATTGCGGCAGAATTTAGGAAATTAATGTGGCCTGTAGGGTTCAAAGTTGATTCTTATTGTTACTTCATTTTAGATTATTATAATTAACTCCAAAATTTGAAGTTATGAGACACGTGCATGCAAATAACTGGAGCTAGATAGCAGCTTCCTTTTTCACACAACGATATGGATGTGGTTGATGTGATACTTTTTGTGGTTTTGCTTAACGTAATCAAACTCTTGAAGACTATATGTATATCTTGTCTATGAATAATTAAAGTTGCTAGGTGCTACGTACTGTGAAGACTTATATGTGTGTGTGTGTGTGTTTTTTTCCCCGATTCCCTCCATAAAAAGTCATACTTATGTTGGAGAGTACTACTAGGTTTATTATTTATCTCCGTTTCAAAATATATATCTTTCTAATAATTTTATCAATACTAATAAAAAATTAAATAATGTGTTTATACTATATATAAAATCATGTATATTTATTATTCATACATCCCATCATAAACCAATACAATCTCGTTTTAAATATATCATTTTATTTTCAATGCAAAAGTAATATTGAAAAAATAGAATAAAAGTTACCTCAATCTTGTAACACGATAAATATTAAAAAAAAAATTTGTAAACCCTAAAATGAATATTTTAAAATAGAAGGTGTAGCACCCCAACTGTCGAGTCTGTCCTAATAACTATTTGATTATTCGTCCTTACTGTACCCAAAATGGTTAATTCAAATTAACAATGGACCAACTAGCTAGGGTTTATAAACTGGTGGCTAGCCTCACTTTAGCCGATCTGGGATAGGGAGCAACTAGCTTTCACTTGCAAGCTTCACACGGGGTCTCACACTCGAGACCCTTTGGATCCTTGCGTCTTCTCAAGATCCAAGACACACAGTAACACATAACACAACACACAGTACATATAGTTGGCCCATGCTCCCCTAAAACATATGCGTTACACTTGTCTCACACCCTATGAGCTCAAAGGTATCATACCAATTATAATGCCCTAACTGTTAGGTCTATCCCGATAACTATTTGAGTATTCGTTTTCAGTATACCTAAAATGATTAATCCAAGTTAATAATAGATCAGCTAGCTAGGATTTATAAACTGGTGGCTAGCCTCACCCTTGGCCGATGCGGGATAGGGAACAACTAGCTTTCACTTGCAAGCTTCACACGGGGTATCGCACAAGGAGTATCAGAGATAACTCTTATTTGTTGATAGGGTTCATTCGCAAGAAAGGTAGTTATAATGTGATAGGATTTTGGAAGGAATTTTAAATGAAGAAATGATGATCATCAACTTACATGCGTTCTTTAAAGTAAATTTGTTCAGTCCTGGGGAAAGTTAGAAACCTAAGCTAGCAATTTCTTTTCATGATTAGTAATTGGATTGATATCTGTGTACATGAGGATTATTAGTTTAATTGCGAAACCAGCAATGCCATTAAAAGTCCTCTAATTACCATCAAAGTGTGTTTAATTAACTTATGGTAATCATCAACTACTAAATCCAGCATAATTTTTTCAAACGCCGGCACGATGTATAAAAGTTACACAATAATACTAATACTCTCTACATTTCAAAATATAAGTCACTTTACATTTTTCGCGTAAATTAAAGAGACAATAATTTATGTGTTAAATATCTGTTTTACCTCTCATTAATTACATTGGAACTATAAATAAGATTAAATGAAAATAGATTGTTATTATTTATTAAAGGTAAAGTTAAAAAAATAATCATTAATTTCTCTAAAATTTGTAAAACGATTTACATTTTGAATAATTTCTCCAATCCTAAAACGTACTACAAATGGAAATGGATGGAGTAATAATAACGCCACCAGTTCTTACTTTACCCGTGCTTGAAGTCATCGCACCCAAACAACATCGGCCACGAAACATCCATTAATTCGAATACTCTATTCGTACTACACTCCCATTCTCCCAAAATATCGTTTAGTTTTTTATTTATTTTTTACAATTTATAAAAAATATAAATTTAAACTAAACAATCATTTTATGACGAAAATAATATTTTATATATACAGATATCCCAACACGGTCATTCAGATTAAAAGCAAACGCTAAATACCAATTTATTAATATTAATTGATAAGTTTTGAAGTCAAAATACATCTTATTACGATAAAAATATATTAGATATGCCATTCTTTCAGTAGGCAAAGTAAAGTCCAATTAATAAAAAAACAAAGTCAACCAATAAAATAATTATCCTTGCGCATGCGGGCTACGAACACTAATACAGCATTAGCCAAAAATAAAATAATAATAGCGAATTGTTTAGAAATAAAGTACATAACTAATTGGAATGTTTAAGTGACGTTCTCTTTTGATGTGGTAAATTGATAATTAAGCTCCGGCCAGCCTCCGGCACATACGAAGATTTCTGTAATAAACTTTGTTAGCGTTGACATTTTAGTTTAATAATCTTTCTTCCTTTTCCAACATAATCTTTCGATCAGTTAGACTTGGAATTGATACCTTAAAAAAGGGGTCTAATAAAGTAATCCCACTGGCAATTTCCAAAGTGATTCTTGAACACTTTTAACGTTGAAGAAATACGTGCATAAGGTTGTATCTCATCATCGATTAGTGGTAAACCACTATACACGAAAATACACTTACAACTACATAAAAGGCTTATGTTTGCATAATTATTCTGCAAAATATGAAAGAAACGGTATATAGCTTCATAGTATTAATTTGAACTTTTTTTTTTTTTGGCTTTTGTATTTTTGGATCTGGCAAAATAAAAGGGGAAAGGGGAAAAGTAAAAAGGATGAGGAACAGCCTGCAAGATGACATCAGGTTAGCCTTAGTTCATATGTTATGTTGGACCAAGTATTCGCCGCCAAATTCATTCCCCAGGTTTTTTTTTTTTTTTTGGCTTATAATAAATCTCTCTCGTACCCTATATGAATTGAAACAAGTAATGTTACTAGTCTCAACAGATGGAAGGAAACCATTGATCCTCTGATTAGATTATGGAGTATTTATTATCTCCAAGTCATAACAGTTAAGTACGTACGAACGGTTTACTTATATTTTGGAGAAGACTTTGTATAAATTATACTTATAAATTAGAACGCTAAAATGAAGAGAATAATACGGTGCATGGATGTTTTATTAATTAATGTGGATTTCACACCAACGCCATAATAAGGATCCCTACCTTTAATGGAATGAATATCTTAGGTTTGGTATAGAAACAACATAAAATCATGATCTAACTTAACTATCAATCAAGTAAATGATACAACAAAACAGAAGTCGAAGAGAGTTAATATACTATATGGAAGAACATGGAATACAAGATATATAGATGGATCCACCCGTCCGGTTTCATTGAATGTGAATTGTGAAGAAAATGGATCCCAATTCCCATACGGGGGACGGACGTGTTATCAGGTTGGAAACAGTTTTAGAGGTCAAACTTGGTTTAAACTTAAAATAATGAGGCAAAATTCAGAGGTCAGCTTTCTTACTTCTGGCTTTAGAGAAAGATTGTTGTTGTATATACATCTTGACTTTGCCATAGAACAACTGTTTTAATTTATTTCTTTAATCACCTAATTAAATTATTCCGTTCACTAATATAACCCGCCTTCCTGTATTTAACGTTAGTCAACTCATATCATCGCACGAAACCTTGTCCCTATAAATACACATTATCTCTAATCATTCTTTGTGATTAGAGATCTAGAGCCATTTTATTTTGTTCTTCTATTAATTCACCCCAACTATACTGAAAAAATGCAAACTCGGGGTTGTTTGATCGTGTTTGTTTTCGTGATGCTGCTGTTATCTCCTAGTTGTCGATGCCGCAAAGATCCGGCCACCACCAAAGAAGAAGAAGAAGTCGACGTCGTCGACGACCAAGAAAGAATCAGAACCAATTTCTTCACCACATTCTTTCGTCACTTCGGAGTGATTCCGGAGTATGGAGTTAAGAACCACCGGAGGGAAATCCACGTGGTGTCCCGCCGGGAAGTCCCCTCCGGACCCAACCCTTTACACAACTGATCATCTCTTAACCGAGTAAGTGATGGTTCCATTTCCATCCATCCGCCAGTACATATATGGTAAAAAAAAAAGGAGTATGAATGAAGGGGTTATTGTTATATAGATATACTTGTAGATCAGGATTTTACATTACAATTAATATACGTTGACATTAATATATACCAGAAATTATCTGGGTTAATTAGTACATGTTGATTGTAATTTGTATTTTTTTTATTTTTTTTTTTGAAGAGGAAATTTTTCTTCTTGAAAATGAAGAAGAATAGAGGCCATCTTTGAACAAGGAAAATTTGGTTACGTTGATATGTCATTTCGCCTCCGCTCACGGATTGATCAGTACGGATTCACACGATGAAGAACTTTATGTTCATTGTATGTTTGAGTACTTTATAATTGGGGTAAAAAATTTGTAGAGTTTGATTTTAGAGGGAAATGAAGACCGCCGGGAAGGGTAAAAAAAAAAAGAAAGAAAGAAAGAAGTGCAATGTATTGTGTTATTCAACTTCTGTTTTGACAACTGGATTTGTCTAAAAATTTAACCCAGCAGGATAGATGCTTGTGGACGGAATCAAAATTCCGGCCAACTATCATTATAGCAAACATTGAATGTTGAGATTTTCAGAAATCTAGCTGTATCTCATTTCGTCTGATATACCAATATCTTCCAATGATTTAGCAGGTCCATGATCGGTATACAATACTTTAACCATTTTGTCAACCACTAAACAGTAACTTGAACAGTATATCTACAGTTTTTCCTGGAGAGAAAAAGAAAAAAGAAAAAAGAGAGAAAGAAGAAACGCCTCTGCAAATGCATCCACACAGAGACAAATTGTAACTTGTCAGAAACGATAATCAAATTATATGGTTTTTTTTTTTTAATTTACTTTTTACCATCCCAGGATAACTTTATTCCGCACGACATGACACCCCCGATTGAGTCATGACATAATGTGCGCGTATTTTGACATTTTCTGGTTGGTCTGAAATTGGACGAACAATTGTCCACATAGACAATCGATTCATCCCAAAACAAAAGATATTCATTTTTTATTATTATAAACTTAAATTCGATTTCTAATACACTTTCTGTTTCAAAATTATTGTCTTAAAAATAAAAATTCAAACTGGATAATAATTATGAGACAGAGAGAGTATTATAGTAAACTTTTATAACCGTCAACTTTGAATCGAACAAAATAAATTATGTTGAGTTTAATATTTTTTATCACTGGAACTAGATGCTTATTCATAACTTGAACTGGTCTACTCTAGCCCATTTACAAACATGACTCTATTTGAAGTTGTCTAGTTTTCAAAGTTTTGATTTGGGCATTTATTTCTGAAGTTGATGAAAAAAAGAAAAAGAAAAATGATGACTGGATATCCCCTTTATCACTCAGCGCATTTCCCACCAAAAATTGAAACATCATTGAAATTATGCAAAATTGGAGTCAAATTTGGATGAGGTTTGACCGTATGAGGACGAGAATTGGACCGGACGGAATGAAATAGTATCAAAATTATTCATGAACAAACGTATCTAAGTACAAAGCTAGATTCTGAGCAGAAGCATCGATTGAGTTTGCTTCATACTTATCAAAAACTACATAAATTACGAGGAGGATTGAAATTATTTTTTTTTTTTTGTTGAATTAAATAATAAAAGTAGTAAAAAAATGCTAGCAAAGTGCAGAGAAGATGAGGATGAACTGAAGAAGCCGGGGGAAAGAAAACCCAGAAAAAAGAGACTTCCTGTACACTAAAATTTCCTGGGGCCTCCTGCAACGCTAATCATCATACTCATTTCACGTTTATTGGGTTTTCCTCGAATTCGAAATAAACACATTTTGCGAAAAAAAGAAAGAAATTGCGTCCAACACGTGGTGGCTGGCTGCTGCCGGATGCATTTTGTCTGGATTCTCTTCTTCCCCTCGAATTCTTTGCTTTCTAGAGGCTCCACTCCACCGCACCGCTTCCGGGTTTCCGCCCCACCTTTTCTTTTTCAACCCAGCCGTTACTTTTCTTGGGTCAATCTCTTTCCACACTTGGCACTGCCCTTCTGAGCTTCGGTTACATGGATTCCTGTAATCTCAACTCTCAAGTATTTGGTGCCTGCGGAGCTTAAATAGGGGCAATTTGCTACTTCAGCTTTCATAACCTGTGTTGAATAGCCTCAAAACCTCACTCCCAGGGAGCAAAAAATTAGAATAGTTGAGAGCCCCCTTCCAATTTCCCAAGCACACACTAAACCCAAATCCATGATCCCCACTTGCATTTTTCATTTTGGTTGACGCCTGTTCAGAGGTTAGAGAGATGGATAGATATGATTTTATTTTTGTGTGTGATTTTATTTCATTTTTTTTTTGTGTGTGTAATTAGTTTTTGAGTTTTTACTTGGTTTGATTTGCTCAAGGGTTTTGCAGATGGAGAATTCGAGTTGATTGGGGCGGGAGAATCCGTCCTCTCCTCACTGGCTTCCCAAGGGGCTGGAAAGTCAGTTGAGAATTTGAAATTCTGGAAAGAAACATACGGTACAATTAGTTGCTTCGCCCCTCTGGCTTTCTTTTTAATTCTGTTGGATTGTACGTTGTTGTTTCCATGAATTTTAAAATTGGGGTTGTTTCTGTTTGCTATATTTCTCAGTCCGTGTGATGGATGCTACTGATGGTTTATTCTTGAATAATTTAGTTAGATGACTTAGTCATCTCACCCTGCTGTTATCACTTGATTTGATCTCTGCTAAATTAATCATATATTAATTGGTTATATTAATTGATTTGTAAGAAGGCCTCTTGATCCTTTTGCACGTTAAAATGCTTGCAAAACCATAGCGTTTCGTTTAAGCTTTCCATTGCACGTCCAAGTTCATCGAAGTAGAAAAAAGGGGGTTGTTTCATACCATAACTGTAGAATTCAGTGAAGTGTTCAATGTAAATGTTTCGATGTATGTTGATGCATAGGTATTAGGTCAAATCTCGACATGATTTTGTTTGATGGTTATGAGTGGCCACTCCTAGAAAAGATGGCTGCATGTGCATTTTGTCCAGCTTAGTGTTTTTTTGGCATCTATGTTGCTCGCTTGTGTGCTCCTTATGAGTCAAATTTACTGTGTCTTCCGTGATTTGGATATTGGAACTTCACTTTTGAATGTTGCGTGTGACTGCAGTTTCATTTTTATCCCTTGTCAAGGTTAAGCTCTACTTAGATGGTATATGCTTTGGATTTGTTTAAGGAATCCAAATAGGGGATTTGTTTACGGAATCCAAATAAGGAATTTGTTTACTTTTCTTAATGAACCCAATTATAAATGTTGCTTATTGTAGAAGAATTCTTTCGAGTAGTAACTTGAAACGTAACCCAAACATGTGTCGCTTGAGCTTCTGTTGGTGTTCATAACGTGTAATGCCATACTCCGACAAACATCCCATGATTTTCTTCATCTGGCAGATTTCCCCATTAGTTCTGATTTTACGATGCACCAGTGTTAGCATAATGGAATTGGCTCTTGCCACGTACGTTATCTTTGGTGCAATGTTGTTGTTAGCGAGTTTTCTGTAGTATTTGACAGTTTTATGTTTTCACCGCAGAGTTTTTCTGGTTTTCTATCTTTAGATTGGAAACAGATAGAGCATTTTTATGTTGCCATGAATATCATCAAGTATACTTATGGATATACTTGCATTTTCATGATTTCAAACATTTCTTTTAAACATGCTCTTGCACTCTTGGAGGAAATTTTGCAGACTCTAACTGGTCCATAAATGCTGCAGGATTACATTGATCCTGTTAGTGGGCATATTTTTCATACTTTGAAGGAAGCGTTTCATCACCTTGACGCTGGAAAGATGAGGAGGAAGCATGCATCAAAACCTAAGAAACGAGAGCCAAATTCCGGACAGGAATCTTCATCTGTTAGTTTTCTCCCTATATTCTATATTTTTTGTTGTTTTTACCTTATCAATTCATCTGACTAGTGATTTAGAGAAACACATTTTCAAGTTGTGATTGAAAGCATTTGTCAGTGCAATGGAGTTTTTACTGCTTTTGAGACCTAGTGCTCTCTTTCATAAGCTTGTTCTTTTATTATTATCTTTTAATGATGGTTTGGGAAGGTTTTCCTAATTGGTTTGGTTTTGACAGATAACCTGCACTGTACTCGTAAACTTTGATTCCTTGTACGAAAAAAAAAAAACGGGTCTTTAAACTCCTTCGGCTTTGCAGTTTATATTCGTAGAACCTACCAACTTGAGCAATCTTTTTTAAGTATGTCAGTACATCAAGCTCCCAAGATAGTTTCCTTTGTTACTTTTTTTCCCCCTAATTTGTTGTTTTGGCACATTAGTATCTCTTATAAGATATTTTTCAGCTGATCTTTAAGTGATACACAATCCGTTTCAAGAAAAAGTTACACAAAATATTATTGTTCGTCATTTGTCTGAAATCAATTGAATATGGGTTTATTAGTGTCTGTCTTTAACTTTGTTAACCAATCTTATAGAAATATTTAGAATTAAATTTCGGTTGCTTTGATGTTCCAGTGGGTTACTGAAAGTGAGGAGCAGATGATAGCTGACAATAAAGCAGAAAAGCAGGGCAACGGGAACCAGACCCTGACTACTGGTGCGTAACATCTTCCTCTTCTTACTAGTATTCTGTTGTACAATAAGAGGTGCAAGTCATCAATCCTTGTGTACATTTCAAGTCTTATCTGTAGGCTAAACTTGGAAAGTTTAGCTTTCAGGTCCTTAAGGAACCTTAGTCATATTGAAGCATTCTTACATTTTTTAGTGATGTTTGTTAGTGGTATACTACCTGTTATATCATGTTTTGATTTGAATGTATTCCTGTTGCAGACTCTTGTGGCATGAGTCCTGATAGTATCAGAGAAGCCGGAAAGTTGGAGCAGGGTTCCCCTGCTGCTGAGGCTGAGGTTTCTCTGGAGAATGGAGCATCCAAATCTGAGAAGAAAAAACGAAATCGCAGTAAGGGGCTGGACTTGCCTCGCCGAACGTCAAAACGCCTTGCAGGCGTTGAAGTTGATATCTCACTAGAACCGACTGTACGCACCCGAAAGCGTCGAGCTGCAGGAAGAGAGACTAGTCAGGCGGAAGAGAGTGGGTCCAAAACTTGTGAGAACGTAGCCAAGTTTGATGGACATGACAAGAAGTTGAGTGCCAAAAATGAAGCTGATCTAAAGCCGGAAAGGGTAGATGTTTTGCCTCCTGGAGATAGTAATGTCCTGGCAGAGAACCCCAACCTAGGGGTTACTGAATGTATGGCCGATCATAAGGAGGAAGTGCCGCTTGACTTGAGTGAGTTGATGAAGTATCCTTGCATAGAGTTTGCCGTTAAAACTCTTATTGGAGAGGAGACCAAGCCTACCGTGAACGCAGGGGGATCTGCAAATATCTCTAATGTGGTGGCTGATACGTGCCAGGACTTACCTTCTATGCAGGTCTGGGCAGATCCATGCTTCGAGTTCGCGGTGAAGACCCTTATTGGTGACGCACCTTTGGAGACTGAACCAGCTTTGGAGGCTATGTTGCAGAAGCCGTCGGGCAACTCTGTGGAACAGAATGCTTCGGCAGTGCCTAGTCTCCAGGCATGTGGAGTCGGCCAGGAAAGTAGTGATTTAATTAGACAGAATGTAGCAGATACCCCTGAGGCAAAGCGGCAGCTTTGATGCCTGGCTGCTTCATACATAGGTCCATTTGAGTAGTGATTGTGATCATTATTAGGTCGTTGCATTTGCTTAGGAGTTGACATTAGGTCTTTGTAAGATGGTAGATGCCTTTTGGACATTCCTGACATTTAGGTCTTGGTACCTAATGTTGTTGTAACACCTAGTTGATTATCAGAAGTTCAGAACTTGGAATTGATATGCTTCTTGTTTATTCTGTGAAAGCAATCTTTTTCTTTTTTTTTAAGCATTCAGTTTACAATTTATTAGTATGCAGAGTATAAATAATTTACTCTTGTAGAGTCTTGCATTAATTACGTAGGTTACTCTCATTTAATTAAAAAATAAAATAAAATCTTTACGCCCTAGACAAACGACGTCGTCTCCTCCCAGGGGAGGAGGAGGAGGATTTCAGATAGAGCGCGCATATTTTGGCGCCAAGGCCCATCATTTTCTTTTTCCCTCCATAGGTTTTCCAAGCCGTCGTATCTCAGCCGCAGATCCTTGCCATTTGCCGAACGCCAACCCATTGATCGTAATTGGATATTACTTGGGGGATTTGTTCCTCCAATTGAACGTTCCCCTCAACATACTAATCTGATCGACCGGCCACAACAACCGAGATGAAAATAAAGGTGAGGTGTAGTTGTGGGGAGGGCAAGTGCCCGGAATGGGCAGTTGTGGAACTTCAAGGAGTGGTGGAAACCCAGCCGGCCTTCCAAAATCGCCTCCACAATCTCCAGATTGGAGTCCTCTGTCGCCCTTCTTCTCAGGTTTTTTTTCCCCTCCTTTAAATCCCTTTAACCTTTCTTGGGTCGATATATTCTTTAATCTGCAATTCTTGGTTAGTTATGCATTCTGATCTGAGTTGTGAATCCATTGGAGGGATTCAGGAGACCTACACTTTTACGGTAGGATATCATGAGTTGACCGGGACGAAGGTTCCCCTGAAGAAGCCAATGTTGGTGCTGAAGAAAATCAAACCCGCTTCCTATGAAGGAGATAACGGGGACGGCGAGAACGGCTCTGGATCTGCAGGGGTAGAGATGGAAGTTATTGGAATAATTCGCCACAAGATTTTGTTCAAGACCAGACCAAAGGCTCTCATTTCGGGTAAATCCTTTTCTCTTTTTTCTCGGAAACTTGTAATCATGATTTTCCTCTGTTGGCTGGTATGGTTTGTTTTTCAGAGTACCATACTAATTGGCCTGTGTATGTTTGATACAGGACCACCTCAGCCTGTTGCCAAGGGAAAACTGAGCACACCAACTTCCCTTTGAATTCACCTCTTTTGTTACTGGATTAGTGTGAAAATCTTAATAACTGGGAATTCACTGATAGAATCTCCATTCCAGTTTCTTAACCATTGAAATCTGATATGATATCGCTGCTTCTGTGTAACTCCAGGTTCTGCACATTTTGTATTCGATATGATTGTCCAGCTTTTGTAAGCTTGTGATATGAGTAGCTTTGGTGCGAATTTTGGTTTGCATTTTGAACCCTAAGCATACCAGATTAATTTATCGGTAGCAGCGCGTTCTGTATCTGCTGACAATATCTTTACCTTTTTAACTAGCAAAAGATGACACAAGTATTCCTCAAATTTGGAGAATTCGTAAACTGCAAAGTCTGCAATATCCCAAATGTAACTAATTTACTCCCAAAACGAGTAGATCCTGTTACAGCTAATTGGATGAATTTGCTAATGATTGAGAGTACTAATTGTATATAACGATATCGATATAGTAACAAAGTTCATGTAAATGTAAAGAACTTCCATAGGAAAATAATGTTAACTGGGACAAGATGTAACAATTGGCAAAAGGTCGGCAAATCGCATTGGATCCCAAATGAACCCCAGCTAACCTAGACATTATGGAAGTCTGATAAGACTAAATTTTGATGGTTGAAACAATCTCTATGCAGTCCCAATATTTGCTATGCCAGCACGAGCTCTCAGAGTCTCAGTTCTCTTACTTCTCTCCATGGAATCTACTAGCCAGTCTACGCTTTCTTTAATTCCCGTCCTGCAATCGATAGAAGCTATATTACAGAAACATAAAGGGGAAAAAAAGGCCATACCAACAATTATTATTTACACTCAAAAAGTCCCCATTCATGCTAACAACATAATTTCTTCAGAGAGTAACAAAATCTAGAATTTTATCTTTACCCATCATAACCAGAAACGGCTTGAAAAGTATAAACACGCTCGTCCAATTTCTTCAGATCTAGATATCGGCCAACTTCTTCCGCTGTCACCGCTTGTGCCAGATCCTGATATGTAGTTTATTCCAAGAAGATCAGATGATAAAACATTTCTTCATGGTTTAGATATTGCGTTCTAAACCTCAGTTATTGAAAACGGCACAACTTAAAGGTGAAACTGACAACCCGCATTTTCATCAAAAACAGGAGCCTTTTCTACACAACATTGCAAATATGCACAAAGGTCACAAGTACATCACTACTAGTACTTGCATTAGTATAAATCTCAAGAGAAAGACAATCAATAGTCGATATGGATAAGAAAACAAAGTTTGCTCATCCTATATATTTTTATTTTTTTTCCATTTGTAAGTATAAATATCTAAGGAGATCAGGCATCACGTAATACCTGTTTGTTTGCTAATATAAGAAGTGGAGCTCCTTGCAGATCTTCATGCCTAAGAACCTTTTCTGTCCATCAAATATGGCAAGTAAAAGCACAACAGTAGACCAATGAGAAATAATTCTATAGATGACTACTAAGAGCAATGAACTTTTTAGAAACCTTTCACAGGTCAAGAGATGATTACCAAGGGCTGACTTTGAATCTTCAAATCGTGATGGACAGGCAGCATCTACAACATATACCACTGCATGCGCTTCCTCATAATATTTTTCCCAAATTGACCGAAGACCAGGCTGTGTAATATGAGAATCACACCTCAGTGACCAATTTGCAAAGTAACTCACCATGTCTCAACAAATGAAAAGAGGAACACTGACAAAGCATTTAAAAATCAAGAGAAATCTTCAAACGGAGTGAAAAATCGTTACTTATCAAAAACTGATAAATCAGAAAACTTTAACCAATCTTCTACTTTAAAAGATAACAGTAACATATTTGAAAATTTTGGAAGCCAAATAAGTATCAGAAAATATAAAGATATCGTAGGATGGACTACATTCAAAGATACTGCCATATCCAGTAGCAGAAAAGATAACCCAAATGAAAATTTGAGGAATGTAGCACTGTAAAAGCATCAGAATTTCCCAAACGAAGATCCAATGCAACCAAAGTTCGGAAATCATGTTACCTGACCTCCCAGGTCCCAGAATACAAGTTTTGTGTTTGACACTTCAATCCGCCCGATATTGAGGCCCACTGTGGGGACAATACGATCAGGAGGAAGGCCTTCCAAGTTCGAATACTGTGATTTTAACTTCTCCAACAATGTCTAGAAGTTTGACAGATATAATAATCAGTACAAGTCTCAAACACAAAAGAAGCTGATTGCACACATATCACATCCGGGTAAAAGAATTAGCAAGCATGAACAGAACGACACAGAGAAACCGACGTGCAAAAAATCAATCCAAAGGAAAAGCATGAGCCACATGTACATGAAAAGAGTTTCTGACGAGGGAAGATGCAACTATTGCATCTGATGTGATAGTAAACAATGACCCCGCTGTGTACTAGAAAAGTTGAATGGTGAAACTTACTTAAAGACAAATCATTACTTATTGCTACAGCTATTCATAGAAAAAAGACCTTCAGATCAAATAGCATAATAAAGCTGAAAACCAGGCACTTAAAACACGAAAACAAACTGCATGCACCACAAAAGACAACTACTCGGGATCTTACTGTTTTCCCAGCCTTGTCAATTCCAAGAATGAGAACGTGGAACTCTGTTTTGCTGAACATGTACTTCCAAAGTCCATAAAATAACGAAAACATCTCTGACTTCTTCTTTCAGTGTCTCTATCATGCATTCTATGCACCCTTCAATAGCTTAAAGATAGCTTCGATTTTCCATATAGCAAAAGAAGAGCCCTGAGAAAAAGTGGGAATCATTGTAATCACAAAAAACACCCGAATACCACTTCTTTTTAGAGAACTACTTGAAATGTGTCACTTGAGATTATTTCCTTCACTATATTTATCCTGTTTATGACCCTGAATCTAGAGACATTACAATTAGATAGGCGAGATGAAAGAAGCAGAATGCCTGAATGAATTAATATTGCTTCATATTGCTAATCAAAAGCTGAAGAGGGCATGAATATTTCAAATCTACTAAGTCATATGGTTGGCCTAAAAGTCTAAAACTCAATCTCTGCTATTAAATTAAGCAGCAAATATGGGTAAAAATTAAGGCTTCTCTAACATTGCTACAAACTTCATCGCAAATGAGTCCAGCTAAAAGCATCATAAGGAAAAATATAGGTTTAATACTCATCTCCACCGACTTGATCACCCAACCAAAGATTCAGCAACTAATCCAATAGGGAGACATTCGATATGTGCAAAAGACTTGGAAACGGAACGACATTGATGAATTGATCTTTTGGCAGGTGAAAGCATATCAGCCAACCAATTTACAAAATGAAAACAACGCCACCAAATCGAGAGGCACAAAGGAATAAATGAAAGGGCAAGATCTTGAATCGATAACTTCCGCAAAAGAAAAGGCCAAAAATCATAATCGATACACCGCGATACAGAAATGGTAAAATTCAACTTGATAACGTAAAAAGCAATGATCAAACAGAGAATAAATCAAAGGGAAATTGGAAATCCCAGATCAAGAGTGAGCGGAAGGGGAAAGTCAGTCTTACTGTCGGTGAAGACGATGGCAACAGAAGAAATTTTGAGAGAACCGTTGAACAAACAGTTTAATGAAGTTGTGCAAACAAAGAAATAACGACGATGGTGTCTTCTCCGAGGTTGCCTGGGCAAAATTCCGCTCAGACTGTACCGGATTTCTAATAACCCCAATGTATTTCACTTTTTCTTCCTTTTGTTCTTCCTTTTGTTTTTTTTTTCTTTTTTTCTTTTCTTTGCTTAGTTCGGTTTTCCAGTATTACCCTTTCTGCCTGTGGGTTCCAATTCAATTTTTAGTTGACCCAGACCCGCATTGAGTGGAATAGCGTGCGCCGCTCGTCTGTACTTAGTCAGAGTGACTCAGGGTCAGCTCCTTACAAACTACAATTCAATTACCGTGTTACTACTACTTTGGGTTTTGTTGATGATATTGCATTTTCATAACATTATAAAAATATTACTAGAAGAAAATGAATGGAAAAATTATGTATTGTGAAAATTTTATAAGTTACTTTTTTTAATTATAATAACCAATAGGTAATTGTTGGATGGACAAAATATTTTAGTATTGTTGTTTCTTATATTCAACAATCAAAATGAAACTTTACTCCTCTTGAAACTTTTCATTTGTAAATATCAATATTTACTTCTCTTGATTTCTTTCTTCTTTTTTTTTTCCTTGGCACAAGATAGGAGGAAAAAGCCCAAATTAAGACATCGGAGTATTCCTCTATTAATAAACACCAACAAGGTCATGTTCTAATCAAGGAATTACTTCTCTTTATTTCAAATGGATGTTTCATAAAGAAAATTAGTTAAACTGGCTACAAATAACATCAACGCTACACCCAATCAATACAAATCTATTTTAATTATTTGATTTGATTCAAGCTAAATATGAGTTTAGATAGATATATTTCCTCCGACTAGAAAAAAAATTCACACGAACTTTGCAAATTTGTACTATTTTATTACAAATCTTGAAACATATTGTAAATTTTTTTATGAACATAGGTGCTATTGTTTTTTATACAACTCTCAATTTTTAAACAACATTTTTGAACCAGAAAAAAAATAACAATCTATCTATCTATAATTTATTATAAGAGTGAAACCACATAGATAAACTAACTTGAATTCTTAAAGTGATAACTAAGCTAAAATTCTACGTGTCACCCTCTTAAAACTCCTCAAAAAAATATTTAATATAATTATGAAAAAGTCCTCTAAGTTTTGTTAAAATTAGTAAATAATGGCTGACAACAAATTGCAAATGGATAATCAATTCCACTGCATATTAAAATGGGGATTATGCGTTAATATATAATAATTGAATGTTATACTTGGCAAATAAAACTTATGGTCCAATCTATTGGAAAATTATATTTAATCTCTATATTACAAAATGGCATTTGATAAATAAATATTTTACTCTTTTAGGTTCGTTTACAAATTGTACACACATAATAATTTTATGTAATTACTGTGTATGCATCTGTCTGGTACATCGCACAGGTGTAACATCTAGTATCATATGAATGCAACAAAAATAAAATCACATCTTTAAGTTTAAAGTGCTACTAATGCATGATAATGGTACCAAATAAAACAGATTACTTATGTAAAAGTTTGTTCTAGAAGTTTAGAATATGAAAGTAAAAAACAAGAAACAAAATGGAAGTCTTGAAAATACACGGGACAGAAGCAGGGGTATTACTGGAAACACGAGATGGAGAAAAGTAGTCGCCATGGAACCGTGCAGTCGTGGACATAAATATAACTGTATTATTAAGTTCATGAATTTTGCGCAGGCAGTGAGCCCAAGGTCGACTCCGTTATTTCTCGTTTTCCAATTCCGAAGGTATTACCGTTTCTTCTCGTTTATTTTCTTCTGCTTTCATCACTTCAGCCATTTCGATCTCTAGAACCTTATCGATACTGGATATTGTTGTAAATTTTGACCTATGGGTCTGCTTTTGAATCCGCTAATTAGAAATCATTGTGAATGAATTGGATCCTTAATAGAAGCAACGATTGTGTTTTCTTTGTTTCCAGTTTCCTGAATTTGGATTGCGGTCTTCTTCTCACGTTAGATTGTATGTGTTTTTTTCGTTGAAGTTTGTCAAACAAATCATTAGGGATTTCTTCGTATCGGCGATTTTTTAGAAAACGAAATTAAGCGGATCATGCACATAGTTAAAAAAGAGTTAATATGGCCAGCTCGTCCAATTTCGCTGGCATATAAATATAATGGCTACCAAACTTGCCGAATTTATCCCAGAAATTCCAATAAGAAATAGCTTTTGATGTCTCCTTGGCAGGTGGTTGATGGTCAACTGTTGAACCTGCTGTTGCTGTTGTTTTTGGAAATATTTCTGGACTGTAAAAAAATGAGGTAATCATGCCAGCTTTGGTCTCTTTTTTTTCTTTTCTTTTTTTTCTTTCTTTGTGGCTTTGCCTTTGAGGAATCTTGTTTTCTGAATAAGTTGTTGAAGTTTACTTGGGTGAGTTTCATTTAGGATTTTATGGAGTACTTGAGCATATTGGGTATGAATTTACTGGTCTGAAGGAATGGACCAATTTTGCAAGTTTTGTTCAATTTACTTACTGTAATATGTTTTGAAGTTGATTCTAATGGAGAAGCGGGACATATCCACTTTTGTGCCTATAAATTATGTACTGAACTTCGCAGTTCCAGTCGTAGGGGCAGAGTGAGATGGGATGAAGCCAATATTGGGGAAATTGAAGCAAATAAACCTGTAAGACAGAAGATTACAGAGCCAAAGACACCATATCATCCTATGATTGAAGATGATGGTAATTCTTCGGTTACTATTTTTGTTTACATTGGTTGTTTCTCTTTCTTAATCATGCTTCTGAAACTATATTTTTCCAGGGCTTTATTTGGGAATACTAGGTGTCCATGACGGATATATGTTTTATGACCTTATGATCCCTCACTTAGGCTCTGGGAATTGTAGGTGTAATGATGGATATATGGTTTATGAGCTTATGATCCTTCTCTTATATTTTGGGAATAGTAGGTTTACATGATGGATATATGTTTTATGAGCTTATGATCCTTCACTTATCCTCATTAGTACTGTTGTTCCCCTCATTATTGAATATCTTCTTGCATACACAAGCATTTCTCGTCCCCTTTCTGGCAGTTATTTTGGTTTTACCTTTTCAAAGGGTGTGGGAGCTTATGCTACCATTTGTTTAGGATTTATTTCAAACCCTAGTTTCACTTCACCAGCATATTTGTTAGTTAACTGAGGAGACAGAATCTGAATGGCCTCGTCTTTGTGTGGTTTATCCTCTGGGGATGTTCTTAGCAATCTGAAATAGATTCATGATAAATCATATGTGCGGATATCCTGTAAAATTGTTATGGTATGGGATTCAGAAATATTTGGATGTCATTTATGGGGGGAGTTTGCCTCCGTGTGTTGTACCTTTGATGTCCGTCGTAAGTTTCACATAACGGAACTCTGTCAATCATCAGGCAGCCAAGAATCTCCTATGTTATATTAATATATCGCTTGCTCGTTTATAGCTGTTTAGGCGTTGGCCGCGTTGCCTCCCCTGTATGAGGTGTCTACGTCCAACGTGAATTTGAATCTTTGTTAACCTTCATGCCCGTGGGGAGTTATTTTACCGTTACTGTTGCAAGTATGCTTGACCTTATAAAGTTTATCTTTACTGCTTTTTTGTTTTGGTTGGCTTGTCCCCATTCAAGTTGAGGAAGTGATTTAGTCTGGCTCTTTGTATATTATGCAAGGATCATTATCTCCTATAAGAGGAGGAAGCTTTGATGAGGCCTCTCAAGATGGGGTCAATGCAGAAGAAATATGTTGTGCTTTAAATGATGTGGCTTCTTCCAGTAAAAGCACCTCAAGACGCACAGGTTGGACTTCATCCGAGGATGAAGAAGAGCCTATGGAGCAAGACGAGGAAGGTAGTACTTTATTCCTTGTTTGTTGGAGTCTCATTTCACATATTTCTTCATTATACGTCAAGTTTGAATTTGAACGCCTGCTATTTTACCTTGAAGTATGACATTTCATACTATTGGACGGGGAAGGTGGTGTACTTTTAATCCTTATCTGTAGCTATTTCTCCTTGAAGACATTTTCTTAATTGCCCCCCCTGGCTGCCTTGTGCATATCTTTGATCATTTACAAAAAAATTATACTGTTCTTAAATAACACAAACAAGCAGGGTGAAGTCTTAAACCACTTTTATTTGCTGATCTGATGACACGTAATAAATTTGGTTCATGTTATGCTTCAGGTTCTGACTCGGAGAGAAGCAGATGCTTCAGAGAGCACCGGCGAGCTCATTATGACGAGTTTCGAAAAGTGAAGGAATTGCGAAGGAAGGGATCTTTACTTGAAGATACTTCGGAAGATGAGCGTGAAAATGGCGAGACAAAGACGAAGGGGCATGACCCATCTGCCTTAGCTGACGGAGTGAAAGAAATAGAGATAGACGGGGACAATGAAGATGTCAACTCATCTTAGGTGCCTGACATGAGCCAATTGAATAAACTTTTTATTGCTTTGTGTCGATTACTGGGCGGAATATGCTGTTGTATGTTGATCTTAAGGATTCAGAGTGCGTTACTTTCCTTTTTCCTGCTGCAAAGACCTGCTTTAAGATGTAAATAACTTTTTCCATGCCTAGATTTTTGGCAAATTTACTGAACCGTGGATTATGTTCGGACTTTGGGAGCAAGTTTCAAATTACTCATGCGTATTTTATATCATTGGTAGTTGTTAGAACCTTTTGAATTTGCTGTTGTAGAAAAGTTTATAATTGGTTAAGAAAAAGGAAAAAAAATTCTCAGGAAATCTATGCTGGTTGAACCGTGATTTTTATCCGGGTTTGACCTAACCTGATTCAACCGATTCGGAGCGGTTTTAACAACAGCAGTATAATTTCGAAGGGGGTCCCTGTATCTATCCAGTACCAAACCCTTGAAGCCAAAAGAGCAGTGTAGTTGAGTGGTTCTAATGGCGGAATCCACAGCCTTGGTCTCAACTCTAGCTTCTCAGGTTTGCAATCAAATAAGCTCTGTTTTCAGTAAACCAACCTCAGGCCCCGCCGCCCTGGATGTGATTGTAGAAGAAGTCGCGGCGGCTGCCGCTCGCGACGGCCGCATCTTCGTCTACGGCGTCGGCCGAGAAGGGCTGATGCTGAAGGCCTTTTGCATGAGGCTTTTCCATCTGGGCCTCTCAGCCCATTGCGTCTTCGACATGACCACTCCACCGATTGCATCGCCTGATCTGCTGATTGCTTCAGCTGGGCCTGGGGGATTCTCCACCGTCGATGCCATTTGTGGGGTGGCGAAATCGAACGGCGCTCGGGTGCTGTTGCTGACAGCTCAGCCGAATTCTGGATCTTCGGTGAAGTACGCTAGTGTGGTTGCTCATATCCCGGCTCAAACCATGGCGGACGATCGAGTGGCGGCTGACGGCGGAGGAGGTGGGGAATCAAGGCCGTTGCTTCCAATGGGTAGCCTTTACGAGGGAGCCATGTTTGTTTTGTTTGAGATTGTGGTCTTCAAACTAGCTGAGGTTCTAGGTAAGGACCCTGAAGATGTCCGAAGTCGCCATACCAATCTTGAGTAGGAAGTACCAATATAGTCAATGTTCTGCTAGCTTTTTTGGGGGCAATCTGTGTGTATTTCCATGTACAATTGAATCTGTGATTCTAAGCTACGCATATTTAGGCATTGAGCTGGTAGGTAGATTACTCCTTTTGGGAAGTAATCTTGTTCTTCTACTGTGCACCTTCCTTTTCAATAATTTTATCTCGGCACTCTGTTCATTTTAGTGATGCGACTGGCACCATGTTTTAGATAGCTGAAGCAACCAAAATTCACAGGTCATCATTACTTTCGGTGTCAAATTAGAAACTTCAAAAAGGGTAGCCAGGATTTCCCTTCTAATTCTGCACTCAAAGAGTTTGCTCAGATTAGCTTTGGATTTTGATGGCCATCTCTGTTCAATGGTAATACAGAAATGAGAAAACGTCAACTAAGAAATTTAAAAAGGAGAAGAAAAATAAGGGTCCATTCACGCTTCACACTTCACACTTCACACTTGGTACTAATTAGCATAAAGCAGCACTGAACATTTAATCAGAAGGACTCTAGACTCGGATGATGAATGAGGCTAAATTAAATAATAATAATAATAATAATAATAATAATAATAATAATGATAGAAGAAGGCAAATCCTGACTCAAAGGGGCAGAGCAACAGTTTGTAATTAGGGTGTCTTCATCAGCAGTCAAAGACTCTTCAGCGGGCAGAAGTAGTAGAAGTAGCAGTTCTATTATTCTTGGACCTCTTGGAAACCAGATTGCTGTCATCTAGTCTGTTTTCAAGCTGCGGGACCACCTTCAAAGAAAAAACTACATCAATCCCCATATGTCACAAATCCTCAGTTATATTAGCCATATATAGTGTTATTACAAACCCCTCAAGAGGATAAGGTAAAATTACGACTATTTGATGACAATGGACTAATGCATCCCCCTTTCTGCAACCATAATCAAGATATTTTTTTATTATTATTTTTTCCTTTCTAAAATTTGTTTGTCTTATTATGAAAAAAAATAATAAAAAAATAGGGACTTAGCAGTTCGGTAAACAGATAAAAAAACACATAAATTTAGAGCTATCAGATCATATGACTAACTTGGATATGAAATTGAAACGAATTTGTAGCATTAAATGAAAACGCAACACACCTCGCATAAAATCTACTCGAGTGTCAGCTTAATAAAGAGTCATAGGCTATGTCATACATCGTACCGGTTGGTGAATTAGATCCATCACGGGACTCGTGATTATGATCAATGTGAGAAATTGTTCCTACGTCTCATCATATAATTGGCACAGATATCTAACTCCAATTTATCAACCCCACTGTTTGAAGATGCCGTCAAAATAAAAATGCAAGCTTTCAAGTGTTTCAAATTATGAACTACTCTCTTGGTCCCAAAATTATTGTCCAGTTTGAGTTTTTATTTTTTTGTTCAAATTGTACTACAAATGAAATCTCAAACTGGACAATAATTTTGGGACAGAAGGAGTAGATTAATTTCGAGTTTTAGGCAATTATCCACTATACGTGACTAAAAAACAAGTACTGACTAGTCGATCGTTTACAGAATACGGTATCATACTCAACAAACATGATTAGTTACTTTTATTTTAAGACGAATTAATTAAGAATATTTGGTATTGACGTAATTTAATTAGTTTATTTACTGATACGAGTGAAAATGCTAATTAGGAAGGTAAAGTGTGATGATATGAATGGGGGGCTAACCTGATCATGATGGTGTGAAGGTAATCTCTTGTGCTTCTTGTCTGTCCTTATTACACTCGAGTAGTTCCCAACATGATCTTGTCTCAATATCACATTCCACATCAACGAACAATACAAAATTAATCAGAATTTTGAAAAGCCAACACGATCATAAAATGCTTATTTTCAAAGTTAAAAAGGTACTACTTCTAAGGGGAGAAAAAACAGATCTTTTTGTTCTACTGTAAAAAAGTTTTTTAGGTCAAAACAATTGAACGTTTGCACTTTGCGCAGAAAAAATATCTTGCTAACTAAATACATGCCTGATACGTTTAAGAGTCAGGTTCCGAGATTTCCTCGGTATAAAGATGCAAATTTTTTCGCTTTGACCAGAAATTAGGATATACACTGACCAAATAAATTATTCTACGCTAGCTCAATTAAATCACAATTCGTTAATTTCAATTGGTGATGCGAACAGATAAGAATCTCATAAAAAACGAGGTTAAATTCCACTTGATTTGAGATCCGAAGCATTATTTTACAACAACTACATAAACAGTAGAAGATATTTTATTCACAATTACAGAAAAGAACACTCTCTTTTTCTTTCTTTTGCTTTGGCACAACTTATGTTCAAATTTATACAATTTGATGAGCTAAACCAAATAATGGGAAATTGGTACTACTTTTTTTTTTTTCCCTTCTAAATTACTAATCATTTTGAGAATTTTTCCGTGAACTAGTAGACATGTAGATACATAGTGTTATTTATGTTATTCTAATTATAATGTATGTAAAATTAAAAACCTTTTCCCTGAGAAATGTCACTAGCATTTCGGGTTGTAATGTGATCATTAGCGACGGATTTTATTTGATGTAGTATTTGGGCAATGATCCGAATCATCTAACTGATAAATCCATTTTTTTCTCTTTTTTTTTTTTTCTAAAAAAAACAGGTTTGCAAATGATGTCGAATGATAACGTTGTGGGCAACGTACGTTGTAAAACTGTAAAATAATGTATTATAGATTACCGGAGTTAGAATGCTTCCCCAAATCCAGGGTAGACTCGAAAGAGTCAGGCAACTGACGATCGAGCGGGAGTGAACGGCGGCGGGCGTGGTTGTCGTACATGGTCCGAACGAAGGTAGCTTCCATGGAGTTTAAGAAATGGACGTGCCTCTCGTCTGTCCAAAACCACCCTCCTCCAGAAGTGCTGCTGTTTTTCTCAGTATTAGTATTATTATCCATGGAAAAATGTTGCTTCAAATTTTCCGGCCGGCTGTTGGGACGAGATCAAATGAGCCGGAGCCGGCTGCTAGGCTAGCTGGTTTTCTTTTTTTTTTTTTTTTTTTCTGTTGAGCAGTGGTAATAAGTCGGGGGGATTTTTATATAGCGAGCAAAAGATCCTGAAAGGAGGATAACTTTGCCAAACATTTTTGCATCTACGGCTCACGAGCTTGTGAGGATCGTGGTCTCACACTTTACCCTCTCTCTATCTCACTGCCATGTGTTTTTTACTGTTTTCTTCAATTCAATACATGCACCTTTTTAGTAACTACTAATAGGGAATTAATTATATTGTTTTTTTTTTTAACTCTATCTATTTTATTTTTTCTCAATGTATCTGATGATATAAGCTAACGTGCTGCAGTTGTGGTATCGAAGATTTATTCGGACACTGTCATTTACGTTGATTTTAATTTCTACTATGGTATTATGACTTTTAATCAAACATGCACACAACTATTTAGGTTAAAATGTGGAGCCACGGTTTTTTATTTTTAAAAAACTTGATGATGATGTTTGGTCGTCGAGGCAACAAACAAACAAAACAAAAAAACTTTTTTGTTGAAATATTAAAATAACAATACCGGTTCATTCTATAAATAAAATATTGGAATAAAAATATTTTTTTAAAAAAAAAAATTCATTCTATCTCAGTGTTGATACTGTAATTCTTCTATCTCAAAATAATTATTACTTATTATGTTTATAATTTTATTGTTAGAACAAATTATTTTAAAATAAAAGTACAATCATTTTGAGTTGAAATGAATTTTATATGTTAAACTAGAAGAAATATTCAGGAGATGAGAGAAGGTCCGGTTCGCCTACCCCTAAAGGTGGAAGGGGAAATTTGATGAGTGGACTGTGGAACAGATGAGGAGGAGGTTGTACACTCGCGAGAGTGGGGGAGAGAGATGCAGCAAATGGAAAATATCTGAGGGTTTAGGGATCATATGCTAGTTGGGGGGGGCAATTGGATAGACTTTTGTTAAAAAAAAATAAAAAAAATAAAATTTTATTTTAAATAAGGAGCATGAGATGAAAGTGTGATTCGTATCAAATGAGAATCTTTCCGAAGTTGAGTCGAAAGCAAATGGATTTCAATTATTCCTCACTCTCCCATAGTCCCATTGCTAACCAACAAAAAATCTGATCCTTTTTGCCCTCTTCTTTAATTATATTTAGACATGGCGAAAAATATCATCCTCCAATGTGGTATGAGCCTTTTTTTTTTTAATATAAATATATATTTACTTTAATAACCCACTACTATAATGTGGTATTCATTCATTTCTCCTTGGCATTCTACGCTACCAAAAAAATTAAAAATGGAATGTGAAAGCCTAAGGCTGTATGAATAAACTAGCATCTTGTTTCAGAAAAGATCAACGAAACAAGGGATGGAATCATCAAGTAATTGCACAATTTTCACGTTTAGTGCTTTGTACCATGCAAACCAACTCGTAAAATAGCGAGTTTAAAAAACAAGATGAGCAAGATAACAACTAAAAACCAACCATGTCATTGGACATTGTTTTGATGCGTATTTTTCTTCTCTTTATGGAGAAACAAATTCATGATAATTGATCCCGTTTTTAAAAAAAGAAAGAAATTCATGATATTGTATGAGCGACAAGATTACCTACACACTGGATATTTCGACGCATATCCATCCAGAAGTTGAATTAATCACAAACTTTCTGGTCAGGACTTCTTCATTGTAGCAGATTTAGGGAATAGGGATCCTTAATAATCTTAGATCTTGAGCTCTTGACCTAGTTACTATGAACTGAGGGTGGAATGTACTACCACACACGAACACATATACCATTGGGAATGGTAAAACGCAACACATTTAGGGTAGGCAGTCTAAGTTCAGTCCAAAGATGAGTTTGGGCTTTCTAGACAACTGGTTAACTGGGCCAAAGCCCTAAAAAGCAACTTGAGACTTAAGGCATATTGATGCATCATCGCCGGCTTCCAAAGTTTCGGAACAGCAAAACGACATCATCATCTTGGACGCCGCTGTAATCTAACGACACAGATTTGTTCATCACAGTCGTTCCACAGCCTTCCCGCCGGAATGTCATTGCCTAAGCTAACCTAACCTAGCGTAAATCTCAAGCTTGTCGTTTTTGCTTTGAGAGATCTTCCACTTCTCGTCCTGAGAAGCCTAATTTTATGAAATTCATAGTGCCAAAATACCCCCAATTTTGTTAGCAGCTAGTAACTCTGTTTTTAGGATAATAGGGAGCCAGAACAAATCATGCCCAGTTTGCCTCTTTTATTCTCATCCAGCAATCTCATTCTCCATTCAACCCTCTGCCTGTCTCTCACTGTTCTCCTATCCTTTCTGAGGATCCCGGCTTTCTTCCTCTATGGCCTCCACACTTATGTTCACCCGGACGACGTCAATCCCAACACCAACTCTTCCCGTGGCGGTGGTGGAATCAGAGCTGCAATTCGAAGGCCCGGTGCGGTTGATTCTGAACCCAAGCCTCGGAAAAGATCCAAGGATAAATTTGAGTTTGATGAGAGTAAAGCCCAGATCTTTAGGTTAAAGCTCAATGATGCTCATTTGGAATCAAGGGTTTATTTCAAACAGTTTAGTGGAGTTTTCAATTCCACTGTTGTAGCTCTTTCTTCTATTCTTCTCCACAATTATTTGCGGGTTGATCCGGATTCTGGGATTTTGAAAAACGGGTCTCTCATTCCGATTTTGTTAGGTCTTGTTGGGGTCTGTAGATTATTTATTTTGATTGCTAAGGTTTCCTTCGAGAGGTCAGCATCTAAGAGGTCTGAAAAGCTAGTGAGTGTTGTGTTTGGGTTCCTTGGGTTTTTCTGGGGCATGGCCATTGTTTTTCAGTTGGTCCCTAGATGGGTTTTAGGATTCGATTTTGACTCTTTGGATGTTTTTGGAAAGTTCTCCATTGCTGTTCTCATGGGCTGCATTTCTGGTTTCTTATATATGCCCGCAACACGGAATGCTCGTGCTTTCTGGCTCGGGACTGACCAGATTCGTTGTAAGCTGTCCATAATTTCGTGTGGATGGTTTGCAAGAATGCTTCTTTATGCTAATTACTTGTTTTCTGTATTCACTTCCACGCTCTGGATCAGCCCATTTGCTGAGCTCTTAGTTGACAAGAAAGTGTCTCATTCAGTTGGTTGGAGGGGATATTCATCTGACCTGGTGGGAAGAGTGGGGATGTCGCAATCTGATTTTGATAAGTTCAGGTTTTGGTGCCTTCTGATTTCAGGCCTACTCCAAATCCTGTCTTTGAGGTCCAATGTGCAGATGTTCTTGAACGAAGCAGTTTTATGTTGGTACCAAAGACTGCATGCCAGCAAGGTTCCTGACTTGGAGTATAGCCGGGCGAAGGTTTTCTTGCACAACCATTACATGTTTCTTGCAGTGTTGCAGTTTTTCGTGCCTGCTGCCTTGATGCTTCTATTTGTCGGTCTATCCTGTATGAAGGACAACCTGTTGGCAGATTTCAATTGGCTTTGTGATTTATTACCATGCTCTGCATTGATTAGAGGAATGGCTTTGTTTTTGGCTTGGTGGAACATCTTTGTATGGTCTGTGTTCACTTCTGTGAGCCTTACTCTCTGTCGGCGAGGTTTGATGGTTGTTTCTTGACAGAGTTGCTCCTTATCAATATGCATTCCCATTTTTTTTTTTATGCTCTCAGTAGATGGACGCTCGATCGTACTTGCACATCTTCAAGGATTTGGATGACGGACATTTTTTAACCGGAAAGTATTAGCTCACGATCATCTGGTTCTAGAATTGATGAGTTACAGTTTTGCTGCGAACAAATATTAACACTTTCCACAGGCCTTGCTGTACTATCTAGTGTTTTGTTTCATTGAAATACCATTTGTGCTTCTGTGATTTAACATGCCTTTACATTTCGCCATACCCTGTGATTTTCTCGAAATGTTCTAAAAGTAAATGGTTGCTGGTACCTTCTTCATTTCTTGTTTGTAGTTGTAGCTGGAGGAAATATTTGGCCCCAAAACTTCTTTTTTTGGGTTGACCGCAAAACTTAAAATCAGTGGAAGGTCTTCCTTTGATTTTTCAGAGATTTGTAGCTACTTTTGCAGCTACATATATGTTGTGGTAGGATGGCTTAAATTCAACATTTGAACCGGTTAATTTTCCTCTACTTGATGAAGGTGGTTGGCATAATTTCTGGAGAAAGTAGCTCAGATAGTCTTTTCATTACAGCTATGAATGTGGGGAAGTAAAGAGCTTCCATTTCAAACTGGCTTACATAATACAGTACATTGCTGGTTCAAGCCAGCCTCATCAGCGAACTAATTCATGGCCTGAACAACATTGGTCTTTCTGAATTGATTTGTTCCTTTGAGAAGGTGAATCCTCTTTTTTTCTTAGTTCCTGTGAACAGGTGCATCTTAACATTGATCTTGAAAGCTTTTTCTAGGATGTTTTTCATTCTTACAGCGGTGTAGGTGATTCTAGCAGTCCGTTTTGAAGAGTCTAATGTCCGTTTTCTATCATGTGGGGGAAATGAAATTTCTGCACTGCCACAATGTGGGGCAAATGAAAATGTACTGGAAAACTTCATCATCAGGATTCTGAATGGATAAGAGGGGGAAAGGGTAATGCAATAATGTGATTTGTTGGTTCCGGATGTTGAGATTGTGGTTATGAAACTTGGTGTTGTGTGGATGAGTTTGGATCGGATGTCGGGGGACCAAGGGCCTAATAATGTCTGGAAGAGAATGATTTACGGGCTATTAATGAAAACGATCTACTATGCAAATTGTGGGCCACCAAAATCTTCCGCTCTGTTGTGAACTTCACCTGCAAAGATTATTACCAGCCGGATGTTATCTATTTCTGCTCCAAGGCTGGAGTAAAAACCAGTATGAACATGCTGTATTGTTATTTTTAACCAAACTGAAAAAGAGAAAAGGATTCTGTGATTATTGGCATTTAAAGCAGAATTGAAAATGAAGCAACAATAGAAATCAGTGTATAGTGGCACATAATTGCTAGTAACTCATTCTATCGAATTGGTCCAATTTGAATCCAGGTAATTATTTTGAACGTGACATATATATTTGTTTAACTTAGGTCGCCATTTTTCAAATGTGAACATGCAAATTTCTCGTTCATATTCTCGTGGTAGGAAACCAAAGTGGTTGTGATAGTGTGGAAAGGGACTTTTCCATCCTTAACCATAGGTCGAGAGTTCGAAGTGACTTTTCCATTCTTAACCTCGTCATGGGCATTGAGCAATCTTAAATACTTTAGTCAGCTGTCCCACTCATCGAGGTGCCTACAATTCCGCGAGAGAAATTAGTCATTTTTGTCGACGGTGGACACTCTGCGAATATGAAAAAATAATAATAATAATAATAAAATAAAAAAATTCACGTGGTATGAATATTGGTGGCATAACATCATCAGTGCCAGTGGGCATATGTAATTGGGTTAAAAAAATTGGAATCTATAGATGATAGCACATGGATAATACACGCAAAATATAAAAACTAGTAGTTGTGTACTACAATTTGCGCAGAACTCAATTTAACTAACTTGCTTCGGTTTGTGTTTGAGGCTAAAAGCATGGTCCACGAGTGGAATTCTATGACTTTCCACTAAAAACTTCCACCGTATGTACAAGACGCAGCGGATTTCGAGTTGAACCGTATATGGTCACGAAGTTGATTTCATTTCTGTATTGTTTATTTGCATTCTCTTTTCTTAAAAATTTATAATTATCTTGTTTCATTTGTAATTTACAATAAAAATTATGTAAATAAGAACATTAATTATTATATAATTTTTATTATGTAAGTTGTAACATTAATTAATTATTTTTATAAGACAGAAAAAATATGATATAATCTAGGTTCAAAAGTTACTGTCCAAATTCAAGCGGCAGTTGCTTTCGGGCCAACGTCAGATCAAAGGTCAACCAACTTAAATGAAGAACTTGGAACTAAAGCCGTTAAAAACGAATTTGTTTTCAGATAACAATCTCGTATGCGAAAAAAAAATCGTAGTAAAAAACGCTCTTAATTATACGGGGGATCATTTTAGCATTGAATATTCCAGCAAAGCTTTTCCGCCAGAGAGAAATGAGCTGGGGAGCGTTCCCTTTCAGAACCATCCGTTGATTTATTTATTTGGTTTTAGTTTTTTCAGGAAGAATCCTTCCAACTATATAATTTTAAATGCCACGTCAGAAATTATGAGAATGAAACTTCTCGAAAAGCCTTAAACGTATCTTCTCGTTCTTTCCTTTCCTTCACCTCCCCCATTTGACACTTTCTTTTACTTTTCTCACTTTCACGTTTTTCCTTTTTCTTTTTTTTTTTTTTCCGCTTTCCTCAAATTCCACATTCCTCTCTCTCTCTCTCTCTCTCTGCTTATTGAGTTTATCTTCTTCTCTTTACTCATTAGCGTTTTGTCTTGGTTGGTTCCGATTTTCAGTTATTGTTTCTGCTGGTCGGAAAGTTCTAGAATTGGGGATCATTCATGAGAGCAGAGGCTACTATCCGGGGTCATTTCTCTCTCTCCCGCCAGTATTAGATCTGTCCCAGGAACTCTGTTCCCATAACTATAATTTCCGTATGTATAGCTGTATTAATGGTTCCTTAATCTTTCCATGTTTTTTGGGTTGAGTTTAATGGACTTTTTGGTACTTAGGCCTGATCAGAAATTAATTTGCGATGCCTCCGCCACCGCCTCCTGTGGAGCGCAACGGTGGGGAATCCATGCCCGGGGAAGCCTCAAGATCTCTTCCCACCCCTTTTTTGACTAAGACTTATCAGCTGGTCGAAGACCGGGCTATAGATGATATCATCTCTTGGAATGACGACGGATCTAGCTTCATCGTCTGGAACCCCACCGAATTTGCCCGAGATTTGCTCCCTAAGTATTTCAAGCACAACAACTTTTCAAGCTTTGTTCGGCAGCTCAACACATACGTATGTTCTTTTTCCGGCGGTCCTTTGACCTGAAAAACTTTGTACTCTGTTTTCTGATTTCATCTTTTTCATTTCTACAGGGATTTCGTAAGGTCGTGCCTGATAGATGGGAGTTTTCCAACGACTGTTTTAGGAGAGGAGAGAAAAATCTTCTCTGCGATATACAGCGTCGGAAAGTTTCCACGCCTACGCCTCCGGCTCCGGCGGCTGGGATTCCTGTTGTGACAGTGGCAGCTGAATTGCGAGCTCCTCCGTCACCTGTTCCGATGACGGTGTCGCCGTCGGATTCAGGCGAAGAGCAGGTCCTCTCGTCCACGTCATCGCCGGCGGCGGTACGGGACGTCGCTCCGGCATCTGGAACTAACTCTGAATTGATCGGCGAGAATGAACGGTTACGAAAGGAGAACTTGCAGCTGAACAAAGAATTAACCCATATGAAGAGCATGTGCAACAATATTTATCTCCTCATGTCCAATTACTCCAATAATAACAACAGCGCCAACAGCAGCAACGATAATTCGAATTGCACCAACACCAACATCGAGTCGGCGGCTGTGGATGGCGGGAACCAGGCGCTGACACCGCTGAATTTGTTCACGGGCAAGCAAATCAGCGACGAATCGGGTGGGACCGGTGAATGTGGCGGCGGTGACCGGATGGAGCTGGACGAAACCGACGCGAGGATCTTCGGATTTGCCATCGGAATGAAACGCGGGCGAGAGGTTCGTACAGCGGCGGCGGAGGGGGAGCACGGCGGTCAGGAGTTGCGGCTTCAACAGCCGGGAACAAACGTGAAATCAGAGCCGTTGGATGAAGGAAATAGCGGGAGTGGTGGGGATGATCAAGGGACGACATGGCTCAGACACTGCCACATTCAAAATCAAAGGGTGTGTAATTAATTAATCAACAATCGTAATTTTCCAGAAGGAAATTTTTGTTTTTTAGGAACATTGTAGAATCGTAGATTAGGATCAAACGGAGGAGGCATCTTTGGAACTTTCCGGATCAATGTGCCACGTGTGGAGCACAAACCAATTAGTTGTGGACCACTTTCAGGAAACTTCTACTGAAATGGGTTTTTTTCTTCATTTTTCGTGTTTTTTTTTTTGGGTTCAAAATATAGGGAAAAAAGTGCACTTTTTCTTTAATGTAACTTTAGGAATACTTTGGCGGGGCTTTGGACCAGAAGATGATGATGTGATATCATTATTGAATTGTTAAAAAGAAACCTGCAGGAAATTGACCCACCGTATTATTCTATTGGCGCTGTGCTCTGTTTGTGTCTATCTTTCTGTGGAAACTTCCAAGTCCACTAGTTTTTCTCTTTTTTTCCCCTTCTCTTCTTGGGCTAAGTTTGACATAATTCTGAATCAAAACAACATAATACTCCTATTAAGAAATGAAAATGAAAGTTTGGGAACGTTTACTTAAGTTTAGGCACAGTGGTCAATGCATTTTTTTTTCTTATCTTTTGGTTTTTGGTTTTTAATTTATTTTTCCTTGAGATGTACAAGGTGTTATTATGCACTTGTACGTCGTACATCTTCAATCGCTTATCGAGTTTTCCCGGGACTCATGCGGGAAATCCCGGGTAGCTCCACGAATATCCTTAAGCTGTTAGCTAGCTGAAGGTTTCGTAGCTAACCCATCGTCAGTGTCACTATGCTTCAACTTTCGTTGTCGGGGAGCCCCTTTTTCTGCTTGTGCCCAAAAAGAATCCCCTAAACTCACAGGTCATAATATATGAAGAGTAGATGTAGATCCACATATGAGATGATCATGAATATAAAACTCAATTCGAAGAACACCAACGTACAGTAGTTCAGAACCTTGTGGATACTGAATGCACAATTTGAAATTTCTCCAAGCTGGCGGAATTTCAATTAATTTATCGCCATGGTCATTTGAGCTTTCTTAGTGCAAATATGATGGGAATTCAAATCTAATTTGTGGAGTCAACTCGTTATGATTATATATACTCAGAATTATGTATGTGTGTGATCATTATAATGGTGATAATACGGCTTTTGACCAGGAAATTCAAAATTTTTGTGCTATAAAAGAGGGGCGGAATGAACCAAGCAGCTCCTCCGACCTCTCTCAATCAACCATTTTTAATATCATCCGCACGAGATTGGAAAAAAAATGAGTACAGCATTGAAAAAGCAATTTGCCCTTTTTTAACTAGGTTCAAAAGTATTAGTTAATCAATTCTTAAAGTCGCGTTGGCGGATATTATTTGTTGGGCCTTGCGGCGCTCCACGGGTTCGCCTTTTTGCCTTTTCATTTTGTCAAGTTAATCAATTGATCCACCTATATATATATATATAATCAATTGCACATGTACTGAAGTCGAAAGCCAAGAGCCATTTGTTATCAGTTCCGGCTGATTAGCTGATGATCATTGTTTCCAATCATTTGAATTTCAGTAAAATTATCATATAGCTTGTTTGCGATATTCAGTCCCCAGTAAACATTTTGCATATGACGATAACTTTCCGAATGGTTATTGATTCTAACTCTCTATATGGTAGTAAAAGCAAAACTTTAACTTTACACACAGGATCAAAGGTACAACTACAAGTACTGAAGCAGTTCTATTAGGAAGAGATTTGAACCCCAAACTTAGGATTGATACTTATGATGAAGATTCTGGCTGATAGAAAGGCTACAGGGCTACCATTTTATGAACCTGAAGATGCGATTCTATCCGGTACCTCATAGTTGAGGATCAGTACTCAGCTCCAATTTAGTTATTATACACTACTAAACAAGTGACAGGCTTCTAAGTTAATAACCATACTTAGATTACATTGACATCACTTCTACAAGTCTTTGACACTCTTCAAGAATTTCACTACCTGAAGCATCGAAGGCCGTTTAGTAGGATTTTCTGACAAGCATAGCACCGCAATCTGCAGTACCTGAAGCATCATCTGCTTTGAATCTGCATCCAGCACCATTGGGTCAAGGACATCTACAGCTTGGCCCTTTTTGATCTTCATGAAAACCCAACCAACTAAATTTCCGCCTTCTATGTCTTTGAAATCAGGTCCAGTTGGCTCCTTCCCAGTCACCAACTCCAGCAGAATTACACCAAAGCTATAAACGTCGCCCCTGGTCGTTGATTTCCAGCTCTGCCCGTACTCAGGGGGGATGTACCCAAACGTACCAGCCACATCTGTACTCACGTGAGTCTCATAAGCGCTGATCAATCTCGCTAATCCAAAGTCTGCAACTTTGGCTTCAAAGTCCTCATTCAGGAGGATGTTGCTGGCTTTGATGTCCCTGTGGATTATGTGAGGAGTAAAGCCATGATGGAGAAATGCTAGGCCACGTGCAGCACCAACAGCAATTTTGAGGCGTTTCATCCAGACCAGGACCTCAAGAGAACCACATCTGTTTCTTAGCCAAAGATCCAAACTGCCATTAATCATATACTCATAAACAAGCACCTTTTCACTCCCATAAGAGCAGTAGCCAAGTAATGGAACAAGATTCCTGTGTTTCACCTTTCCCAAAGTCTCCATCTCAGCTAGAAATTCCCTGTGACCCTGCGTTTTATCTTCATTTAGCTTCTTGACCGCCACTGTCTTCCCACAAGGCAATGTTGCCTTATAAACAGTTCCAAATCCTCCATCACCAATTATGTTTGTCTTGCAAAAGTTGTTTGTGGCTTCAAGAACATCAACAATGGTCAGTTTGAGAAGGGGCTTTTCAAACATAGCTATGTTGATGCTCAGAGGCTCCTTTGAACGGCTGCTGCTCAAGAAATACAGATGCGGATCTGTTGAACTATTCAATTTGCTTTCTTCATTGTAATCTGTATCACCTTTTGTCCAATTTCCATGTGTCCATCGCAAAACAATCAGAATAAGGGCAACCAGCATGATCGCCCCAACAGTAGATATTAGTACCAAAGAAGTTTTTAACGCCATTCTCATCCCAACGGTTTTGAGCTGGCACTTGTGGTTCAAAATTTCTCCACACAGATCATTGTTCCCATCAAGTGAAGCTTTCGACAGGTTTCCACATATTCCACTAGAAGGAACAGAACCAAACAAACTGTTATCTGAAAGATTCACAGAAATCAAATTGGGCAGGGCACAAATGCTCTCAGGAATTCGTCCTGAAAGTTTATTCTCGGAGAGATCCAATAACTCCAGTTGCAACAGACTTCCAAGTTCACCAGGGATTTTGCCAGTAAAGCTGTTTCCATGAAGATATAGAGACGTCAAATATGACATATTACCCAGTGCCCGCGGTAGCAAGCCATCCAGATTGTTGTTGCTCAAATTCAGGATTTCGATCCTCCACAGCGTGGAGTTGGAAAAAAGACCTTCTAAATGACCAGAAAGCCTATTTCGCTGAGCATATAGACCAACGAGGTTAGCCATTTCTGACAAAGAGGATGGAACCTCACCACTTAATTCATTATTGCTCAAGTCCAAGTGAGTCAGTCCATTCAAATTCTTCAAACTGGAGGGAATGGAACCAGATAACTTATTACCAGTTACATTAAGCTTAACTAAGCTACTCAACCGACCAAGCGTTTCAGGAATTGTCCCTGTGAGCTGGTTATTCCCGATATAGAAACCCTGCAATTTCTGCGAATTGCCAAACTCATCTGGAATATTACCGGTAAGTGAATTCCCAGATAAATCTAGAGAGGTGAGGTTCTTTAAACCAGCAATGGATCCAGGAATTTCCCCAGAAAGCAAATTGTTGCTGAGTAAAAGATCCACCAATACAACACAACTTCCCAATTCCTCGGGTATTGAGCCAGACAATCTATTATTTGAAAGATCATAAACTCCATGGTGCTGTACAAAGCTTGAATCAGGTATACTAACCTGCCGGAAATACTTGGACTTTTTCTGAGGGATCCCCCCGGAGAGATCGTTATAAGAAAGAACCAAACACTGCAATTGTGGCAAGTCAGATATTTCCTCCGGAATCGAACCATTGAGCCTGTTTCTTCCCAGATCCAACGTTGTGAGGGCAATGCAATTTCCTATATCACCAGGAATACTCCCTTCAAGTAAATTAGAATTCAGGTTCAAAACAGAAAGAGAAGTCAAATTACCGATCTCCCTGGGAACAGAACCCCTTAACTGATTATTAGCAAGAACAAGCCTCTCCAGATTAACAGCATTTCCAATTTCCCTTGGCAATGTACCCTCCAACATATTATTTGCCGCTGAAAATTCCATCAAGTTCACAGAGTTCCACAAACTTACAGGAAGTGTACCCGTGAAGTTGTTAGAATCCAGTTCTAGAGACATCAATGGTAGCCCTGAAAGATACTCCGGAATAGCACCACTAATTTGATTTTCCATCAGAATCAGCTGAGTAAGATTAGTGCACTTCACAAACACATCATCAATAGTACCATTAAGGAGATTACCATCAAGATCAATTTCCAACAGGGACACCGCATTGCAAAGATCACTTGGAATTTGACCAGTGAGTAAGTTGCTACTGAGACTCAGGTGGGTGAGCGAAGTACAATTTCCAATTTCAGCGGGTATTTGCCCTGTAAACCGATTACTTGCGAGCAGAAGGGCATCCACATGAGACCACCGACCAAGCCAGGAAGGTAGAGGACCAGAAAGCTGATTTTTCTCTGCTGCAAATGAAACCAAATTCAACTCTGCTAGCTCTTCAGGCAAGGGGCCAGAGAGTGAATTGAAAGAAAGCATCAAAGTCTTCAGATTTCTACAGTTTCCAAGCTCAGGGGGTATGGCACCATCAAGCTCAGTGTAAACCAAATTGAGTATGCTCAAATTCAAAAGCTTTCCAATTGATTGCGGTATGGAACACCTCAAAGGGTTATAGGACAGGTCAAGCTTGCTGAGAGACACAAGCCTAGACAATGTTTCTGGCAATGGACCAGTTAGAGAGCAAGAGGGTGCAAAGAAGTTTTGAAGGCTGGAAAGTTCACCAATTTGAGGCGGAATTTGGCCGGACAAATGGTTAATTCCGATGTAAAGATCAGTGAGGTTAACAAGATTTCCGATTTCCGGCGGAATGGAACCGGAAAGAGAGTTGTTTGATACATCAAAAGAGGTTAAAGAGGGAAGGTTTGAAAAGAGTTTTGGTGAAAGAGAACCAGAGAGAAGGTTGTTACCAAGGGCTAATACTTGGAGGTGGGAGAGATTTCGAATTTGGGTTGGGATGATTCCGGTGAATGCATTGCCCGAGAGGTCAAGAGAACGAAGGCTGACAAGGTTACCCAACTCCGGCGGGATGATTCCTGTGAGAAGATTGGGACCGAGGGTAAGACTTTCCAGCCGAGTCAACTCACCAAGCTGTGCAGGCAACTCGCCGGACAACCGATTATTGCCAAGGTCCAAGACTTTGAGGCTCTGAAGCGACGAAATCTGAGGCGGGATTTGGCCGGTGAAGGAGTTGGAAGACAGGTCCAGTACGGCGAGACTTACAAGGGAGAAGAGAGACGGGGAGAGAGGTCCCCTGAGTTGCAGAGTGGAGAGAAGGAGGGAGATGACTCGGCCATTTTGGCAGTAAACGCCATGCCACTGACAATGGGATGTTGTGGGCGCCCAGGAACTCAAAAGCTGTGGGTTTTCCAGAGAATTTCTGAACGCAACCAAACTCTCCCTTTCTGGGCCGTTCTCCGATTGCTCCGAAATTTCACCCAAAGAACCCCAGAACTGCAATAACCCAAAGAAGAAAACACAGAACAGAAGCCTCCGAACGGCCATTGTCAATTGAATTTTTCCGGTGCCCAAAAAGAATTTTAAGAGAGGGGGGGAGTGGGGGAGAGAAACAGAACAGAACAAAACAAAAGGATCACAAGCAACACATGAATGCTACTCAAAAGTAGGAATACAATTTTCGTTTTAAAAGATGGAAATCTCAGGGTTTTTCACATGGGGGTACCAGTACTAGTAGCAACAACTGTACGAAAACAGAAATGGGGGAAGGATAGAGAGTAAATCAAAAAGGAGTGAGAGTGTACTCAGAGTGATGTTTTAAATTCAAAAGGATGGCGACTGAGAGTCAAAAACAGAGGAGAGAGAGAAACCAGCAGAAACCTGGAATTAAATGTCTAAAGCAGATTGGGACAAGTGATTTGTTGGGGGGAAGATGAAGACAGAGAGTTTATTATCTCTGCAATCCATGGTGATATATTACCTTTTCGTATTCTTTTGTGATTTCCGAAATATTGCATTGTGTTATGTGGCATGCAAAATGTAGAGAGGAAGTGTTAAAAGGGGGAACGACGGCGTCGTTTTTGCGTTGCGGGTCCCACCAGAGGAGATGCATCTGAAAAAAAAGCAACGATTTTGTCAGGTGAACCAAAAACCTTCTTCGTCAGCGATTCCAACCTGTGCCTATGAGCTTGGGCTTCATGTGATTTGACCGATTTAGCCCTGCAATTCACAAACATGGAGTGGAAACTCATCAATAATTTGGGCTAGAAAAAGGGGCAGTGCAGAGAGTGCAATTTTGGTAATCGAAGAAGAAGAACAAGTGTGGTTGTTGTTGCAGTAGAGATGATTACTGTTTACTAACAGTGTAACTTGTTGTGAGGGAAAGAGATTTCTGAATTTTTTTCAGTGATGGGACTATAGAGTGAAAGGGCTGGATAAAGTGAAGTTGTGGGCCTAAGGGGATTCTTTAGGGAAAGCCTGTCTATTCACAAAGATACAAACAAATGTAGATGCAATTTTTTTGGAACAAAACTAATCATCCGGTTTAGGATACTCACACAATTACAAAAGGTTTAAACCACTTTTCGAATTGTAAAGTTGAGCATAATAAAGACTATTTCGAAAGTTCATCAGTGCCACCGAATTTCCAACAGACTTGGTACATGAAAATGCTCAAAAGAGGTCAAAGTTTATTTGACATTTCTAGTGGCAATCACAGATTAGATAGTAGAGCATTTGGTATTGTACATACATTGTCTTGTTCAACACCACCAAATCTCTGACCACAACATCATTGCCTTACACTAATAGTAGTACTTGATTGATACTGTAATTCAAAGTTGTCTATTTCACAATTTGTACCATCAGAAATCAGAAATGTCCATACTTGTTCCTCCCATGGGTGCACTACTAGTAGTTTGGGTTTTCACACAAGAAACCAACTACCCCACATTTAAATACTACTAGTAGTAGAGATAATTAATGTATACTATTTGTAGGGAGATCAAGCAAGCCTTCGATCATGACTACTTCAAAAAAAAACAAGCGCCCAATTTACTTCCACTGCTAGTTGGCATTAACAGGTGAAATTTCCAACATCAAATATTCATCAAAATTAATGCCTGTATTTACTAGATCCCCAAGTCCTTTCTTTTCTTGCTTTTCAGCGACTATATGTGATGGGTTTTTGTCACTGTTGATGGGAGTGAAAAAAAAAACACAAACAAATACTTACAGCCAAGAATGATGACGAGGAGTAATGAGTACCTACTGTAATGAAGAGGAATTCGTCTTTAATTTACCCCATCCTTACAGCAGTAACTATAAATGGAAATGATGGGGTCCTCCTACCAGTGCCGTATAGGACTTTTGATGGCAGCCCAAGTACAATGGTGTTCTAACTTTTGATTTTCTTGGAAACGGAAAAGGGGGAAAAAGGCCAAAAATAATTACTAGGAGAGAATCTCTGTTTTCTTTCTTCAAATCTAGTAGTGCTAATTATGTTTGTATGTATGGCTAATTGGCTCATAAGCTGCTGGCTTCTCTTGTTTTCGTCCTGCTTAATTTCAAAGTTTCAATGGTGGGTAGCTCAAAATGAGAAGAAAACAACCAAGATGAGAATAAAAATCTGTGGGGATCTCTTTTTTTTTTCGTCTCTTCTTCTGGTTTCTGTTAGGATTCCCAAACCCCCAAAGGCACAGAAGATTTCTTTCCTTGCATGCTGATTCCATCATAAATCTGCAACTCGTTACTTTTTCATTTTTACTAGCCTTATTTGTTCTGATGTCAACTCTGGTTAAAATTTAAATCATCATCATCTTATTTCTCATTTTCTGTCGCTTTTGACCTCTTCATATTTAACTAACTTCATCATCTTGGTGATCTTTCCATTTTTCCCATATGAGGCCTAATTAGTTTGCGGATCACACCTATTTTTCAGGCCCAAATCAATGAGGTTCTTTGGACTGATGCCACTGATTCGGAGAACGTTTTCTTTTCCACTGTAATCAGTTATTGGCTCTTAGTTATGATCTGTTGCAATCAAAGTAGCCCATTTTTAAATGTATTCGTTCTAATTTTGAGGTGTTGGCCAACACTCCAAAGGCCCAAACTGGACACCAGTACTCTTAAAATGACAAATTAACTTCAGTTTTTTTTTTTTTTTGTCAAAAGCGATATTCATTTCTTAATTAAAAAAAAAAATCAAAGTGGTTGTGATGGAGTGAAAGGAACTCCTCCACCCTTAACCATAGGTCCAGGGTTCGAACCTCGCCATGGGCATGGAGCAACCTTAAATACTTTCGCCAGCTGTCCTACACATCGATCTGTTTACAATTCAGCGAGAGAGATTAGTCACTATTACCGACGGTGGACACTTAACACCCCAATTTTGTGTACATTCTAGACAATTCTAATTTAACTAGAGTGTGATTAGAAGAGTTCCACTCTTTTCAAATAAACATCTATATATTATACTAAAGTAAGTCTAATGGTCAATAAACATTTATATATTAAAGTAAGTCTAATTTGACTAGACTGTGATTAGAAGAGTTTCACTCTTTTCAAATAAACATTTCTAAATTATACTAAAATAAAAACCGGAGAGAGAAAATTCATATCAAATTTCTCAATTTCTATATTTTTTTTGGTAAAAAAAGATTAAAATAAATTCTCAAATCAATATCTACGCACATCGTCTGAAAAAGATTTCATTCCCTCGATTTTCTCTTCGTATCCCAAATCACTAAAACGTCAATATAATCCAGAGTCACGCGTTTGGAATTTGTTCACAATTTCATCAAAAAATCCCTAAAAATCTTCTCCCTATCTCCAAAAATCAAATATACAAAAAATCAAATATGCAATCAAATATACCACCCTACAAAAAATTAACAATCTGTTCTTCCTCAGTCCTTCGTCCCTCTGATCTTTCCTCTCTCGATCTTCATAGGAGAATTTTCAAATTTCCAAAGGATTTCTTTTGAACAGTCCAGTGTGAACGGGCCGGGGAAAGGATGGTGGTTACCGGGTTGCAAGATGTAATCATTCGACCAAAAGTCATCCCATTTTCGAGCCTTTAGTGTATATGTTATTACAATTAACCTTTTTAATTCTGTTATTGTGTTAATTTATGTTGAAACACGTTTTTTAAATCACTTTATTTTTTGTTGAAATTTACTTACTTTTTTATGAATGTTGTTCGTAAATGAATCCACTCTAAGATGTTTATAAATTGGTAATTAACTACTAATATATGATATGTTATTGCAGGAAACCAAGATACTTGCTCAGGTGTCTAAACATTGGATCAAAAGGACTGGTATCGTTGAAACATAAGTAATTGGGATATGTGCTTTTTTCTTTTCTAATCTGAGACATCATCGGTTAGGTTGTTGGGATCAGAACGATAAGAAGACATACGGTAATGGCAAAACCGCGAAAAATTAGGATCCCGAGTAAGTCATCCAAATAACGATGAATTTATGCAGCTATAGATGTTTATATTTACATTGTCTGGGAGGTTACGAGTTTAAGAGACTTTCCCTCTCCTCTTATTTGGTTTGTTCTATTTTACAACAATTTGATTATTAGGTGTGAAGAACCTTGTGTTTGTTTCGAAGGGAAAATCCAAGCTTTGGTTACTAGAGCAATTCACATGTTTTGCTTCTTTTTGTGTATTGATAAATATGTATCTATTGATTAATCGAAGCAAAATGTATAATATCAGGGGACAACTTAGAACCAATGCCCTGGTCGGCATCCTTTCCCACCATGAACACTCAGTAATAAAAGTGCTCTACTTCTATAAATGTTGTTTCTTTCTTGCTGGTGCAATTCTCCCTACAAAGTTACTGAACAAAGATCTGACACTTATCTACGAAGATCTAAAAACGAGACTTGTCCTGAAGTTTTTAAATATATGTAGAACGATCTAGAGCCATGGGCTAAGTCTAAGGGCAATGGCTGCTGAGATCAAGAACATGTACGTTATTTTGTGGTTTTGTAGATCCAGCTTCTTAGGTTCCAATCATGTGCTAAAAGTTATTCACATAGATCACAATACTTTCTGTATACGAATTTTCGGATGGCTAGCCAACCCGCCATGAACAATGCCAGCTCCACTTGAAGTTCGTAGAGAGAAAGAAAGTATGGTTAGCTGATGGGTGATGCACTATGACATCAAACTATATGATTAGTTTATTTGTAGTTTCCTTTGACAAGACTGAAATTTCCCCAATGTTATACATCTTTTGATACTGATGTCAACTAGAAACACTCTTTCTGGGCATTCCCCATCCGTATGTACCGCAAAATTTGCATTCTGTATCTCTACATTGGCGTAAAAACAATCTCTGTATGTTCAACTGCAAGAATAAACTCTTCTCCACCAAACAGGAAAGGGAATTTGGATTTTGCAAATTTGAAAATAAGGCTGAAAAGGAACTATGGAATCATATACTACACATGGCTAACTAAATGTAGAAACAATGGAGACTTGATTGCAAAAATTTTATGCAAATTATTCTTTTTTTTTTCCCCTTAAAAAAAGGATTAAATTTTTCTAATTTGCACGAACTTAATGATATTAATTCCTCTAAGAAAAGGGATTTAAAGTTGAATTGGTTTCTTCCTTTTATCAATAATAGATTTGAAGTTGAACTATGAGATCTGATTAAGATACAGTGAATCATATCCTTAGAAGATATAGGAAATCAAATCTCTTCACATAACAAACGGAATCCAAGGGTTAAGGATCACCTAACCACTTTCCTACACCACTTCCTACAACATTATATAAATGAGTGACAAGTGTCCTCTTAATTAATGCTTCTATTTATCCACAAATAATTAGTTCACTCTAATTAGCTCTTTCTAATTAGTAATCACCCATGTTGACAATTTTTACCCCATAATTATTATATCATACATCCTACATCCTACGAAACTTTTTTTTTTATTTTTAAAAAAAGCCTATCCATCAATCTTCATTGCTACCACCATAAAGCTCAATCCCTAGTTAAATATTTCATTATCTGAACTTATTTTTTCTTATATTTCAAAAATTTAATATTTATCATTTTTTGTCAATTTTTCAATAACTAATAATATCAATGGAAATGAGAAGCATGTGCTGCAGGCCATAGTCCATATTCTTGAATTCTCTGCAGGAAGGTTTGGTTAGGACGGCCAATAAAATCATGTTAACCCA